CGGTCAGGTGGTGCGCCGGGGGTGGTGGGGAACCGGATCAGAGCACTACAGCTGCGTGAACAGTATTTGTATAAGACAGTGAGGATCAGGACGAGTAGATAGTAAGCAGGAAGCTATATGTACCTGTATGGAGAGCCTGGTTCTTCTGCACCCCCGAGCATGGGAGCTATTACCCAATCTGGTTATGTTTGGGAGTGCTCGGTCACTAGAAAAGAGCATCAATGAAAGTACTGTATCATCAGGTTTGAAATTATAAAGAGAAATGTGCAACCCATGAGCAAAAACAAGAAAATCGGTTAGCGACGCTTTCCTCTTCGTTAGCGAGACTCGAACACAAAGCCTGTCAGTCCTGGAGGCGTGTTGTACACAGCACTTGCTAACCCACTAAGCCATAAGACCATTTTCGTTCACATGCGTCCAGTATTCTTGGCCAGGACTTGAGACTTGAAGCGCCAGATCACTGTGCAACGGCGGGCAAGCGTCGCTTGAAAGTAATAACATAAGGATCACATCAACATAAGGAATGAAGCTATATAGTCCAGTCTATTACGCCCCGGTAGCAGTGGACGAAATACTCAGCGGCCTTCCGAGGCACCGGGCCACAGCCTCGGACGTGATAAGTGCCTGCGGCAGGCGCACTGGATAATATACTGGCTGGTGTCTGGTGTCCTCACATCTGCCTGGTCACTACCATGCTCTTCGGGTCACGGATATGTCACTACTCACGGACGGCACCCCGGCTTCCATGCCGAAATCGAGCCATGGCTATCTATCCACCATACGTATGTGTTTCAACAGTGAAATATCGCCACCTGTACGCGTACGCGTATCAGAAGCGAATATCATCGCCGCCGCTATGCGGTAGTACGTCCTCGAGTTCATATGAGAGGGGTATCACCACCACGGTGGTGTTAAAGGTAGCATGTAAGTATAGGAATCCCGGAATTTGATAGTAATATATTGTATCACCAAAGAAATCCTGTGGCGCTATGTATGACCATAATCACGATACGCGGTATGACAACTTTATGAAATGAACAAGGCCGTGGACTCGGAGCCAGCAAGCTTGCGCTTTGCAGCATTCGCTCTCGAGATACCAACATAGTAGAGGCAGCTCGCCGCGATCGCCAGGCAAGTGAACGATATACAGATACTATAACCTGGCAGGTATTTTGGAGCATCCTTCGTGAGGAACGAGTATGCCGCAATGATACCACCACAGTTGCCCGCGCCAATTTGGAAGGCCAAGCCTACGGAGCGCTGAGCGTGGCCGCGAACTGAATAGTACCGCATATAAGTCCTGCGTTATCGCTACGACAGCAGAATCACTCACCGTTCATGCTGCACCAGCACAGGACCATCGGCATTGCCGTGTAGATACCGGTGGCAGCGAGGAAGAGCGCAGCATACTCCAGGTGCGTGCTGTTGTGCACCGCATACAAGATCGCAAAACCGACGAGACCGATGCACGACCCCAACATTGCGAAGGGGAACCGACAACCAAGACGATCCGAGAGCCATGCGACCGTCATGCCGAATACGAACGCACAAAAGTATGGGGGAATGTTGAGAAGCTGGGTAACCAGAGCGCTGTGACCGTATCCTTGGATAATTGTTGGGGAAAAGTACGCTAGCAAACGTGGAGATGAGTGGATGTATATGTTCACGCGGCGAAGAGTCCTTACCAAAGCCATACGCGGGGACGATAAGCCCAAAATACATCAGAGCCCCGAGGTAGCTCTTGTCTGTTAGAAGTCATTACAGACCATTTCAGGACAAATTAACGAGACTTACAATCTCTGAAGGGTCGCAGCACATCTGCAAGCTTGAGCTTCTCGTCCCTGCCGGAGTCACCGACGTCGTCTGCTAGTCTCGCCTTAACAAAGGCTTTCTCCTCCTCGCTGAGCCACGCAGACTCTTCCGGAAAGTCAGAGATCATGAAGAATAGGGCGAAGGCGACAACGCAGGTCAGTGTCCCCTCTGTTAGAGTAAAAGTCATACTCTGTAGACTCACAGAGAGGAGTACAGCACATACCAAGTATAAAAATCCAACGCCATCCGTGAAGGCCTCGCATACCGTCCATATGTCCAATCGCATAACCAAGAAGCCCTACGGAAGCTCAAAGTGCGTTCTTCGGTGGAATGAATAGCCTCACCAGCAAAAGATCCGGCGAGACTGTTCGAATGAAAGAAGAAGGTGAATCGTTTGGACGCCTCTGCACGTCGATACCACCTAATAAATCGTTCAACATCTGGCCAGTGACAATCGACGTTTTGCCCACAGACATTGATATCAGGTACAGGCACCCAGGAAATATACCACTCTCGAAAAAGCCTAGAACACTGATGTGAGCTGAGCTCCGACCGTGACAGGAAGCAATGCATGCCTAAGAAGAAGCGGGCTACCAAAATTCCACCATAACTTTTGGTTAGACCCTCCATGATAGTGACGAAACCGAAGCCAAAGATGCATATCGGAACTGTGATAAGGCCATCAGGCCCGTCAAATATGAGACTTAGTTTATCCCGACTCACGCCATACATGAGGTTTGAAATGCTTCAAGAGCATGTTGGACGGCATCTCACATGTGATATAAGTTACAAAGCTGTGAAGTTGTTACTCACTTCTGGGATTATTAAGGCGGTCGGAACGGCTTACTAGATCAAAAGAACAGTATTGAACTCGTTCCCCTTCAGGTCGAGGTCTTGCTTCAAACCGAACAATGCAGCGTTCGAGATATTGACTCTGCGTTTGTCCGCATCTGATTGTAAGAAAGTGTATCAAGTCAAAGATACCTGAACTCACCGATCAAGGAAAGTAAAGAAATTCAGAATGAAAATGAACGGTATGACGCGCATGTCAATCTTGCGCATAAGCGCACTCTCCTCGATGTTTGGGAAGGCAGCCATGTACGACCCCTTCGCGTTATGCTCGAGCGACGAGACATCACCAACGGACTTCTCGTCCGCCATCGTTACTTGCTTCTCAATGGACTTTACAGACGTGCTCGAGACGCTCGCTGCGGTTCTCTATGTCAGCCCAAGGAAAGACAGTAGCGGCAACTGGGGCTTACGCGTAACATCCGCAGCAAAACTCATGGCAGAGGCGAACAGCGCAACGGAGACGTTGAGCGAGCGGGTGATAACGGGCAAGTCAGTCAAGACCAGCCTGCTTATAAGCTATCGGGCCCCAGGCACACAAAAGAATGGAAGGACGATATAGTCAGGTCACAAGCTGGTCGAGTCCAAATGAACTTTTAGATGCCGGTTCTTGGTGCTAGCGCAACGCGAACGGCGCCCGTCAATTCCATGGGATCGTAAGCGAAGGGTGTCAGGATAGAGAGGGTTCGAGGGGCGTGTCTGATGCAATTACTAAAACCTGTCAGACAGCCAGCTTGTTGGGCTGGTTCTAGTGCTTTTGCACAAAGAGGAACAGCGATGATCAGGCTGAGCGAGCGCGGCTGCAGGTGCATAATATGCGTTCCTCCCCGTCTCTCCCCGTCTCTCCCGGGGAAGAGGCAGCGACACATGAACGGTCCAGGGTGGAGACATATCAGCTCTCTAAAACCCTACCAAAACTACATGTGATACAATTCTATGAGTACATCGCACATGGGTAGACTCGACATATACAATACGAACCGGAGTCGGAGCCCGGCCTTGAGAACCTAGACGTCCGCCAGGGCTTCTTCGTAAAACAACGTGAGGGCGGTCGTCAAGCAAGCGCAGCAGATCAGCATCGGCTATAGGAATCCACTTACTTCGCATCAAAGCGTAGCGAAGTCAAACTGGCTGCAGCTCTCCGGCGATTGTCGAGTAACGACTGGCCGCCGGACCGAGAATTATCTCGAATAATGCTCAACAGCTGCCCAGCGCCCCGTGCCGGTGTGGCCTGCCGTTTCAGATTGCCTGGGAATCGCTGCCATCTTCGCCAGCTTGAATACAGCAGTGAGGTGCATGGCTGGGATTCTCGGAATCAGAGAGTGGTTGACAACCAAGAGTACTGTCGTCAGAACATTTTGAAACCATAGAAGAGATATACAGACCGCGGCCACATGCGACCTTGCCAACCGTTGTATATGTGACGATTTCTATGAGAACGTGAACGTGATAAGACTTAGCTGACTAAGCTAGGGCTGTTCTGTGCGGGCTTAGCTAGACATCGGCAAAAAGGGACGGAAATTATATCGCATTAAAATGCAATATAATGCGATCTGGTCCGTTATCTTGCTTTATAAACTCAAAAATCACTAAAAATCGCATTATAACGCATTATAAATGCCCGACGGTGCATTATAATGCATTATATTTGACCGCCCAATGTGCCGATGGACTTAGCCGCCTGGGAAGCGATGGAGAAGATGAATATCATCGCAGGACTTGGTGCTTTGCTCAAGATGCTCTCATGCATCCTAGTCTTCATGAGCCTTTTTATTCAAATATGATAAAACTAAACCGCATAAGATTCCGCAGGCTCCACAAAACTGAAAGATAAATAGAAGAAGGAGGTGAACTGAAGACAATTCCACAATTCCACAACTCCCCTTCACAGCAAATACCTGTAGTCGGGATTGAGGTCCCCCAGTTCCTGCTTCTCTTCCCACGGCAGATTTGTGCCGTTGTCTCCTTCGCGGTCGCGCTTCCGGTTGAGCCATTCCACGTGAAGAAGGTACGCAAAGCAAGACACCATCGACAGGCAGATGAAGGAAATGCATATACTATAGCCTTTGATGTACTTTGGCGCATCTTGTGCAAGGAAGGAGTAGGTCGCAATAATGCCACCGGCTGCGAGACAGACTTAGCACTGACAAAGCAGTACTAGTCTCACAAACGGTACTTACTATTGTCGAAGCCGATCTGCCAAGCCGTACCAATGGCTCTTCTCCGGTGTCCAGCAACTAAAACATATCAGCATACCACATGAACGGACCAGGCATGGTTCACGCACGATTTGTGGAAAACCAGCATACGATGACAGGCATGCTCGAGAATGCTCCTGTAGCGGCAAGGAATAGCGCACCGTATTGTAGATTCTGGTCGTCGTGGACACGGAATAAGATGGCGAAGCCCGCCATGGAAACGGCAGCTGTGACCATCATGAAAAGGTATCTGTGCCCGACATAGTCTGAGAGTGTCGCCACGATCATAGATACGACGAAGGCGCAAGCCCATGGCGGAACGGACAAAAGCTGTGTCCGGATATTCGAGTGTCCCAGGGATTGGATAATGGCAGGGGCAAAGTACGCTGTACAGTCGATCCTTCATGCCCATCCAAATGAAGCAGAATGAGAACACTTACTATATCCATATGCCGGTACAATGAGCCCGAAGTACATGAAGCCACCAAAGATAATCTTCCCTGTATGCATGACAGTTAGAAACACTAGTCAGTGTTCGTGAACCAGGACGCGCATTCGGATAAGATCTTAAAGGCTCCCTTGGCGGTGATGGGCTTATATAGGTGAGATTGACCAACATCCTCTTGTAGTCTCGTCTTGACAAAGTCTTTCTCCTCTGCCGAGAGCCACTTCGCCTCCTCTGGGAAGTCTGAAATGAGGAAGAAAGACAGGATTCCGACAATACTTGTCAAGAGACCCTCTGCGGATACTAATCAGCGGGGTCTTTCCACAATTCCACGCAGGCACCCACCGAGAATGAAAATCCATCTCCAGCCTGAATGCCCAAGTATGCCGTCCATGTTCCCAATTGCAGCAGCGAGAAGACCACCGAAAGCGCCTGCCAGGGTTGTCGAGCAGAAGAAGAAGGAATATCGCTTCTGAGCTTCGGACCGCTTGTACCACCTATACAATAATGATTAGCTTTTGCTAGACGCGTCGGTGAGTGTTACGCACATGGCGAGCAGATAGAAGCATCCCGGAAACATGTTACATTCGAAAAGCCCTGAGTAGGGCCGATCAGCATCGCATGTGCGGGGACTTCAGGGTTTGTCGTACCTAGGAAGAATCGTGCTGCTAGAATGCCACCGTAATTCTGCGCCAGACCTTGAAGACATGCTGTGAGGCCGAAGAAGAACATGCAGCCAGATACTGTCAAGGCGTGTCAGTTAGACGGCCGGAAACAAAGATGATCAGGTATACGCCAAATATGTGGCTTGAAGCGTTTCATCAAGGCGTTCGATGGGATCTAGAAGACGGCGTATGGCATGAAGCTGTCAGGGACATCAGCCTACATTTGCTGTGCCGCCTGGTAATGAGTACTCGCAAGATAACAAGTGCCGTGTTGTATTCGTTGCCGGTGAGCTTGAGATCGGTTTTGAGATTGAACAGAGCCGCATTGGAGATGTTCGCACTAGTGTGGTGTGAGCCGACCAGCACACATGACAACGATGCATGTAGTGCTCACCGGTCCAGGAAGGCAAGGAAGTAGAGAATGCAGATCATGGGTACGACGTGCAGGTCAATCTTCCGGATGAGCTTTCGCTCGTCGAGATCAGGGAAGCGCGCCTTGTAGTCGAGGTGCTCAACGAGGTGGGCTTGCTTCTCATCGTCAGAGATCGGGGAAGGCGTGCGCTCCTTGTGAGGTACTGTGGAGAGCCGAAGTTTGGCGAACGCATGGATGGCGAGAGAAGTTGGGCACACTCACAGTCTGCCTCCATGGTCGTGGGCTAGGGCCGTGACGAATGCTTCTCTGTGCCGTTACGGCGTAAGGACTTGACTCTCATATAAGGCTGGGGAGCTGGCGAGGCGCGCGGCCATCTCAGACACGAATGATGGCAAGATTCTAAAACTTCCCTAAATCAGCTGAGTAGGTGGATACTTGAACTTAGAGACGCGGGATGGCAAAATGCTGATGCGGCCAAGTCGGGTGTTGGCTTCGACCAGTGATAATAAGACTAGTGCAATGTTCTCGATATCATCAGACTACATCAACTAGTAGAAGGCAGACAAAAAGAAACAGTTCGGAAGAGTTCGTACCTTTCACAGTGAGATACATACATTGGCGCGGTAGGCGACGGGAGAGCGGCGACGGCCTAAGAAAGCAGATCGCAGCTGCGGTCAACAAAACGCGTGCGGAATCGTGGATATCAAGCCAGGGAGAGAGACAGAGTGAGCGGAGTGTAGCATCTTTGAGTCAGTGGGTCTCTGAGGAAGCCAGGGATGTACACAATTGGATAAGCCACGCAGGGTGCGGTCAATTCCGCTATCCTCTGCTTCGGTTTGTGTGTTTTGTACGGGCGGTATCATTAGAGACCTCCTACAGCGGTGAAAGCGACTCACCGTGTTTGTCTAGGATTTTCCTAGTTGCGCACCTCTAGAGGCACACGTAGGCACTGTAGGGATGCTAGGCAAGTACTCCCCCTGTTATGTAGGAATGACGGAACCGCGAAATCCTAGCTGGGGTTGCGCCTAGCACTGGCCATGCCTACGTGCTTCAAGCCAAGCTATCGGCGCCTAGCCATCCTACCGGTCCTCGGAACCTACCGACAGCTTTGGCGCCTGCTGTTGCTCGTCGTCGGTGGCGGCAATACCACCCTTGGGTCATGCGGTACCCTCTGTACGAGATGATGCAGAGATAATTAATACTATGTACACTTTTTTCTACACAGCTGCAAGAGCTTCCCGCTCCCGATGCATACTACCCGATGTGAGCCGTTTCCGTGCTCGTAAAACAAGTCGTCTGGGTCGAACGCTGTCATCTCCTTGTGCCAAAAGTCAGATCTGTGTAAGAGAGAGAAGCGCACATACTGTCGCTATCCGGGGGCCTTTGTGCTCAGTCGCCTGCCGGGGGCCTTTGCGCTCAATCACTTGTTGGACCCTTTGAACTCGGTTGCTTGCCGGGGCCCTTTGCGCTTGGTCGCTTGCCGGGGGCCTTTGCACTCGGTCGCTTCAGTACTTCTTGACCGATTTTGGGCTCTGGCTGTCGCTAATCCGGAGCATGTTGACAGCGTGCGCAGCGTCCTGCGCAGTGTCGTGGTAGTGCTGTGTTGAGTGCGTCAACAAGCTGCTGTCCGGCGACGGTGCGCGCGAGCATGTCGCCGGGTGCAAGGATTGGCACGGGCCGTGTGGTGCAGGAGGCGGCGGTACGAGCGAAGTTGCAAGGTCACGGTGCGCGTGACAGCTACCTGGGCCATGTGAGAGTACAGACGGATGCGCCGGCATTGAAGGTAGCTCATGATGCGACTGTGCGCTGTGGACACGACAGACGGTGGTAGTGAGTCCTCCTGCCACTCAACAAGTGACTCAATGTTTACCGCTCGCGAAGTTTGCATCAGACGACTACCTAGAATGCCCTTCCGATTTTGCAAAGCATGTATATTAATATTACCTCCGGTAAGTTCAATTGTCTATGTGGTTTCGCAGGATTTTATATGGAAGCTTGACTGAGTAAGCGAAGCTTGAATATCAAAGAGATCTACTAGTAATTTCGCGCGCACGTTCGCCGACATCCATGACTGTCACTTCAATCATGGCAACATCAAACTGCGCAAGATTACCCAGGTTCCACAAACCTGAGAGATAAGTAGAGGAAAGTACATAGGGTAAAGACGATGACACAATCCAACAACTCCCCTTCACAGCAAGTACCTGTAGTCGGGATTGAGGTCCCCCAATTCCTGCTTCTCTTCCCACGATAGATTTGCGCCGTTGTCTCCTTCGCGATCGCGCTTCCGGTTAAGCCACTCCACGTGGAGGAAGTACGCGATGCAAGACACCATCGACAGGCAGATGAAGGAAATGCATATACTATAGCCTTTGATGTACTTTGGCGCATCTTGTGCAAGGAAGGAGTAGGCCGCGATGATGCCACCGGCTGCGAGACGGACTCAGTACGGCGACAAAAACAGTACTAGTCTCACAAACGGTACTTACTGTTGCCGAAGCCGATCTGCCAAGCCGTACCGATGGATCTTCTCCGGTGTCCAGCAACTAAAACATATCAGCATACCACGTAAACGGACCAGGCATGGTTCACGTACGATTTGTGGAAAACCAGCATACGATGACAGGCATGCTCGAGAATGCCCCTGCAGCGGCAAGGAACAGGGCGCCGTATTGCAGATTACGGTTATCGTGGACACGGAGCAAGATGGCGAAGCCTGCCAGCGAGATGGCAGCTGGGATCATCGTAAAGAGGTATCTGTGCCCAATACGGTCTGAGACTGTCGCTAGGACCATAGCTAAGACGAAGGCGCAAGCCCATGGCGGAACGGACAAAAGCTGTGTCTGGATATTCGAGTGTCCCAGGGATTGGATAATGGCAGGGGCAAAGTACGCTGTACAGTCAATCGCTTAAGCCCGTCCGAATGAAGCAGAATGAGAACACTTACTATATCCATATGCCGGTACAATGAGCCCGAAGTACATGAAGCCACCAAAGATAATCTTCCCTGTATGCACAACAGTTAGAAACACTAGACAGTGCTCGTGAACCAGGACGCACATTCAGATAGGACCCTGAAGACTCCCCTGGCGGTGATGGGCTTGTATAGGTGAGATTGACCAACATCCTCTTGTAGCCTCGCCTTGACAAAGTCTTTTTCCTCTGCTGAGAGCCACTTCGCCTCCTCTGGGAAGTCTGAAATAAGGAAGAAGAATAGGATTCCGACAACACTTGTCAAGAGACCCTCTGCGGATACCAATCAGCGGGGTTTTTCCGCAATTCTACGCAGACACCCACCGAGAATGAAAATCCATCTCCAGCCTGAATGTCCGCGTATGCCGTCCATCTTCCCGATCGCGGCAGCGAGAAGGCCACCAAAAGCGCCTGCCAGGGTTGTCGAGCAGAAGAAGAAGGAAAATCGCTTCTGGGACTCGGACCGCTTGTACCACCTATACAGTAATGATTAGCTTTTGCCAGACATATCGGTTATTGTTACGTGTTACACACATGGCGAGCAGATAGAAGCATCCCGGAAACATGCCGCACTCAAAAAGCCCTGAGCAGGATTATTCAGCATTGGATGTGCCAGGACTTCGGGGAAATGTTTGTCGTACCTAGGAAGAATCGCGCTGCAAGAAGGCCACCGTAGTTTTGCGCCAAACCTTGAAGGCATGTCGTGAGGCCGAAGAAGAACATGCAGCCAGATACTGTCAAGGTATGTCAGTTAGGCGGCCGGGAATAAAGATGATCAGGCATACGCCAAACATGTGGCTTGAAGCGCTTCATTAGGGTATTCGATGGGATCTCGAAGACGGCGTATGGCACGAAGCTGTCAGGGACATCAGCCGACATTCGCCGCACCCCCTGATAATGAATACTCGCAAGATAACAAGTGCCGTGTTGTATTCATTGCCGGTGAGCTTGAGGTCGGTTTTGAGATTGAACAGAGCAGCATTGGAGATGTTCACGCTATTGCGATGTGAGCCGACCAGCACACATGACAATGATGCACACAGTGCTCACCGGTCCAGGAAGGCGAGGAGGTAGAGAATGCAAAGGACGGGTACGACGCGCAGGTCAATCTTCCGGATGAGCTTTCGCTCGTCGAGATCAGGGAAGCGCGCCTTGTAGTCGAGGTGCTCGACGACGTGGACCTGTTTTTCATCATCAGAGATCGGGGAAGGCGTGCGCTCCTTGTGAGGTACTGCGGAAAGCCGAAGCTTAGCGAACGCATGGCGAGAGAAGTTGGGCACACTCACAGTCTGTCTCCATGGTCATGGGAGCAAGCTGGGGTCACGACGAATACTTCCCTGCCGTTACGGCATAACGACTTGGCTCATATACGGCTGGGGAGCTAGCGAGGCGCGCGGCTACCTCAGTCGTAGCGTTAACAACTTCCCCGAGTCAGCTGAGTGGATGACCGATGACTGCTTGAACTAAGCGACGCAATGTTGATGCGGTCGAGTCGGGTGTTGGCTTCGGCCGCCGGGAATGGCAAGACCAGTGCAATGTTCTCGACATCGTCAGACTACATCAACAGGAAGGCGAACAAGAGCACCAGTTCGCAAGTTCGTACATTTCACAGCGAGATACACAGACATCGACATTGTGATGGCAGGAAGGCGGCGATAACCTAAAAAAGCAGACTGTTACTGCAATTAACGAAACGGGTGCAGAATAATCGATACCAAGTCAGGAGAGACTGAGCGGGCGGTGTGGAGCATCTCTAGGAGACAGGTACGTACAAAATATAATATTTAGACAGTGAATCCATGGCTACCACATCATGGGCACGAAGGCTGTGCTATAGACAGAGAAAGCTGAGTATTAAGCAGTGAGTACAGATAGGGTACTGCGTACGAAGCTTTGGATATGCCCACATTATTAGTGACTCATCTGCTACATATTGAGTTTCGCAACTTCCTGGCATAAGTAGGAAAGCAACCATGCGTGCCGTACTGCCGGTCGCCCGGTTGCTCGTGTTTCCACGGAGAGAAGTATGCGGCCACGCCCAGAAAGTAGGGGCATAAAAGGAGGTAGTATTCTTGTGCTGGGGACCACGCGAATCCAGGGCTGCCGGAGAACTCAAGGCACTTGCGCTAGTTGAACGTTATTGATCTCGATAGTTCCCCGTTCTGAGACGGGAGACTCTTGCATGGCGCTGTCGGAGTCGCTGTCATGGTCGTCGAAATGGACTGAACGCGTATTAAACTCGTCCTCTTTCAATGGCGTCGTGCTTCCATCCAATGTTGATGTCTGAGTTTGCAGAGACTTCAGAGTAGGCCGTTCGATCATTGTTCCAGCCGTGGCTACATTTCCAGAATCGACTTTTAGAGATTTTACGAGATTGATACGATACATGAGACTCAGATGTCTGAGGTACGTACCTTCAACCGCATCCCCGGAACAAGTCTCTTTCAGGAGCTGGGAGAGGTTTTCTTGAAGAGCGGCAGAGAAGGATGGGTCTGAGAACGACGGGAGGTCCGTAACGGCGCGTTCTACGACGGGGTACCTGGGGATATTAGCACATTACACGGCATGAGACAGATTACAAGGTTACACACCTGTCTAACTCTTGCAATAGTTCGCGTTGCGCTGTAGCTTCCGGTCCAAAGAGCAGCTTGCTATCATAGTGCAGCTTCTTGCGCACGATGTCTTCCACACGGGCAACCATCGGAGCAAGACCGTCCTGCGAAAAGCTGACATGAATACATGACAGACATACCGTTAGGAAGCCACGCACCCCATTTCGGAACTCGTCAAGTAGCTCACGCCTGAGCCGGTCGAACTCCCCACTCTTCTTGAACCTGACGAGCTTTGGTCCAACTGAGTCCATCTACAAAATTCAATATTGCTCACTCTTCAACCAGCTGCGTAGGGCTCTGAACGGGCATCTTGCTCAGGACATTTAGCAACTGATGAGGCTCAGATTATCACTGGTCCCATGGAGGTGAGAAGGGGGGAAGGCGGATGCGTGAACGCCGACCGAGAGCTTGCCGGCTCCCGCGCTATACTTTTAAGTGTCCACCGAAACCACGAAGTTCCCCTACATTTTCCCTCTAGGATCCTCCACGCTCTTGTGCCGGAAAGCATACGTGTATACACTGGCTTCATCATTAATAGTGTGACAGCAACGTAGACGGTGACATGGGATTTGGCCGTGTATAACTAACTGTCTCCGGACGTACTGGACGCGCCGCTTTGCATCCTACCCTCATCCGCGAACATGGCTGACTTCCCTCCTCTGAGGAACGACCTTCTCTTGAGGGCTGCTAGAGGTATGCTTTCTAGTCAGCGCGACGAAACTAAATCTGAATCTGTAGTAACCGGCAGGTGAGGAGACCGAGCGTGCTCCAGTATGGGTCATGAGACAGGCTGGACGATACCTCCCTGGTGCGTCCGAGCACCACAGGCTCTGCGTGCTGCTCTGAATGTGCTGCAGAGTTTAGAAAGGTCCGCGAAGACCACGAGTTCTTCGAGATCTGCCGCACGCCCACGCTCGCTACGGAAATCACTGTCCAGCCCATCCGCCGCTACTCAGGCCTCATTGATGCTGCCATCATCTTCAGCGATATCCTCGTCGTTCCACAGGCGATGGGAATGGAAGTTCTCATGAATCCTGGCCCCTCGTTTCCCTCTCCTTTGGATACCCCAGACGATATTGCCAAGCTCCGATCTAAAGTGGACGTGAAGAAGGAGCTCGGATATGTATTGGAAGCCATCACCATGACACGCAAAGAGCTGAAGGGGGAGGTGCCCTTGATCGGGTTTTGCGGCGCCCCCTGGACTTTGTTCGCATACATGGTCGAGGGCGGGGGCAGCAAAACTTTTCAGAAATCCAAATCGTGGTTGTTCAAGTACCCGAATGAGTCGAAAGAGCTTCTCGGTCGGATCGCGGATATCTGCACGGACTTTCTTGTTGAGCAAGCAAAGGCTGGTGCTCAGGTAGGTTTCCGTCCTTCAGTGTCGCCGAAATAAAAGCTAAGTCGAGCGACAGCTACTGCAAGTCTTCGACTCATGGGCAGGCGAGCTTGCGCCTCACCACTTCGAGGAATTCTCGTACCCAACCCTGCGGTATATCGCTGAAGGCGTCAAGCGCAAGCTCACGGAAGCTGGCGTGCCTGGCGTGCCAATGACGCTCTTCGCCAAGGGTGCCAACCAGTCGCTAGATGCGATGGCTCAGAGTTCAGGGTACGACGTGCTAGGCCTCGATTGGTGCGTCGAGCCTAGTCACGCGCGCTCCCTCGTCAAGGGCAAGATTGCGCTTCAGGGCAATATGGATCCTAACGCGCTGTACGGCGGCAAGAATGCCATTGAGCGCGAGGTTCAACGCATGTGTGCAAGCTTCAAGGTCGCAGGAAAGACAAAGGCGTGGATAGCAAACCTTGGTCACGGTATTACACCTGGAGTCGACCCGGAGGACCTGAAGTGGTTCTTCGAATGCGTGCACAAATATTCCGAAAACTAGAATGGAGCAAAGGGTGCATAGAATGTAATTGTGCGTAAAGGAACATGATCGGTGATTTTCTCTCTGAGCTTCATGAGGCATGGAGGTTGTTGGCATGTCGTGACATACGGGCATAATGATAGGAGCATATTGTACATTTCTTCCTGTCTGGCTGCGAGCCATCTACCGGCGACGGCTGCTCTGATAGGACCGTCCATCGTCGTGCAACCTCCTGCCTGAGGAGGCACTAGACACACTTCTATTTGGCACATGAGTCACCAACGGAGAGAACGAGACGAGCATGAGGACTTACTCAGACGACCGATGGCGGAACTGATCTAAGTGGATGACTGGTGATGCGGAACTGTGGGACCTGCTTGAGCTACTGTGCCCGCTACGGTGGCTGTGGTGGCTGGGCTCGTAGTGCCTATGAGAAGATCTCTCCTCGGGGTGGCGGCTCGAAGACCTCCTGCATAAGTGAGTCACCAAAGCACAGGCCGCAATGGTCACGCCACTTACGAGCTGTCCCCATAGGGAATGTATACAAGGTTTGGTCTCGACGAGGTTGACACCTTCCGGCTCCGAGGGCCTTCCCTATTCAGAAGAAATAGGTACATAGCCAGTTGGCCAAAGATGTCGCTGGACGTACCCCGCGTAATCCCGGTCGACATGTTGAGGCGGGCGATGCGATCTATGGGAACGGCTGGAAGTTCCGTCGTCGTACACACATGAGATGGCGTATACGGACATAAGAGAGGGTATACTCGCCTACCGTATCCTCTATCATGCTCATCGAGGTCATCATACGATCTGTTGCGAGGTGCATAGTCCAGAGACGATTCGTCGTCGAAACCAAGTCTGAAGTGCAAGGGGATTCAGAGGGGGAAACAAATGATCGCGCCATGGGACTGACCGTCCTATTTCATTGCCACGCTCGTCTTCGATAATGACGGGTCGCTGCTTTCGTGGCTTATAGCGTCCACTGAAGTCGCCGACTCTGTACGGGGTTAAGCATGGGTGGCTGGGGAGGAAAGCATTGGACGGACCTTGTCAGCTCATGGCCTTGGTCGTCCTCGAAGATGACAGGTGCTCCACCCGGGATCACATAGTATGTGTCTTTCTTGCCGTTACGGCCTCGCTCGACAACAACGACGCAGGGGGGATACCCGTCCTCGTCCTCGTCTAAGGTCCTGCCACTAGAGTTGCTTCGATCCTATGGATTAGCTATTCAGTGTCCGCACTCATTCGTATTCCACTGTGGCAGCCTACCCGTCTGCGATAGTCTCTCGTGCTGTGATAGTCCCTCGCACCCTGATAGTCCCTCGTACCCTGATAATCCCTCGTACCCTGATAATCCCTTGTACCCTGATAGTCCCCCGTATTGTGTGACCTGTACTCCTCCCGCCTGCCACGGCCGCTGTTCGAACGACCAATAATATCAGGCTGAATACTGTGCACAGTCGTGTTCGGTCCCTGCGGCACCAGGACCGGCTGGCGCGGCTCGACATACATATTACGCATCTGCGCAGACGGCGCAGACATCGGCGGGCCGTCTCTGGAGGACGGATAAGGTCTTTCCTGCGGCAGTGATAGCTCCGTGACGGGCCTCGTGGTTGGCTCGTGCTGGGCGAACGCCTCCTGGAGGCGGCTCAGTGAACTCTCGCGCTGCACGATTGGCACGCTGTTGTCATGCGTGTAGTGTGGGTCGTAGGCAGCGGTGTAGTGGTGATCCATGGCTGTCACCGTGGACTCGGAGTGCCTGTCAGATTCGTGGATGGGGATTGGGACGGGATTTGCAGGGCCGCGGCGTCGGCTGCTGCTGCTGCTGCTGCCTCCTCGGTGGTAGTCACCCATGCCAGAGTAGGACTCGGGATACTCCACGACTTCTTCTTCCCACTGTGGCCGCGGCATATACAATCGGAATGCAGCTTCGCAACAAAAACTAAGAAAGTGCTTACGCTCTGATGGTGGTCTCTTGAATCGATGTGTGGGGTGACCGTGCGCCAGGCAGGTGCGGGCGTAGGATGCGAAGGTTGTTCGTGCCGTCCATAGTCATCGTAGACGGGATACTCGCCATGCACACGGTCACGCGATTTTTTAGAGCGACCAAGGGATGGAAACAGACGAGGCATGATGGCTGGTCGGGAGAGAGGCGTCGCAATGAGAAGGTGTCAAGCAGAGGGCGATCTCCAACCCGCGGAGGAAGGGGCGAGGGCGACTCAAGCTGATGCTTGAGGCATGGATGGGGGACTGATCCTAATCCTTTCGTCGACGATTACTTTCATACCGAGCAGCAACGCGGCAAACATGAGGAGCGCGCGAGGTACGGCTCGCCCCTAGAGTGCAGATGAGCATGAAGACATCACATTTTACCCCGGTCGCACGTCGCGCAGTTGTGCGTGCCTCGCCAGAGTCTCGGAGTAGACTGGCCGAAAAGCGATAGAGATTGATAAGATGAACGCACCCTTGTCACTCGTGATTTCAGCTTCTAAACGTGTCTGCAGCAAGTAGTTAAGTTGATAGAGAAGTACAAGCCAGACCTTTCGTGTTAAATCAGTGATAGAAGCATCGCCTGTTCTCTGTGCATGCTGTAGGCCCATAATATCACCAGTACAGAGGAAACACTGCTCTGTTATGACCTGACCGTCTTCGCCACTATGAAAACTAAATAAAATGTCAGGCACAAAAACCCTCAACAATATAATTATGAATACCGACCAATTACCGCTCTACCAGAACACGCTTCCAAGAATATAGAGCTGGGAGGGGTGAGATGGTCATGCGACCAGTTACCGGTAGTTCTGCTGCAGCTGCTTGAGTTGTAGCAAGGCTTGGGAGACCTTGCCAATCGCGTCCGCGGTCTGGCCGATGAGACTCACGTCCAAGCCGTATGGACTCGAGACGCTCTTCAGCTTCTCAGTCAGCACTCGGAGGGACTGCTGCAGCACATCGGCGGAGTTTGCAATATCTAGTTCCAACGACAGATTATGTTCTGACGGTTTGCTGGACGGAACCTGGGTAACGGTCTGGTGGCATATATCGGCGCTGCAGCTCTCTCTCTCCGGGTAATATCACGTACCTCCGACGTCGAAGGCACCCCGACGAGTACCGGTGCATTCAAAGGCTGGCTCCGCTCGACAGCTTTATCCTTCGCTTTTGACGTTACTTGCATCTGCGCAATGGGCGCAGTTGATACGGCGGCCGATAGATACGATGCAGTAGAAGGCTCAGCAGAAGTGGAGGCCAGAAGAACAAGACGTTCGATTCCGTTGGCATCTATCTGATCGATGTATACAGCGTTGCACACGACACATTCCTATGCACCCGGTAAGGGCGGAGTGATATCCTCACATAGGCATTACGTACTTTGCGGGGATCCTTTTCTCCTCCTAACTTTGGCGGCCGGACCAAGGGAATGCCATAGCATGTCGAGTTTGGGCATTCGTCTGCTAGCATGGCCCAGCCTTTCAGCAGTCGCTTTCCGATTTCAGAAGAAGCCATATCGGACTGTTGTCTCCTGCGCATTACTTCTTCCGTGTCGACAGGCACAAAGGTAGGCGAGCTTAGAGTGCTGGATATCTCGGTGAGGGGAGTGGAAGTGCGGGAGATGTGGCTGCCTGTGTCGAAGCTAGACCTGGCGGAGTTCGAAGCGACAGAGGCAGTCTTGCCAGGGTTGTCATCACAGCTTGCACACCAGTATACAGACGAGTCGGTGGGTGACCGCATGAGAGGGACTTTTGAGCATTTCTTGCAGATGCGGTCTGTCAGAACCTGCCATCCTGAGTGAGGTGGGGTCTGAGGCAAGGATACTCGTCAACATACCCAGCCTTTGAGCATATATTCTCCCAACTTTCCAGACACGTCGATGACGGTGGACATCTCGGGGCAAACGCTTGAGTGGGATGGCGGAAGATGGCAGACAAAGATGAATCTAAGATAGAATATTTGTTGATGCGCCCGATCTAATCTCTGCTGTATCACGTGGTCACCGCACGTCGACGTGGTCTCTTTACAGACGCCTGCTGTGGACTGAAGCAACTCCCATGAAGTGGCCGACACACTGGCCCAGAGCCCTTCTCCTCCTCGTCGTGGCAACGCTAGAGGCTCAGTCATGGTCTCATCATAGCATCAACGGTGTGGCAGCCGCCGCACCTTGGACTCGCGACAGAAAGCTGCAGGCGAGGTGCGTCGCGTGCATGTAATTACGGCGCGCTTCGGTCCTCAATAGCTGACTCCTTCGCGTAGGAACAACACCCGCGAGCTGTGGTATCACGGCTTTGACAATTACATGAAGCATGGTGCGTGATAATTAACTCCTCCGCCTATCTGTGAGAACTCATCTCCTCGTAGCGTTCCCCATGGATGAGGTTTGTGCGGAGGCCTGGTTTTGTCACAATCCACACCTGAAACACCGTTCAAGCTTGCCCCTTTGTCATGCTCTGGGAGAGGTCCCGATTGGTACAATCTGTGAGTCTGCATGTCTCTCTCGAGGCGGAAGCTGCTGACTGCATTTCAGGGCTAACGTTGCGACAAATGATGTCGCCGGAAACTTTTCCGTCACACTCGTAGATGCCCTCGACACCCTCGTTGTGCTGAATGACACCATAGGCTTTGAGAATGCTGTCCAGGATGTCATCAGGGCGGTATCTTTCAACGTCAACACCAAACCACAGGTCTTCGAAACAACTATCCGCGTCTTGGGAGGTCTATTGTCCGGACACCAGTTCGCTAGCAAGCCAGGACAACCATTCTATATACCATGGTACCGAGGTGAACTATTATCCTTGGCTCATGATCTGGGGGAACGGCTTTTGCCAGCATTCAAGACACCTACTGGGCTGCCATATGCTAGGGTACTTGACTGTTTGTCATACGAGATGATCTTATGTGCTGAGCGATGCCGCAGATCAATTTGAGACATGGTATACGTCCAGGAGAGTCTATAGATTCCTGTATGTACTATTTCCTTTCATTTCTGGTATATATTTACAGAACAGGCAGGCACTGCGGGTGCAGGATCTCTTATTTTGGAGTTTGGAACTCTCAGTCGACTGACCGGAGATGATCGTTTTGAAAAAGCCGCCTACAAAGCTTTTTTTGCCCTATGGAACAAAAGATCCGATATTGGGCTTGTCGGAAACACCGTCAACATTTGGACAGGAGTAAGCTCATTTCTATAAGGCTGAGTTATTCACCCGACGTTATTATATTTTTATTTATTTATTTAGACATGGACTCATCCTGAGGTCAATGGCATTGGAGCTGGCGTTGACTCATTTTATGAGTATGCCTTGAAGTGGTACATCTTGAGCGGTAAGTGCAGCGATAATAAATGTGCGGGTGTAATCTTGACTGGAAATGTCAGGCGAGGTGGAGTTTCTTGATGTCTTCCAAGAGGCTTACGCCGCTGTAATGCGTTATTCTCGAGCTCCGGATGGATTCTGGGTATGTCTTACGCAAAATCCGCAGTCCTCTACTGACAGCAACAAAGTATCGTAGCGCCAATATTTTCACGGTCAGATACACGAGGATCACATACGAAATGCCACGCTAACTCACAATACAGGGTGATCCAGTGTACTTGACGGTCGACTCTCTGTCAGCGTTCTGGCCTGGACTTCAAGTCCTGGCGGGCGATATCGAGAATGCTATCAAGTCCCATATGATCTGTGAGGGTCATCAACAAGACATCCTTATATGCACTAAACTTCTACAGATTGGAACCTTTGGAAGAAATTCGCGGGCTTACCCGAAGGCAAGTTGATGTCGTGTCGGCGTAGCAGTACGAGTCGCTAAATAAGGAGGCAGTGTGGGACATGAGCTACAGGGCGGCGACCTCGCTTCAATATCCTCTACGGCCTGAATTCGTTGAGTCAACATGGTACCTGTACCGAGTAGGTATCCTTCCCGCTCTTCGTTTATTCCCGTTCTCATGAATAGTACAGGCCACTCGGGATCCGTTCTACTTAGATGTTGGAGAGCGAATACTTTCAGATATCATAGTCCGGGCCAAAGTCGACTGCGGGCTTACTGGGATTAGTGACCTCAAAACGAACAACCGCGACGACCGGATGGAGTCGTTCGTGCTATCGGAAACACTGAAGGTGAGTTCAACACCGCCCCAAAAAGCTTCTTCTGATTGTGGCTATAGTATCTATACTTGCTATTTGATGAAGAAAATGAGCTACATCGTGATGATTCGAACATGGTACTGACTACGGAGGGCCATCTGTTGAGTATGAACCGCAAACTAGAGAAGCCCATCTCTGCTGTTCGCCGAGAATTGCGGAGAGTGGAACACCTCTCGTGTCCAGCATACAAACCCCCGGTGCTAGCTACTGATCCCGTCACAGGGAGCGGGCTGACTGGCGGTGTGTATACAAGACCTGACGTCGATTATGCGCGGGCACTGGTCGCGGCTCCTGCAACGGGATCAGAGGAGTACGTTTGGTCACCGGACGGGTTCTGTCAAATGCCCAAAGTCGATCTTTACGTGAGTGCGATTTGGAGCTGTCGATACTGCAACGCTGACGCTGCTAACTCAGACGTTCGACTTTCTATTGTCACCCGACGGACAAGCCGTGCCAGAAGACTTCAATCCAACCTCGAAAAAACTTGTCCCTGTATCAGATGGCTATGTCCTGCAAGACGTTGCTGGTATTAGGGCATATATTGTCAGTCGTATGGACGGCAAAGGTTACGATGTCACAAAGCGTGAGTGGTCTCCTCTCGAATCCCTTAGAAAGTGTACGCTTACAAGTCGTATAGTGGGACCATACAGCGTCAAGACTGGGCAGATTGTCTATGTCAATGACTCTCACCTCCTGTTAGCACCTTTGGATGGAAAGGGTGCGATAAATGAAGACGGGGTTGGCAGTAAGCGTCGGTCACCCGAGGTCGAACTTCGTATCTACCTCGATTTCTTGGGCTCTTCAGACGCAGTCCTGCAACTGCACCATGAAGCTCCGAGCGAGGCCTTTATCACAGCCTCCACTGCTATGTTCGGTGCAGATCCCGCGGCGTCGTACCCGGACAACACGGTCCGCTTCGGCCGTGGAGAGGGTGCCCGCCTCGTGCGCGACCCTTCCAACTCCTTCGGCTGCATGCCCTATAAACAGAAATACGCGGGCGAAGCTTTGGTTGTGCGGCGCGGCGAGTGTACATTCCTCGACAAGTTGTTCGAGGCTGCTGTCGCCGGGGCCTCTGGCGTCATCGCAATCAGCGACGAGGATCACAGTATCACGCCGTCTGCGGGGGCAGACGAGTTGCAGGGCATAGATGATTTGCTCGAAGACGCCGCGATCGTTGTCGTGAACCGTTCCGACGGCGAGCTCATCACTGCGATGCTGAACGCCGCAGACGGTTTCGGGACTGGGCAGGTGAGGGCCGCAATCGCACCTGAAACAGTGCCTACAGTAAGTGGCGGAGGTGGAGACGAAGAATTTTCCTCTGAGGCGAGGAGGCAGAAGGCGAGGGACGGGAACCGGATTCTATATCTTAACGGGCACCCGCTGGTCAATACCCGACTCATGGTCTAATTTGTACAACTTGGTTTCGTCCAGTCTATCATCTACGGGATTATACACTAGACTTGATAAATATGGAATTGATCTAGTCGTCACACTGAACAATGGAATAGAGAGGGGCGTCGAGCTTATCGGCAGCCTTGAGGAAGGTGAGCTCGATAATGAAAAGGTACTCAAGGATCTTCCCGCCGAGCTTGGAGACGAGCTCACCGGCGGCTCTAGCAGATCCACCTATGTGTAGCACATTGGGTAGACGGCAGGAACTCGTGAGGCAAGATGCGTACCAGTTGCAATGAGATCGTCGACCACGACGACCGATTGGCCGGGTTTAATAGCGTCAGACTGCATCTCAAAGGAATCCTTAAATCCTGAGGTCAGCATCGGCAGAGTTCCATCATATCGGCACTCACAATACCGTATTCCTTCTCGAAGCTCGCAGTGACACACTCGCCAGGGAGCTTGCCTTTCTTACGCACAGGGACAAACGCTGCGCCCAGCCTCATCGCGATAATGGGACCGAGGAGGAAACCGCGTGCATCGAGGCCCACGAGGACATCGATTTTCTTTGCCGACGAGGCAGGGATCGTCTTGGAGGTGAGGTGGTGGACGAAGTGGGTGATTAATGTCTCGAATGCGACAGGGTCACGGAGGACTGGGAAGATGTCCAGGAAGACAATGCCCTGGAGCGCAAGAATAATAAGATGGGCGGCCGAACTGGGCTACATTTCAAGTACCTTCTTGGGGAAGTCGGGGTGGGCCTTCAGAAGGCTCTTGATGTAATCGGTGTCCGACATGACGCTTGTGAGGACGTCAAGATGTACTTAGAATGTGCAGGACTTTTGTGCACAAATTTGAGCTTCTATAGCTTGCCAATCAAGTCTCCCACGCGCAGATTGTCTCAATCGGTCGCTAGAAGTCAGACATGATGCATGAAGATGCAAGCAAGTCCAAGCTACGTGTAGTTAGTGGTCATACTGACTAGATTCGCTTCTTCGGAAGACATGGTACCGCCGTCCCTCCCCCTCTCGTCAACCTCAAGCCCCACAGGGCGCAGTGCCATGTTCACCCCATTCAGCAAGCAATAATGATAGCGAAGCGCACGAAGAGCATAGACATGGTCATCATACCCTCGAGCATAGTGGGAGGAAATTGTGCATGATACAACAAGTGATGACAAAAGAGGTAACGATAGCTTAGACAGACTCGAGGATCTCGGGCTCCTTGAAGTCCTTGACCACTCGAGTGCCAGTCTCCTAGAAAAAGTATATATCAGCAACGATTTCGAGGGAAGGCATGAAAGTGACGCACGTCTGTCGACTCGCCATGAAGCTCGAGGAGCTTCGAGAGATCGAACCTGGGTGCCTTCAGGATCTTCGCCTTGTGGACGTAGACATTTTGAAGGGGATAGATCGAGCGGGCAGCCTTCTCGATCTCACGACCAATCGCTTCGGGCACAAACTTCTGCACTAGCTCCTTCAAGTCGCAGCTGGTGGCCTCCCGAGTCATGATCTCGAACATCTTTTTCCGGATCTCGCGGATCTGGGAAGATTGAGCGTAGGTGGTCTTGCGAACCTGATTTGGCCGACGCTTGGTGAAGCCGATAGTGAAGAGACGAATCAGGTATCCGTCGGTGGTCTTGACATCAACGTGAGCCTCAATCAGGGTCTGCCACTTGCGGACAAGTGACCGCAGCTTGTCAGAGGTGAACGACATGCCGTGGAAGTTGGTCAAGCAGTTCTTGCCCTGGACCTCGTCAACTCGCAGCTTGATCTTGCGGAAGGCCTGCTCCTCATCCTTGTTGAGGTCAGCAAGCGAGACCTCGATGATACGACCCTTGAGAGAGTCGTTCGCGTTTTCTAAGAAATGGTAAGCTTCTCCTGTGCAGGACCTACTAGGCTTAATTTCACGCACTAAGGCCCTGAGACCGATTGACGAGAGTCTTGCCAACGTTCTTCACCTCGAAGATTGAAGGCGCTTTGATGTCATACCAGTCTAACAACAGAATTTCAGCCCCTTCACCCATGTATATGATTCTTGCTACTCACCCTTGCGCGAGAAGGGGTCAACGACCTTTTTCTTGATACCCTTCTTACCCTTCGAGAGACGCTTGTTCTACGCGCACAACCTGTAAGTCCAGCTTCGTGTTGCAAATTGACACAAGCTATGCACCTTTCCGACGGCCATGGTAGATTGAAGAGTGCAGTAAGGAAGGGGCCGTGAAGAACGAGCCGGCTTGAACGGGCTTGTGTTTTGAGGGATCGCGCGAGCACCTACTACGGTAGATGCGTGACAAGCCACCGTGACAAAATATCACAAACTCTATTTTCGATGCTAGACAGAGCATTCCCACGCTTTCACAGGTCCCCCAGGTTATCCATGACACTCACTCGCTCAGAGTTCGAGCACGCCTGCAGAGCATATCTTTCGAAATATTGTCATCTACGGCCTGGGAACGACACAGATCACGACGATGCACTGTTGAAGAGGTATCCTGCTGGTTGGACATGGCACGAGCACTCAGTGCGCACCACGGCTCCCTCGACACGCCGACGCTTAGATTTTGTTCTAGCCGGTCTCGGGCCTCGGCTATCTGTCTCGCCTTGTCTCTATACCCTCTCGACCCCTGCATGATAGTGATGACCAGCCGACCGAAGCCCTCGCTGAAGAGCCTGAAGATGAAGCAACTGCTCCTGTGCTCAGCGAACTCCTCACTTGTCGGCAATTTGTAGTATTCTCGCAAAGCTTTCAAGTTCCCGCTTTGTACTTTAGCATCCACCACAGTAGTAGGCATTGCCATTGGAAAACCATGTCTATATTCATATGGATTACTTCATTCAGATGGCGTCCCGCTCACGCTGGAGGAGATAGTACTATCTTCGATGTTCTTGCGGTCAGCATTACCTGGAACACGTAGGACCTCCTTTGCCCTGGAAACTCCGGATTCCTCCTTTGCCATGCTCTCGCAAGGAGAGCATCCAACCTTGAATACGCCGTGCTGGTATCTGCACCCTTGTCACACCGCAGAGGTCGTAGATGAGATCATGAAGGAGGCAGACTGCGGGAACGTGGACAGATCTCTAAGGTGGTTAGAGGCATGGTTTATGGTGCTTGCAAATGTTGTAGACTTTAAGCGGGATAGCTAGGGCCGCCCTTCTAGCGTCCCATGATGTTAGATCCGTAGGAGCTTACGAGGATCGTCATTGGCCCAGTTACGCCCGACGTCAATTCACATGTTCCACAATGTTGTCTCCTCGGAGGTATAAAGCAAAGCTCGCTCGTCAGCGAGCCTTCCTTCATCCCCGAGGCTGTTAAGCTTGTCGTGCCACCCCACATTTTGTCCTCGAAAGATCTGCGTTGTCAGCCTGTCGTACGATCGTGCGGTCGCTAAAACGATAGCCGCGATATAAAGCACCCCGCCAGCATGTTTGCGACACGCAGCGCTCGCTCTACCCTACGCTCTTTGTCCATCTCCTTCTATCGTACAATGGTGAGTGCTGTTATGAAAGTATTTACATGCGCGAGCCTGACAATTTTGCAGGCTCACCAAGCGCACGAAGTTGTCATTGTCGCCGCCAGTCGCACTCCCGTCGGCTCTATCAACGGCACTCTCAAGACCTTAACTGCGCCGGAGCTCGGTGCTGTCGCCCTCAAGCACGCTTTCGAGACGTCAAAGGTGGACCCGGGAGTAGTCGAAGAAATTTACTTCGGCAATGTCGTCCAGGCAGGTGTCGGCCAGTCGCCAGCGCGTCAAGTCGCCCTCAGCGCTGGCATGAGGACCAGCTCGGACGCGACTACGATCAACAAGGTCTGCGCTAGCGGTATGAAGTCTATCATGCTTGCTACCCAGAGCATCCAGTCCGGCTACAAAAGTGTGGTAGTTGCCGGTGGTATGGAAAGCATGAGCAATGCGCCGTGAGCCTGCTTCAAGTATCCTTGGAGCCATACTGACCCAGGGATAGTTTCCTAATTCCCCGCAATCCCCCCGTATTCGGCAAGTTTGAGACCAAGGACTCGCTAGAGAACGACGGCCTTTGGGACGTCTACAACAAGTTTGCTATGGGCAACTGCGGTGAGCACGCCGCCGAGAAGTACAGCATTACCCGCGAATCGCAGGATGCCCATTGTATCGAGTCCTACAAACGTGCTGAGCGCGCCTGGAAATCTGGTGCCTTCGACGCAGAGATCGCACCCGTTGCGATCAAGACCAAGAAGGGAGAGACTGTCGTTCGCGAGGATGAGGAATACAAGCGCGTCATTTACGAGAAGGTTCCAACCCTGAATCCCAGCTTCAAGAAGAACGGCGGCACCATCACACCTGCAAACTCTTCGAGTTTGAACGATGGTGCTTCTGCCCTGATCCTCATGTCTGCTGAGAAAGCGAAGGAGCTCGGCGTTAAGCCTTTGGCTAAGGTTATCTGTGAGTCCCTTGTCTGTGTACTATGTCTTCTTATCTTTACTAAGACACAATAGCGTATGCGGATGCTGGCGTCGATCCGATTAATTTCCCCGCCGCTCCTGCTGTCGCGCTTCCCATCGCGCTGAAGAATGCGGGCTTGACTAAAGAGGATATCTCGCTGTACGAGGTTAACGAAGCCTTCTCTGTCGTCGTTCGCATTGTTGAGAAAGAGCTCGGCATTGACTCATCAAAGATCAATGTCAATGGGTGCGTTCCCTCATGTCCGGATTTCCGGCACATCCACTAACTTGGGTCTTGCAGTGGTGCTGTCGCCCTTGGCCATGCCATCGGTAACTCGGGCGCCCGTATTATCGTCTCGCTGGTGCATGCTCTTCAGCCTGGCCAGTATGGTGCGGCTGGTATCTGTAATGGGGTACGTGTTTACCGTTACCGTCTCTGGCTTCATGTGCTGACCTCCCCGCTTGTCTTAGGGTGGCGCCGCTTCCGCACTCGTTATCCAGAAACTGTAAATTATCGGGACTATTAGGACTTCATCGTGTAATTTGTTTTATCTGTACACTCGCTATCATACTTGCTATATCATCTGGTTTCCCGGAGATATTGCCGCCGTTTATCGCGTAGGCGTGACATAGAGCGGTGCCCAATTGCGGTGAGAGCAACCGTCTGAGTCTCGGAATATGGTGCGGATGCATTTTGGCTCGACTCATTTCGTGTGCTAATACGCTCCCCAGATACCACTGCACCTCGACGCGACTGCGAAACGGGTGCACACACAAGCGCATATGGATGGCCCTTGCCAGGCGATACCAGCATAAATATGCAAGGTTTGTCCTAATTCGAGTTTACTAGTGTGGGGAGAGCGGGCTTGTGCTCCGCAGCATCATGGGTTTCCCTATCATCGGACAGCAGTATAACTTGCGTTCTGCGTGGGATCCCTCGTTTGGGAGCTCGATAGGTGTATATTTCGCTGAAGCTGCGCGTGGCGAAATATTTGGGTTTGTATCATGGCATTCTCTGATCTAACCAACGCCGCTATTGACAGTTGTGTATGCATGTAGGATGCGACGTTGTCATCCGGAGCGTGATGCATATGCTGCAGGCATCCACATGTTTGTTCAAAGCCTTCTTCGCTTTGCGTTTCCTCCTTGAAAGGTGCGAATGTTGTGTAGCCCCAATTTTAATCCTCCTCCGAGGAGCAAATCTCTCTTCTGGAACGCGTCCGTGAAGATCAGAGTGCACGGCCAACATGCACTGGAAGAAGGATCACATTATCGAGGTAGTATGACGAATGTTCGGACGTGGCTAATCGTACTTTCGACGTTGATGAGTGTGTATGTTTGAACCTGCACGCATGAAAGTAGACTCATTGATGTACAGAGAGTATTTCCACTGGCGGTCTCAGCAATCGCAAGTCCTCGCGCAAGCCACGATCCAGCCATATGTCCCTCAGTCAGCAACATAATCATCAAGACTCTCGGCTACATGTACGTGGCCTGCGACAAGAGCTCATAGCACGTCCGCGCTCATAAAGGTGACCATCATACTGCTGTAGTAGTTCTAGACAGACGCTCGTCTCGACAACGCCTGCAGTAGCGTCCGCCATGGCTTTGCTCCGTGGTTGGTACTCGGACAAGTTGCAGGCCCTTCTTAGATCACTGCACGGGAAGTGAGACTGAAGCGTCATATCATGTCACGCATGGTGCCCGCTGTCTTTGCGTTGGTTCCCACTACCGTCGGATCCACGATGCTGATCGGCTTGAACGATTCCGGCCAGAAGGGCGTTCTCCTGTTTGGTGTGTGCAATAATCTTCATCATTTGACCCGAACTAATGTCGATGTAGCTGTTTAACTTATTGGCACCTTCGAAAGCGCACTGTCTGCCATCTATGCTTACTACAACGCCAGTAACATTAGTGGCCACGCGGGGGAAGTGCAGCGTCACGCGATTTCTTCTCGCATTACGCTGAAGTGCTCTCAGAATACCATCAATGCGATGTCCTTTGTCTCCTATGGTCTTGGCAACATCATTGGCACTGAGATCTTCTGGGCCAAAGACGCGCCAAAGTACATCCCGGGCATAATCGCCGTCCTGGCTCTCCCCACCGTCCCTCCTTTCATTTACTACCCGCTCCGAGGCATCAACTTGCGCATGAACAAGCAGAGGAAGGCGCGGCTGGTCCATGAAGACGTCCAGTGGGAACGTAAGCGCTACACCTTCGTAGATCTGACAGATAAACAGTGCGTCTACCCTCGAAGTTGCTCCCTCTTAGCCACTGACCTGCATCCCAGAAACCTGTTCTTTGTGTACACCGCATAAAGTGTACTGTGGTGATTCCGCCCAGACGCCGAGCTATCCGTTGTATCATATCTATGCACACGGACGAGTGAGAGCTTGAAACCAATTGAGGCAATCCACTATCTTCGGCTTGATGCCGTCCGGTGGAGAGTAGACTTGTGACCAGTGAGATTACCGTGACTTCCGCTAAACGAGAGGTACTTCTGAGTGCATGCATGCATGGTGCAACCCACGCTCTCACTATCTCGTCTGGTGGAAAGTATATCAGTGCGGGGAAATGCTCAGGTTCGCATTCGCTATCCGCCTGCGCAGCATCTAACGCCTAGTACCGAGCAATATGGAGAAGCGCAACGACATCACGATTGACGACGCCGAGAAAGCAGTTGGCCGTTCAACTTCTTCGCTCGACCTTGACGACAAAGACGAGGCTCTCAGGCTTGTGGGCCTTGAGCGAGCGGAGTCCTTCACGGAAGAACAGTACCGCAAAGTACGATGGAAATTGGTGGGTACCTCAGCATGTATATGGCTGCTCCCCCTACACTAGACTTATCCCTGTTATTCGTCAGGATATGGTGATCCCGCCTTTATGCCAGGCAGTCTACTGTTCACAGTACCTGTAGGCACTGGCACTCTTACCTTCCGTTGATACATAGTCGCTCATTTTCGACGTAGTGATAAGAACGTCCTGAACTATGCGAGGTGAGTTGAATTGATTCTCGCTCCTGCCGAGATCCTGACCTTTTCGTAGTATTATGGGTTTGCCCATCACGGGTCAACACTATAACCTTATTGCGTTAGCCTTCTACCTCGGTCAATAGACATTCTGTTGCTGCGCTGCGTTCTCCCCACTAAGTGGCTTCTAGGGTTTCTCATTTGGGTCTTCCCCACCATGTACATCTCCCAACGGCTGCGACTCGGCAAATATCTTGGTGTCAACGTCGTGCTATGGGGGATCATCATGATGCTGCACGCAGTGCCCAAATCCTTCGGTCCATTTTTTGTCTTGAGACTCTTACTGGGTAAGTATATGTGGGCTTAGCTTGCATCATCGGAGCCTCTGACTAAAACATGTAGGCATGCTCGAGAGCTGTGTCGCTCCCATCCTCATTTTAATCATATCTATGTTCTATACCAAAAATGAACAAGTCAGTGTTTATTTAAGTGGTTATCAGCCCTCCCTTTCCCTCTCTGACAGTCCGACGTTCCCTAGGCTCAACGTATATCCTGGTTCTATCTTATGGTATGGAAATTCTTCGTCCATGTAGACCCCCAGATGACTCAAGACGCGATTTTCAGAACGGAGTGTCAGGGATATTTGGGGGATTTGTGGCATATGTATGACGGCCACTTGCCGTTGTCCACCCTATGGCTGACGAATCTCTCAGGGCATATCGTTCGACATCAATGCTAAGATCGCCCCATACAAGATCATGTACCTCCTTACAGGCGGACTGGCCGTCATGGTCGGAATAGCGGTGGTTCTCTGGATGCCTGACTCACCGCTACATGCACTCTTCCTCAGTCGGAAGGAACGTGTCATCGCGGTTGAGCGCATTCGGGACGACCAAGGCGGAACGGAAAACAAAACGATTAAGAAACATCAAGTAATTGAGGCGTTTTCAGATATTCGGTCTTGGATGATCGTCTTGCTGACCATCATGAGTGAGTCGGCCATGTTCATTTGTCCTTCGGCATCGTTCGCCTAAGGTTCCTTCAGCGGCTATTCCGAATGGAAGCTTGAGCAGCTGTGAGTCCTAACGAGTCTTAACGTGAACCTTTCGGCAGTGCGCTTACAACTTCTATTCCACGCGCAGTTGGGAACATTATCATTAAGGTGTGCATTTATACTGCAGTCCTGAACGCCTATGCTTAACTATTTCCAGAGCTTCGGCTACACGTTCGTATCTTCCTCAGGCTAGAACGCGATACAACTCGTCAACTCACTTCTGGTCTAGGTCACAGCAGGCGTTGATTCTTTCCGCCCCTATTGGCGCAGTCGGTATCATCAGTGCTCTGCTCTGTGGGTGGTACTCCGACCGTGCGGTGAGCCTTCTCCCTCTCCGTGCTTCCCGGCACTATCTGATGCGCTGGCATTGCAGTCGGAGAGGATGCTCCCAATCGTCTTGGGCCTAATACCTACGATCGTGGGCTCGGGTATGCTCGTCGGACTCAAGTCAACACCTGAAAATAAGGGCGCCCTTCTTTTTGGTTCGTACTGACCACCCTGCTTTTACCGCAGATTGAAAGCTAATCAATAACAGCGGATTATATCGTCACATTCTTTGGGAGCTCCCTCGCTATTGTCTACGCTTACAACGCCAGCAACACGAGCGGACATACCAAGAAGGTCACCGTGAATGCGATGACCCTAGCTGCATTCTGTATCGGTAACATCATTGGTTCGGAGACATTCCTACCGAAGGATGCGCCGAATTACATCCCCGGCAAGACGGCGATCCTCATCCTCCTCATCCTCTCTCTGGCCTTGTGCTTTGTTATCCGCTGGGTTAATAGGCATCTTAATGGCAAAAAGCGGAAGTACATCCAAGAGTTAAAGGAGCGAAACAACTGGACGGACGGCGATATCTTGAAGGAGAGGCAACGACACGCCTTTCTTGATATGACAGATCATGAGTACGTACCCTATGTGTTTTCGCTCCCTTTGCGCTTATGTGTCGTTACAGGAACCCGTACTTCGTTTATACGTCTTGATTACTTCGAAGGGTAGGTTTGGCGAACTAAAGGGTACTATTACCGACACCGTGACGTATTGAGTCAGTCCGCGTGTCTACCGTGTTGTGCAATCGCGCACGAATGCATCTGCATTTCATACCTAATCCCGAGGAGTTAAGTGAGAGACTGGATACCAACGGGGGTAACTGATCCCGCTATCTCAAGTCTGGGCTTGCTATCGCATTAGAGGGTCCGACCGCTCACGCAAGAGGCGTATGGTCATCTATGCAGCGCGCAAGGATAAACCATTCCGGGGATACGATAGTCAGCGCAGTGATGATCTTGATAGTGTCCTATAGCTGCTTTATAGTACTCGGAAACGTTCCAAGCTTCCAAGATACAATGCCTATTATGGAAGCTGAGAGGTAAAAGTATTTTGGCGGTATCCTGCTTGGGTATGCAATGGTATATAGCGAGGAATATCATGAAGTGCTTAGTCGTCTATGCCCGGACATGCTTCGCTGGTCTTATTCCGCAACAAATTTTTCTGTATCGTCCAAATCACGTCGAACCTATTTCCGTGCCTGTCAGCGGTAGTTTACAGATATATTTGAGGGCGAACTTGTGAACCTTTTTTCCGGCCAATTAGGAACATCGTTCACGCCTAGGTCCTCAGCGATGTCGGGCAGAACGCCAATTCCCCAGACGACCAGCATATTGATTGTGGGATTCTTCTTCGCGAAAGCAGAGAGAGCGTCACCGACACAATCTTTGTCGTCCCTGCCACTGACAAACAAGCATTATTAGTGCCTTGCTTATATCAACCCAGCTCGGCAGCGACGACTCACCAGCTAGTGTCGATGGGTATGCCGAGGCTCGCCGCAAGAGGCGCCACCGTATCGACAGACTCCGAATCGTTCTCTTTCTTCTTCGGAGGCTCAGCAATAATATACCCGACCGTGCGGTTTGTACCGGGCCCAAATACCTGCAGGTGGACCAAGAGATTAAGTCTTCTATTAGGATGGCGCGCACAGATACGCACGGTGGGCAAGCATTCAGATCTTAGGATGCCTGTCTCGTTGAGCCCTGAGCCGGCTTTTTTTGTATTCGTCTCCGCGTTGCGAATCAGGTATACGGTATTCTTGAATGTGGGGTCATCCTCCGCGACGACGCGTCCGCCGAAATACACCAACAGGATGAACCATGCCGTAGTGCAGAGTGGTAAAATCATCGCTTTACTTTGCCTCGGGTGTGCCCAAGAAGACCACCGACAGCGCCGCGCTTTTATAACCTTATGCAAACCCCAAGAGAGAGAAAACGCGAGCACTTTACCACCGCTCTATTGCAGGGAAGATCTTCAATTCATCCATTCTGTCAACCGGTGAACATTTGTGCGTAAAGACGAGACTGTTCTCAATAGGTCGATGGCATGGTCGGGAAGTCGGCGACTATTTTGCGGTGATTAGAGCCATTGGACAGGAGAGGGTTAGAGGAATTAGAGCGGCCATCCGAGGAAGAGACTGCACGGCGTATTCAGCGACGCTCGGCACATTCTCATGCTGTCTCCGCTGTGCTTCTTGGGATCACTTCTCGGTATGATTGCTGCCTATGCAGTATGTTCGGAGTGTTAGCATCGTAGTGCAAGTGTTCGCCTGATTCTGTGTGCGGTGTTGTCAGTACAAGGCTCCTTCCGCAAAACAACGCACGGGATGAGAGTGATTTTCTGGCTAGCTGAGATCCGCCACTGCCCGCTTCGTTTGTTTCGCGTTTAACAAACACGCGCGTGAGAAAGCGTGAGAGGGCGGAAAGTGGATTAGAAGCTATCAGTGTTGCTTCATTCGGACGCGAGAAGTGCGTTCCGTCCCGAGACGAAGCCAGTTCGAAATCTCCAAGGGAAATCTTCAGATCCTCAGATGCTGGGCGCTCCATGAAGCTTCAAACCGATTGGTCGAAAAAAAGCGCGGAGAAAAACACGAGCTGAGCCTGATTTGCTGTATGTCCATCACGACAAACGATATTTTCAGGAGGGGGAAGATAGGGCGAACTCGGGATTGAGTGTATTACTGCAAGGGCGATCTTGCGCACAGATTATAGTCGAAACGTTGGGGAGTACCGGGCCTCTGGAACTCTAGGTTGACTCTAAGCCGACATCTAAGTCTGATACCCTGCCCTAATCGTAACCCGTCTAGAGAAGAATGTCTAAAAGCGAAAGAGCCTCTTTCGCTCTAACTAGAACCACCGGACTTCGACCTGACGTGAAAAGAACAACGTTAATCAGCCTGAGGCGCGGGCATTGGGCTGATAGGGCACGTACAGCTGGTAGTAGGCGGCGACAAAGGGGATCGAGAAGCCGGCAACGAGGTAACCGACTACCTTGGCCGCGAAGACAGGCTTGCTCTTGTAGGAGAAGGGCACCGACTGGGGCGAGAATACGACACTCAATTTTTACACGGACATAAGGAGCGGGTAAACCCGATGAGTTGCTCACCTCTTCAGAAGTCAGAAAGCGCGACGAGGCAGGAGTGCGGCGGAGCGCAACTTGGCGGAGGGCAGCCTGGCGGGGGACATGAGCGAGGAGAGACATCGTAGCGGTGGTGGTTGAGGTACAAGCTGGGGGTACAGCGCAACCGAACTTGAGTCCGATGACGGTCGTACGGGCGCCTGATCCTGCCGGAAGCGTTCGGAGTACGACTCCGATGGCCTTCTTATTTTGATCCGTTTTCCGAAGTCAATATTTCAATAGTGGAATCGCTGCTTCGGCGATTCTAGCAGCCAATCACTAGAGGTCATTCAAATTGGACGAATTACGACATGTGTAGCGACTGGTCTTTGCTCTACTGTACATACAGAGTCTCTGGTCGTGCATACATTTACAATTACGATATACAGACAATATGTGAGCAATCATTATAGAAGCATGCAATGGATGAGAGTGATGCGATGAAGATCCATGCAGTAGCAAAGCTGTTTTGAGACATGTTATGCGGCGGCGAACTTGGATTTCGCGCGTAGTCGTGCGCCAATTTTGTGGAACACAAATCTAACATGAGATGAGGAATCAGTCAAAATGAATGAGAGCATGCTGTACACCAATAGCGACTTACGGTAAAGGAGCAGCAACAGTAGTCAACCCTGCAAGCAAGGCAGTCGCGCCAACCGTTCCCAAATGGTGGTACATCTGTCCTGCAAATAGCGGGAAGGCAGCTGCAAATGTAGTCCGCACTGCAGCGTTGGCTGCCATCGCGGACGCCGCGATTGGACGATAGGCCGTGACAGTGTACGTGAAGACGGAGGTGAAGATAAAGAGAACACCAGTCCCGAATGGTATCGAGGCGATGATCGGAGCAATCCAATGGACACTCCTGTAGGTCGTGAAGGCAAGCCAGTAGAGACTAGCGGGGACCATCACGCCTCCGATCATTGCTGGCAGGAGACGTGCCTCTGGAGGAGTCTGGCCACCGTGCCTAGCTGCGACTTTAAGCAAGTGGCTGTAGACAGAAAAGTTGAGCCAAGATGTTGTTGAAGTACACACTTCAGCACTCACCGGTTAAAAAGTGGCTGGCAGAGCAAGCCGAGGATCATGCCGATGCCAATACCAAGGAAGCTCATGCCGACAAACTCCAGTTCGAAGTGGTGAACTTGGCCAAATATTACTGGGAATGCTTGGAAGGTCAGGTAGAGAATTCCGAGGATGAGGGCACTCCAGAGGTCGAGCAGTAGCGCCATCTGGTCGACAACCAGCAATTCTAGAGATAATGAGTAAGTCTTGATCCACAATAAGATTAAAATTTCAGAAACCAACCGAATGGCACATAACAGCTCAGCATTAATGAGCGCGCCAGCGAGTGCTGCCTGTGATCCAGGGGCGCCCAGTAGCGGTCGTCGCCGGTCTGATTCCGCAGCTTCGCAGCTTTCCTCTTGAGCAGGTAGGGTGCGTATGTTTCTGGCACGAACTGCATGGTACTGTCAGAACGGGTGAGACTAAAGCTTTGAAGCGATACTTACAGCTATCAACATATTCCATACCGCGAAGGTCCAGATAATCAGGATGCGGAACGTCCATCGCCAGCTCGTGTTCTGCAAGTGCCCAAAAGAATCAGCTTCTGCTCAAGAACAAGACAATGCTACACACCTGATTGATGAATCCAGCGATGAGTGGACCAAGCACTGGGCCGATGAACGGGGAGCCAGTATAAAAGGCCATTGGTCTGCGTTATGAGTCAGATATTTGTGTCTCACTTGGAGTGGGCCTCACTCACGTTGCAATCCTTGAGTTATCGAACATATCACTGATACTGCCTCCTGCTACGCTCAAAAATGCAGAGCTAGAGAAGCCAGTCAAGAATCGGAAGATGAGATAGACGGCTGCATGTCAAGGATTGTGAGCGACGTTGAAGCACGACATCGTAAAGCCATACATACCAATATTTGGTGCGAATGCAACTGCCCACGAAAAGGCAAAGAATAGACCGTAGGAGATGCGATATACCCAGTTGCGACCATAGACTTCTGACAGTGGCCCGATCAGGAGGGGGCCAAGACCTCGAAGGGAGTCAGATTTAAGTCAATCTTAGCACGAGAATGTACATACCAAGACCCAGCACAAACAAACTGACTCCCAAGATAGCCACTTCGCTTCCAACATGGAAGGTACTCGAAACTCCTGTTTCTGCGAATGCAGCCTATATTCAAGTCAGCATGGCCGTCACAGACTTGTACGACGACATACCATGGATGACGCAGACGTTGCACATAGTGTACCAATCGATATGACAAAGATGACAAGCCATTTCCGCCAGGATGGCAGATTCTTTGGGTCGTCCTCGGGCTCAAGTGTAACCTCGAACGGATCGTGATCTTTACTTTGTTCGGGCTTGATTGGAGATACAGGTGGCGCGCATGAGGTGTCTTGTTCTTCGTCGTTATCGAGCGCATGTGCGAGTCGCTCGAGGTCCCTAGACGTGGGTCCCTCGACAAGCACCGTCTCTGAAGTATTTGTAGACATTGAGGTATCCCTAAGTGAGTAGGCGGGAAAGGTTGGCTGTGTTAAGACATGATGCTGTATGTTCAGAGACGTTATATAGCTCTTTGATACGCTGTGCTGCTGTTTGGAACTGCTGAACGAGAACCTCGGAATTAGCAGTAGCGGTTAGATGGTCGCTTTCTCCGAGTAGTGGCGCCGAATCACGTGCTTAGAATCCGACATCAGCGCCGCCAGAAGCAGCGCTCCTGACGTGGTAGCGCAAACTACTCAAGTACTCACCTCTTGCGCATAGAAACATTGTGAAAATGTTCAGACAAGGATAATGAAAAGGCCCACTGGTATTGCTCTCTGCTACAGAGTCTACAGGCAAGTTGAGAATCGCTTGCCCAATCGACACTCAGCAAGATGCCTACGTGCTACCTCCGAGGGGCTGACCTCCCCTTATTCAAAGATGTATCACGTAAACAGCTATCTCCTACAGTGCGCAAAGGTTACATCATGCAGAGACGATAGCAAGATGAGTTGTATATCGGCGTAATCGCAGATTCCGGAGGCAGCACTTTCGACATCGACGAACGAAAGTTAAGCCGTAAGCAGCATTGGCAGTTGGCGTGCTGGCTTGTCGGCATTAGCAACGCCGTTGAACCACCAAAGGCATGGCATACGAAGAATCTGAAGCTTTTGAACGTTGTGGCGTGCCGACCACGGCCAGCTGAAAAGCCTGGAGTCGCGCCAAAGCCTACTCAGCTCGACACTTCTCCCGACACTTCCGCCTGCTCATCGCTGAAGCGTAACCACCTTATGCGCTTGCGGAGCGAAAAGAGACGACTAGGGATGCAAATCGCTAGTTTCCGCACCATATTCCTGGTGGGCGCCGCAGTTTTCGGGGTCTCAAGATCAAGGCGCATCACCTTACGTAAGCCGTCTACGCGCGCTCCCGTTCCGTCTGCTCTTGCATGGCACGTCCCGGCGTCCCTCTGGCCTCCTGCGCTCGCTATCCTCTATCAGTTCTGGACGTGGCGCAGCCATGGCATTGAGCCTGAGACCCCCTAGAAACCCTGTCGTCTCCAAACTCGAAATCCTCGTCGCCTCATTTTCACCGTACACGCGCGACCTCCGCCATGTCACGGCCGTGGTTCCTGGCGCATGGAAGAAAACGCGTTTCTCGTGGTACGAGCCGAAGTTGAAAGACGTCAAGCCCAGAGACCGCATAAAGTGGTGGAATTTTGTCCCCGGAGACGAAGTGAGAATCCGAGGCGACCCGGAGGGCAGTGTTCACCAAGTTAGTTCGGTGAACAAGTTCACAAACAGAGTTTTCCTGCGAGCGCAGAATGTACGTCGTTGCACTTATCTTATCCATTGTGTCTGGTTTTACATTTGACTCTAGGACCACTCTCGAAAAGAGGGCCCGCCGAGGAATAAAAACGTCCATTACTCCAAGTGCCAGCTTTTGGTTGGTCGATTTAAGTTCCCACCTACGGAAGGCGTTACCGAGCCACAAACCCTACCGTACGTACAGTTTTCAATATGATCACTTTGAGCTGCAGCTAAGAGTTCATGCAGAGTGTTTGCGAGCCGTATCAGTACCTCACAACCGTTCTGGCATCCTCTTGCACGCAGGTTCCACTGGGAACGGTTTGCAGTGGCAACTCAGCCCCGGCTCCCAGACTGGTCACCTCATTCCGAGACAAGGATTCCGCTCCCTTGGCCCAAGGCTACAAAATCTCCAAGAGTTGAGCGTGAGTCGATTTGCCTTACCCGTTTAAGGCAAGCCAGAGCTGAATCCTGGGATGTGTCTGACAGCAACACCCTATGACACTACTGCCAAGGCCGTCGAAGAGATCACGTACAGACCCCCGACGCTGCCTGATAGTCTTGACGAGCTCTCGGATGTGGCCGCTCAGGTCCCTTCAGAGCAAGAATACATCAAGAGCCTTGCAAAGCGTAGCGCGTTCGACCCGGCGGCGCCCGTCGAGATCTACGTGCACCGCGAGCTGACGAACCCGCACTCGCGCGCGAAGAAGCAGCAGCGCTGGCAGGCGTACCAGCTCTACAGGCGGTCGTTGCTGCAGCAGATGATCCAGGAGGAGTACAAGAACCTCATGGGCCGTACGAGACGCGCGGCCCGCGCCGAGGCGACCTGGAAGTGGCGCGAGAAGCTCGTCGAGGAGCGCAAGGCAGAGATGAAGCGCCGCTGGGTCAACCGTGGCGCAGAGACGCGTCTCCAGCAGCGCCGCGCCCGCAAGGTGAAGAAGACAGAGCGCCTGCGGAACAAGATGCGGAACCTTGTGCTCCTGGATGCGCCCAACCAGGTTGTCCCTGGTCGGCCGCGCGCGGAGTAAAATAGTCTTTACATACACTGTTCTGCCCGTCGAATATGTTGCTACACGCTCACTCCTACCGTTGCTCGCCGCCCGATGGGAACGTGATACTATTGCATGTGCTGTAATGCCCAGCGTGCAGATGAAACCTTCGTCGGGTTCATGCCGGGCCGTGTGAGTGCGAGGATGAAATCGTCAGTATATGTCGATCCATGGATACAACTAGGGGCACTACTAGCACAGAGGGTAGAATATGGTAAAAGTACACATGTGGTATCGTCAGATGTCCCAAGGAAAGTGAATCTAGTAGATAGGTCATCATGTATTCTGAACCAACCCTGCACCAGCCCAAGGTGTTGAGGAGCTCGATTCCTCCGACTCCAGCGTCTACATTGCGTTGTCAACGACGGCCCGTTGAAGAATGGCACGCGCACCCACCTCGGCCAGCATCTTGACAACGTTGTCCACTTCGCTAGGGGGAACACCTCCGCATCCAGCACTGATGAGTTTGCGATACTGGGCCATCCGTCCGCCTGTGCCCGCCTCAGCCTGCGCCTTGACGAGCGCGTCGAACGTCTCCACCCTTCGCTTTTTGTGAACGTGCACCTCATTCCTGAGATGCTCGCACTGTGCTTTGATCGCCTCCGGATCCCTCGGGACATCCGCATGAAGGGCCAGCAGGTCCGTGATGTCGTCGCCGTTCGGAGCCTGGTAAACTCCGTTCTCCATGTTCATAGGCCTGAGACTGCCGCCCGACATATCGCGTATCGCCTTCTCGCGCTCCTCCTCGTCCTTGACCCACTTTTCCCACCCGAGGCGGTACCGCTGCCCCATCCTGGCGCGGAGCTGGCCCTCGAGCTCTACGAGACGAGCCTTGGCCTGCGGGAGGCCCTGCGCCTGAGTGCGGAGCGAAGTAACGGTGCGCTGGCTGTCAAGAATCTCGCCCTGGATGTTCGCCAACAGCGCGCTCGCCTGGTTCATGTCGCGTTCCTTGTCACGCAGTTCTTGGTCGTACGCGCCGGCAAGGCTGCCTAACAGTGCCGCGACGTCGTTGACGCAACGCGTCGCCGCCTTTTGGCCGGTCATGGAGTAGTGCAACGTGGGCTTGTCCATGCTGAACGTAGGGGCCAGCGGCTGAGTATGTGCAGGTGGCACTGGAGGCGGCGGATTGGCGGCTTGTGCGTTCCGGAATGACATGGACATCGTGCGCGAGGGAATAATGGGCGAAGAGCGGAACCGCTCGTCCTCGAGAATATAGTCCTCGGTGCTTTTGCCGTCTTTGTTCCTAATCTTTGGGTCTGCGCCATGGTCGATGAGGATTTTGACAAGGCGTTTAGACCTACACCGTGCAGCAAGCGTCAGTGCCGTTTCCCCATCTTCGTCCTGAAAATTGATTATGTCAGCGAGCTCCCGTGGGTAGTCTGCAAGCCGACTGAGAACAGTCTCCATGTAATAGCGTGCCGCGTGCGTCTTGCCTTTGGACATCGCCACGTCCACGATGTGGTGGAAAACTGTCCGGTTATTGTTGTCGATATTCAGAGTCGACCGATGTAGGAGCTCGTATAAGTCGGGGAACTTGCGCACGTCGTAGTTGTTGGCAAACATGACAGAGCGCATGAGCGCAGTCTGCCCAGCTCTGTTGACCTTGAAGATGTCCGCGCCTGCAGTGAGCAGCAACTTGACTACGCGTATGCGTCCCATCGCGCTCGCCCAGTGAAGCGCGGTGTGGCCATCATCGTCGATGGCCATATTGGGGTCGAAATCAGGTGGCGGACTAATGAGAACTTGGGGGATTTGATTCGTGTCCGAGATGAAGTACTCAAGGATCTGATCGCCGTAGGACGCGGGTTCTTCATGCTTGCCGTTTACTTCGGAGACGATATCTGTGTCACCGTCGTCGTGCCGAGCCTTGCGCTTGCGAGGATTCGGCGGGGACGGCGATCTGAACTCTTCAGCAAGTATGGAGAGCGAAGCCGCGGGGCTGCTCCGGATAGGTGAGGGTGTGCGTGAGCTGGACGACGCTTCCGAGGGCGAGGGTGTCATGGAACCGTCGTCCGAAACCTTAGCAGAATATGTTTCTCGGTCGGAATCGTCACCCACGTCAACGGGAGCTTTTCGCGATGAGCGAGTGCTAACAGTTGGGGTTGACGCATGTGGCTCCGCGCGGCGGGCAGGGAGCTTCGGATTCGACGGAGCAGCGACAAGGTGCTTTGGGGCCAGTGGCGGACTTTTGTCGCTGGCTTCGGGATGAAATTCAAGGATGGGCCGTAGAAGCTGCTCGCTGTTATATTGTTGACAGAGTTCAATACCGCGCTCTAGGGGTATCCATGTACCTGACAGGGAGCGGTGTGAACACGCGAGACAGTCGGGGATGGGATGTGCACATGCCTTGGTATTTTCCATAGCCACCTTGTACTTTCTCGTGTTCGCCTTTCTGCACTTCTCTCTCTAGAATACGAGTCCGCTGGGGTTTATCAAAGCCGGCGACCTTGAGAATTTGGGTCGCATTGAGCCATGAGTCTGAGCGGCGCCTCATGACCGCAACTCCTTTGCACATCCTAAGACAACGCAAGGTGGGAATATTAGCCACATTCTGTAGGGTTATGCACCTTGGCCTTACATTTCATAGACCGGAATACCACTGTATGTGGCCTACAAGGTGAGGTCAGCAAACGAGCACTCGGCTGACCATCTCGCCAATTCACGCACTTTGAATATCTGACCGTCCGGCATTTTGAGACGTTAGCTATCGTGAAGCTCGTTTTCGGAGAATTGATCGGGAGCCTGTAATCGACGAGGCCGACTTGGATGGTGGTGGGAAGGAAGGGAAACGCGTGATGTCCTTCCGAACGCGCCTCAAGTCGCTCGACGCGACACGCACCGACAGGCGCCCGTTACCCACAAAGCGAACGCACACGATTTGGAGAGCAATTCGCGACTCCCTGTCAGCGTCGCAAATGCGTATTAGAACAAGGAAAGCGGAGAGGGACGAAATGGCAAGGAGGAGGGCCTCATCGGCTCGGGACTATGAGGGCGGTGAGTGCATCCATATCGAGGCATCCGCTCTTGAAGCCCCTGATGCATGCGCGGGAGACCTCAAGAGGGTCATTATTCGCTGCAAGCCAAGGTTTCGGACCATACGACACCGCGGTGCGTCTCAAGAAGGGGGCTGTCTGCACAACCGCTAGGTGGCCGGTGCTAAGACCCTTGAGGCACACCACAACGCGGCTGGAAATATGTTATCACAGGATTCACACAAATTCTCGATAGCCTAGATCGTGTCGTCCGTAGCTACATATTTTCGGTGAACGAGGCGGCGGCGACCGTCGAGGACAATAAAGCGAAACATGAGGCTGACACGGTCATGCGCGCGTCTAGTGCATCGCCGCGTGTCGCGTCACGAGACCACGAGGCAGACAGGCTGCAGCACGCCCAAGGACGCCTGTCCGCGTTTGTTTCCGCTCTTTCAACATCTGCCCTCTACGCCGGCAGCGATGGCGAACTCATGTGAGCCCCTCTGCCATTTTGGTGGCAGGTATGTGCCCATCGACGCTTTTCTGTGGCCATCAGGCTGCGGTGGTTGATATTTCTCTTCACATCGTCAGGCTCTACTTCACCTCGTTTCCTCATCCGGCCCCCAGACCAGATGATATCAACCGTGGCGAGTCCAATTGCAGGCCATGCCTGCGCGGGCAGCTCCAGGCTTCGACATCCGCGACCCCCGACGACGATGCCAAGTACTACTACTTCACTATCGACGACCAACTCGTATATCTGTCCTTCTTCCAGGACTGGGGTCCTTTAAACCTTGCGATGGTGTACAAGGCCTGCATTTTGATTCACGAGTTGCTGCAGGTGCGCGTTACTTTTGTCCCATGACTGTCTCCGGCTCATCTCCGTCCAGGACAAGGACTTGTCCTCGCATCGGCTCGTCTTGTACAGCTCAAACGATCCTCGGCGGAAGGCAAACGCGGCATTGCTCATGGCGCTTTATGTGGTATGTTCACTGCACCCTAGAGCAGGTCAGTAGCTCATAAGAGATATCTGCCAGATGATCGTCCAACATCGCCCGCCATGGGAAGCGTTCCATCCGATTGCAGAGCTCGAGTTCATGCCCTTCCGTGATGCTGGACGTGGCAGGTCAGACTTTAACCTCAGTATACAGGACTGCCTTTGGGGCATCTACAAGGCCACGCAAAACGGTCTACTCGACATGAACGAGTTCGACGTGGAAGACTACGAATACTACGAGAAGGTCGAGAACGGCGATTGGAACTGGCTGACCCCCAATTTCATTGCACTTGCTTCTCCGGTGGATACGTATTGGATAAAGCGAGAAAAGGAGAAGCGCCTGCATGAGTTACAGGGTAATACGATTCCTGCATCTCCCACGAAAGGCGAACTGGCGTTACAGCGGAAACTGTCCACTCCATTCCAGAACTGTCTTGATTATTTTGAGAAACGCAACGTCAAGCTTGTCGTCCGTCTTAACAACCCTCTGTACGACCGCCAAGTGTTCCTGGACCGAGGGATCGGCCATACGGAGCTGTATTTCGACGATGGCACAAACCCCACCGATGAGATCGTCCGGAGATTCATCGATATGGCAGACGAGGTTGTTGAGCAAGGGGGCGTCGTTGCTGTTCACGTAAGTTCACACAAGCAAGCTCTCTTCTAATACTTACCTCATGCATCTGTAGTGTAAAGCCGGTCTCGGGAGGACTGGAACCCTAATTGGAGCATATCTTGTTTGGAAATACAACTTCACAGCATCCGAAGCAATCGCGTTCATGCGTATTGTTCGACCGGGCAGTGTCGTAGGTCCTCAACAACAGTATATGTACCTCAAGCAGCTCGAATGGGCGAAATGGGCTGCGGTAGACGAAATGAAGCGAACAGAAGCTGCAACCACTGCGGTCGCGCTCCGTCAAACGGTGGTCACTCCAGCGACTCCACCGGCCGAGAGTGACGAAGAGGAGAACATGAACATGATTACTGAGCTCACGACGACTACGACGATGACTACGACGACTACAACCTCGCTATCAATACCGAAGACACCCCCACCAGCGATAGTGCCACCAGTAACGCCTGCTCGACATGTGGCGGCTGCTCAGGCACGAGCGAAGGCTATATCACCTCCGGGGCAACCACGGAAGACGCCCGCACCGAAACGCAGCTCTCTCGCGGTCGAGGACTCTGACGGAGAGAAGGAAGAAGCTGATGTCCTTCCACAGTTGGGCGTAGCACCACCTGTCAGGCGGACTAGACCCAAGCCCGTTTCTGCCCAGACACGGATGGTCGGCCCACGCATAACGGCGTCGGAGCAGAGACCAACGCGAGTGACACGCTCAACTGCTGCGGCTGCTGCGAACAAGCCTATGGTCGGACTCGCGTCCACTACAACGATGATGACAACAGCTAGGACGCTCCGGTCGGGTAATGGCCAAGCACCAAACAAGATACCACGGTTAGCGAACGGCGCAGCTGCGCGAAATAACGCAGCTTCGACCCCGGCAGTCAACCCAACAACGGCAACGCGGCGACAACCACGCGCGCCCCCTTCACCCGTGCCATCTCGCCTGCCAACGCTGGTTCCCACACGGCGGGGGAACCATCAGTCGACAACATCAGTACAGGAAAGCCCTGCCGCCATCGCTGCAGTCGTCAAGGCTGCACAGGCACAACAGCAGAACGCAGACTGGATGACGAACAACGCCTCGCAGGTCGTCGAGAAGAGCTCGAAGTCCGAGCGCCCCAATCTGCGGCCCATCCGCCGCCGGCGTAGCAGCTTCAGCGCGGCTGACGTTGTCGCATGATCGTCGCTCTCTAACACGGGATGGCCTTTCCAGCTGGACCTGGGACCGCACCACTTGCTCGCTCTTTTCCTTTAAGTCGCGTAATATGGCTGGTTGCTTGTAAATTTATATATCGTTCTTGAATTCCTCAACTCTCACGTTGTATATATCCATGGCGTATCTTTTGGTAGCTCATCAGTCGTATACTGGCACAGTTACCCATATACTCTGGTTCCCTGGCCTATCTTCGTACTATTTCCGTGACACATCTCCAGTCCCTTCGTTTGCATATTTCTTGCGTCTTAGCTTTGGCACGACTACCACACTCCTTTTCAGTCTCATTTCTCTCGCTCTTAACGATCTCACCTGGCGGGACAATGCCACCGTCGTGTATCAATTATCACCTCTAGATTGCCTATGTACCATGCACTAGCAGATCTCGTCATTCAGCAGGAATATACGGAGGTTTACCCGGCATGCAGTGCTCATCAACGACAACGATGATTGCTGATCGCGGTCAGGTGAAAAGTAATCAGGACTACCGCCGTTTTCCACCCTTACCGCCTTTGCGCTGCGGTCCTCTCGAAGTGGGTTCGGTCGCTTTCGCGATATCGTCTTTGCTAAGCTTGAGGATACCACCTGCAAACCTGCCCACGCCCATCTTGAGCCCACGTTCCCTCTTCTTTTGTGGTTTCTTCTCGGATTCAGCCTCGAAGAGCTGTTTCAACGCGGGGTGATAATTACCCATATGTTTCGCCTGTATGAGGGGCGTATTCAATGCAGGTCTCGTGCGTCAACCACTGGGAGCATGAGATGCTTTAAACCCACCTCCTCAAGTTCCTTCTCTCTGCGTTCCGTTTGCTTGGCGAGTAGGCCGTCTCGCACATGCTTCGCTGCCTTGTTACGCTCTTTCGCACGTACCGCGCTTTCGCCCTTGCCCAACTTCGCCTGCCCAGCCGCTTCGAGCACACGACCTGCCAACGCTTTGCGGCGCTGGGCAGGCGTCAAGTCCAAGGCAGGGTTGAGCGACCCCGACAATATATTTGTATGCACCAATTGATGCAAAAGTTTGTCGTTTTGTGCATTTGTTCTAAGTTTAGGGAGTAAGCTTGAGACAAAGTATAAGTGTTTATAACCAGACTCACAGATCATCGTCTTCTCCGTCAACATAGTCTTCCTTATTTTGTATGCTTTTTACTGGCTCCTGTGTGAGTTTGGTAACTTTGGAAGACTAAAGGCGGCGTTAGCTTTCGTGCACAATTCTAGTAATAATCACGGGACGCACCTACCATGAATGCTCTCAGCTGAGCCTTTGACCCTATAGGCGGAGTAGGGGAGACTTTCACAGCAGTTGCTGAAAAAATAACTACCGCAGGCCGTTTCATCTTCTGTCCATCTAGAGTCTCGCCTATTGAACACCCAGCATGCAAGAAGCGCTGTCCTCATACCTTCAACACTATCCCGTTCCTCGTCTATTCCATTCTCTTCCTCATCTCCTGAGTCGCTAAAACCTTGCCATTCTACTTCTGACTCCACCTCAGGCTTCGAGACCTCCTCCACCTTGCGCTTCTTCCTTGAAGAGCTTGGCCCAGCTTCAGGGATGTCTTTGCGCTTGTCCGCAAAGATTGACGAGTCAAACGAGGACATAAATTGTTGTCCATAAGAGTTTAGCAAGCTAAGCAACGCTTCTTTGTCTTCAGACATGGTATATTGGCGACTTCAGTTATTGAGACGGGCCTGACAGTGAACGTCCTGAGGAGGTCGACGAAGCGCCCTTCGGAAATATTTCATAACAAGCGCCACGGAGTCAAGCCTGCACACGACTGCCATGGCCAAGAAGCGAAAGGACGCGGCTGCGCCGTCCAGGACAGAATCCGAACCTCAGAAACCGCTTGTGGAGATTTCGGAACAGGAACAGTGGCGCATTATACATGATTCTGGTATCCTCGGGAATATACCCACCGGAGAGAAGGCAAAGGACGAAGACAAGCCGCTGCTGTCGCCATTCACTGAGGAGTGTTTCGCCGCTCTGGCATTGATCGTTCCGTTCTCTTTTCTGTTGCTTATGATGGAAATGTGAGTCTATGCGAGCTCAGCTTGGGGTCACTGACGTTGTCGTATAGTTTGGTGCACTACCAATATGGTAGAAATCCCACGTCGAAGGCCATAGCAGACCGTATGATACCAGGAGTCCCAAGTGAGCGTTTATACCTGTAATAATTTCCATGTATTCACTTTCTCCCTCAGTCATAGTTATCTCCATATTCTACAGTACGTCTCTACTCCTGCTGCAGGCTGAGCATGTTATTTACTTTGTGGCTAGCTAACCGATACAAACATGATCGACGAATGCAGGCAGCCTTTTTCCTTCTCGCATGTGTAACAGGCACGCGATTGATATACATGATCAACTGGGCGAACTGGCGAGACAACATGAGCATGGCACGTCGGCCCTTGCCCTCTCATTTTGAATGATTCTCACTCTGGAAACAGCTTCCGCCGCTGGCTACTGCCTGGATTTACGGTGTGGCGCAGCTGAATCTCGGTCCTTCAGTCGCGAGTCTGGCGGTTGTGGGCGGGATTACCTGGTACAAGAATTGGCAGCTGAAGTTCTTCTAAGAAACTATGGCCACCTGCATTTCCCCGGGCATCGTTCATAGACCACCTCTCCGTATGGACTTGGAAATAATATAAATTTTATGAAACCCTATCGCATAGCGTCTCCAAAATCAAGCTACTCCGAAAAACATGTGTCCTCAATAAGGATGCATACATCCTCATGTAAGAGTCCTTCCCACCTCGTAGATCACAGTGAGCATGCAGCAAGGTAGGAACGACTCAGAGGTAAATGCCAACAAGGAGTCGATATTCGCTCGATGATACGCCATGGTCTCGGGCTGTGAGCTTACACCCGGACGGCACCTTATACGAGCGGAAACGAATGGGTATGCTAGCACAAGAGATTAGCGGTTTGGCGCAAGTTCACAAGGGTACTGGTTGACATAGGGCGTGTTGTATATCGTACTTGCAGTTGCCTATGATGCTGGTTTCGCCCTGCTCGACGTATTTATCCCGCTTATACGCCAGAGCCTTGGTCAAACTCTTCTGCGAGTGTCTGAACTTTGCGCTGTGCAGAAATCGGCATGATCGTGTGTCCACGTAGGTTTATATGAAGCTTACGCTATACGTTGTCTGTCGTCCCTCCATGACGGCACGTAGGACTCGCATCTGCCACCTCAGCCGCCGTGTGCAGGTCTTACTGATCGCCTGTTTGTCGCGGTCTAACCGGTCTACAAACGCTTTGTATACACGGTCGTCCCGAGCGAAATAGTATGTGGGTATCGGCTCTCCATCGATGGTGTCCAATGCGCAATACCAGGCGGCCATCATAAGTAAGTCGGCCGTTGCATTCGCGACACTACAAAGCGATGTCAGCTCTCAAAAGCAGCCAAACGTTTTCGCGTAAGCTGACTAGTCCTCCAACGCCGCGATTATTTCGGCCTTTCCAAGCTGCTTCGTCGCGAACTTCCTGACGGTACTCTCGGCGTTTTCGACAGGCTTGCCTGCTGTACCCTCGCGCAGAAGCCCTGCGATTGTTGTGACCTGCGCCTCGACCCACTTGTCTCCCTCGCTCATTATAAGCGTTTGTAGGAACGACGCAATGAGGTCGCTTTGAGACTTCTGCAGCCCGTAGTCGATCGCAAGCTTAAGGTTGGTGCGTAGCGCTTTGAGGCGGGTCTTCGTGCGTGGAAGAACTATTTCTTCATCCTGCAAGTTATTGACGTACCGCGAGAAAGCGCCAAGTAATACAACGGCGACATCTTGGTGGCCAATACGCATTGCATGTAGCAGAGGTGTAGCGTCGCCGTTCTTCCGCAGCAGAAGCTGATGGAAGCCTAGAATCAATCCAACAACTACGGCGCGAAACATGGTTCATATGCTCACCTCAAAGTCACGATCTCGTGTCTCCATGAGGAAAATGATGTCGTGTCGTTCAATAGCGGCGAAGACTTGGTAAGGCTGTCCCGGGAGTCATTGGCATATGGCCAGCCATTCCAGTGCTGCCGTCACGCACCTCGACCTTCCATGGCTTCGCAGCCTTGTTCTTTCCAAGCCGTTGCGACGCCTGTACGGCAGAGGATAGCGAAGACCAGATGCCGCTTGCTCGTGATTTGGTGTGCGGTGAATCCCCAGACTCAGACGCCTGGCTTGAACGATGTGAATCTAGGGAGCGTCGGCTTTCCGTGTCAGACTCTACGCTAGGCAACTCCGGACTTGGTGTTCTGCGCAATTGTCTGATCACTTCACGAGGAGCTAGAATTTCAGCCTCGCGTTCGATGAAGCCTAACATGCTGGAAGTTAGACCAACTCTTTGAGTATGTTCAAAAGACACGCCTGTGGTCGGAAGCCGTGCAGGCAAGCATAACTCCTGTGGTAACCTATCCCTGTGCGATGGACTAGGCGACCGCTCGGGACTGTCGAGACGTGTAGCGAGGGACGACAGGATGTGGGTATTATTGTACATGTTGAGAGGAAGTTTGGTGGTGTCATCCCCGTCGCGAGTAATTATACATATAAGTGAGAATCCGGCAGCGGCAAAACCACGCCCCTTTGAGTTTGTTGGCCGGGCGGTGCAGGGCTGCACAGGCTCTGCCTACGTTTACAAGTCTTCGCAGCAGCAAACAGGGACCTGGTTCATAGGGCGCTTAATGTGCTGTCAGCCTCGTGACGTCGTCCGCTATTATCCGATGCTGCCTAGCGCTGTCTGGCGGTCCCTTCGCTCTCGATGCCAGAGACTACTGCTGGCCAAGGTGAGAATTCGACTGGGAGGAGTAAGGGAAAAGGCAATGTCCGTGCTGCCTCGACTGCCCCCGAAGATAATAGTCGTCCTGCCAAAAAACGCCGAACCAACTCAGCGACGCCTGAGGCCGTCACAATTTACTATGACACACCCAAGGCCTTCGAGGGGACTCCCTTGTACACTAAACTGCGCGAATTGGATGGCGACGGTCATTTTTTACGCTACTTCAAGTACGCTCGCAAGTTATATCTGGAGCTTGGCCCATGTGCTGCCGATCTGCTATGGCGGAGAGTACTACTGGGAAACACTTTCGACGAAAGCTTCAAGGCTTTCCGCCAACTATTAGAAGACTGGGACTTTGTTCTCCCTAATATGATATCGACCTCGCCAAGGTACAATGTCTCGTCACAGTTTGCGAAGCTCGTGGATGTGCTGCAATCCTCTGAGACGCACAGCAATTCATTTCGCTGCGTCATAATGGGTGAGTTGATGTCCGCCTATGTATCTGTGCTGCGTTTGATTTTACTCACTGAAGTACATTGTCAGTAAAACAGTCGGTCACTGCTGTGGTGCTCGCAATACTTCTGCGTTTACTGGATGACACGCTGCCGCATGTACGACCAGTCGCGCTCACTACCTCCGGCACTCTTAGCAGCCCTCAAGACAATGTACGTATCCAAATATTGTCTCTAGCTCTACTATTCTCATGCATACTAGGTAACACTGCTGCATAGCTTCTCGTCGGGTACGCATAACTTGTTAATCACCAATAAACTCAGTGAGAAGCTGGACTTGTGTCCAGTAACCAAAATCATACAGTGAGTCTCTTGTGCAAAAAATTTCCTATTCTATCCTTGATACAGCCAAGCTACAAGCTTTAACCTGTTGGAGGAAGGGCCCGCTTCATTGCTTGCAAGAGCTTTGACAGACAGGAACTCTGCGCTGCATGTGGTGTACATGGCCGACCAGAGCAATGACCTTCATAAAAACATCCTCAAACATTGCGGCATAACAAATCAGCATACACCTGAGGCCTCCGGTACCTCGTCTACCGTTCAAAATCCGCCGGACACTTCCATGTTACTCGATGAAGACAACTCTATCGATTTCGTGGAAGAGCCTACAACTGGAAAGAAGATCAATGCTGAACTTGCTCCCGTGGCCATTGAACGATACCTTGGTTCGCTGCGCGATATGTTTTCCGAGGACTGCCGCGCTTCGACCTCCTGGTGCGAACTAGAACCCTTCCAAGACAACAATCTCGTCTTGCATCTCTCGCTCCCGGATACACTGCCCATTCCGGAGCCACTTCGACGACTCGAGACCCAAAGCCCACAAGGCGCGACAGCTCAGCTGTGCCTTTCTACCTGCAAACAGCTCTTCAAAGCCGGTTTTCTCCGGGACGAGTTCTTCTTCACCCCTCGCGAGGTTGGCGACGTAATCGTCGCAGGGACGGACGGACACGAAGTGAAGAAGGCAAACCTGAGCGCAAATACTCGGTGCTACCTGAGAAAAAAGCCGACTTTCTGGACTCGCTCGCTGCAAAACACTTCTGCACGTCTATATCCGCTCATCATATCTGTCGGCCCAATTGATTCCTTTAGGGACGGTCGTCATGCTCCTGTGCTGATTCTAACCCGACTTCCTCTCCCGCATTTCGAGCAGTTTCCAGTGTTTTCGAACGGACAGAAAGCGTTCGTGCAACTGCAGCATGGTGCTCCATTCGAGATCGATGATCAGAAGCAGGAGCTCTTACTTCGATATACCCTGCGCATCGCTCGCGCACTGACGAACAAGCCTCTCGAGTGCGCGATGGAGGATATGCTCTACTACTTCGCACCGCTGGACGGCGCGTGGGATTCCAAGCCGTCGGACTCAGCCCCCTGGCAGTTTCCAAAAGTAGACTGGCAAATTCCATGGCAGCAGATCGCCGAGGCAGCTGGGTATTGGGCGAAGAAGCTGGTACCTGAAGATGGAGTGCTTACCGAAGAGACAGTCCAAGACTGCGTGATTCAGGATCGAGCAGTCGAGTTTACAAACAGACATTACGTCTTGAAATTGCGACATGATCTGTCTCCGCGTAGTAAAATGAAAGAGGGTTCAGTGAGTTTTTAACACGCTCTCCGAAATGCAATAGGCTCAAAGACGGCCCGCAGGCTGAGGCGGAACCTATAACTTACCTTGACTACTGCAAGTCTCGCGTCAAGGAATTCCAAGGTCTGAAGGACGAGAACCAGCCCCTGATTGAGGTTTCGCTTGTACCTCCGGTAGCGAACAACTTAGCTCCAGCTTCGAAAGACACGTCGACCGTCAAGAATCCGGCTAGATGTGAGTTTATTACTCTGGATTTGCTCCTGACTAGCATTGACGTCTTTCAGTGTTAGTCCCGGAGCTCTGCTACAAATTCGTCATTCCAGCTAGGTTGGCTCTTTCGGATCAGGACGATTTTCTTTTGCTCATCATACGTTCACTATCAGCATCTGGCGGACGGTGTTACTGCTCCCCTCCATCACCCACATGATTGACCGCATGCTGCTGGTTAAAGAAATGAGAGTCGCGGTATTCAATCAGTCTATCGGAGAAGGCGACCTTTTTCAGGCTGTGACACCTGTCTCTGCAAATGTCGAGAAGGACTACGAGCGATTGGAGCTTCTTGGTATGCTTTGATGCTCTCTATATCTTCATTTGGCCGATAAACAATGATTAGGCGATGCGCTACTGAAGGACATTCTATCCACCTATTTTTTTGCTACGATGCCCACGAAGCGAGAGGGAGCTCTCAGTTCCGCCCGCGGACAAGTAGTCAGCAACAAAATGCTTCATCAGAATGCTATGGCGGCTGGCATGCCACCATGGATCCAGAGCAAGCCCTTGGTAGTCAAACTCTGGACACCATATCTAGTCGCCCGGCAGGACGCTGGAGACGTTGGCACTTCGAACGATCACCGGCGCGGAAAGCGGCAGAAGCAGCTAGAGGAGCAGGACGTTCAATGGCTCGGTGATAAAGTAGGGCTTTGGTTATCTGCTCCGTTTTTATACTTGACGTGACATTTATTATCAGACTGTTGCAGACGTCGTCGAAGCCGTTGTCGGTGCCGCCTTCCATCAGGGTGGTACAGACAACGTGTTACGCACAATGAAGATCCTCCAATTCAATATGCCTGAAATTGCTGAACACTCCGATTTCTGGCGGGTATATGCACCGAACGCACCGTCCCACAAGACCTTTTGTGACCTGCCCGTGGGGACAAGTGAAGCGGTGGAGGCGATTACTGGATTCAAATTTCACACACCTGCGATCTTAGCCGAAGCGTTGGTAAGGCATCACAATAAGTCTAGTCGCCGAGCGGAGCATTGACTGTATGCAGACTCATGGATCAATATCAAACCAGCATATGACAAGCTACGATCGCCTTGAGTTTCTCGGTGACGGAATATTGGACTCCAGTATGTCGATTTTGCTGTTTGTTTGTATACACGTTAATCTTGTGCAGATATCGTATGGTATATCTTCAAAGCATATCCTAAACTATCGCCGGGAGGCCTCTCGCTACTGAAGGTAATGACCAGTCCACAACCTACCTCTAACAATGCTTATATATCCTAGGCTGCGATGGTCTCCAACTTGACGCTCGCTGCCGTGGCCGTTGAGAGCGGTCTTTACGAGCACGTTCGGTATTGTTCCAAGGAGATAATGTCTGCCGTCAAACTTTATGTGCAGAAGATTTTTACCCTTCGCGACCAAGAATACCGAGATGCTGAGGCAGAAAGTCGTCTTCCCAATCAATTCTGGCTGGAGGTCGATGCGCCAAAGGTGCGCTACCTTATCCTCACTTCCGGATGTCGACAGCTGATCACCGTTGTTTTAGCCCTTGGCAGACCTTGTAGAGGCTATCGTTGGAGCGATCTACGTCTCGGACCGGTTCGGCACTCAAGGGGTTAAGACATTTTTCCAAAAAGTCCTACGACCCTTCTACGATAGGCATATCCGCTTGCACACCCTTGCGCCACATCCCGGAACGTCGCTTTTTGAATTTCTCCAGGCAGAGGGTTGTCAGCAGCATGCTATGCGCAAGACGAACCTCGGGAAGGAAGTGCGCAGCGAAGGTAAGAACCGTCGAGCTGCACCATCGCCAAACAACTGATGGTTTGCTCTAGTGGTCATACACGACATTGTACTTGCCAGCGCTGCCGAACCGACCTCTAATCTCTCTGTGCGCAAAGCAGCATTAGCTGCCCTTGACGCCCTAGCCAGTGATCCTGGACTCATTGCGCGTACCTGCGATTGCAAGACTCAGAAGGTCGGTTCTCAGGGTAAAAAGACGCAGAAGAAGATGCAACAGCTGGGATATGTTGTCGATTCCTAGGCTCCTTAGGGAGTTGCTCAAGGTCTTGCAGGCAATAAAACATCGTTCTATCTGAAAGTTCCGAGTGCATTAATGCAACACTGTCGCGCGCAGGGACATCGCGGGTGTGATGTCCCCTTCGTCGCGAATACCTGACAGCGGCGGATCCCGCCTTTCGCTGATCCCTAGGGGGAGGGGGGAGGCGCACATGGCCAACCTCGATTTCTACATTCTTGAGGGTATACCTTCTTACCTAGTCTTACACTTACGTCTATTAACGAGGACACCTAGACGAGCTGAATACATCGTGGTAATATATCCCATACTAGACACTTGCGTTGATAAGGGACCCTTTTTATCGTCGTCCTCGTAATCCCAAGAGGCCAGTTGAAATGCCCGCTCTTAAACGTTAAACGCTTGCCTAAAAGGGCCGCCCTGGGGCTTAGCGCTCTGAGGTGCAGTCGTCCTCTTCAACTGCATTCACGAGACGTGTTTCGGGGCTCATGCACTCGTCAGTATGCCTCTACCGAACTCCCAAGACACTGTGGCCTCGCAAAGTCTCGCCCCTGCGCTCCTGACTTCTGTCTCCCTCGCCAAGGTCGACAAGGGACATCTCATCCAATCGTACATCCGTTCGCAGAGGACATATCGCAGCTATTTCTCTCAGGAGGGGCACAAGGCACGGTTAGCATGGGATAAAGATGGCTGTGATGGCCAAGAAGAGGTGGTAAAGTATGCGGAGGGGAAAGGTAATGGTGCGGAGGAAACAGGATTCAGCACACCGACGCTGAAGGCCAGGGTCCCCGAGCCCATCAAGGACAAAGCGAAAGATATACAGAGAGGAAGGAACCAGAAGGCGGCAGTAAACTCCTCCGACGATGAACACCAGCCGTCGGAAGTCTCAAGCACCATGACGCCTCTTGCCACGCAGACTAAATCAAAGAGCAAAGCCGTCCCAGAAAATCAGCAACCGCGTAAGGATAGGAATACAGCCATTGCTCGACCTCGCTCGCCCAACAAGCTGGACCAGTACCTCGAGCCTACGGAGAGTCAATCGAAGAAGACCACGCGCAAGCGTGAACGAAGTCCTAATTCGGGGTCTGAACGTGAACGGAGTACGTAGCGTCGTTCTTGCAGCTGCGACGGGTTTACATGTGCATTAGTCTTAGCAGACAGGCGGGAAAGACGTCGTGCCAAGAAGGCGATCATTGAGCCCAGACGACGCAGTGAAGAGGCAAACAATAGAGAAAATTCATCGGCGGCTCGAAAGCGAGACAAGAAAGACAGCAAGAGTAGTATGACAAAGAGTAAGGTGACGAACCTGGCCGCAGGGCTTGCTCTCATGCATGGCTTTTCTGCTACGAACATCGGGAGAGCCAGACTGACGGTAGGTGCTCCTGTCCAGGTGGAGCTGGTGGCTAAGGGATGTCCTAGTTGAAGCCCTCATATGGCGTATTCCACAAGGGCAAAGCTTCCGCGAAGACCTCGGTTTCTAAATCTAAGAGGAGTACGATGCCTCCCATACTTGCCGTCATATCTTCTGACTCACTTCGCAGGGCCCTTAACGGCTGCATGGTCTGAACTTGAATTTCTTGGCCAAATCAGCAAACCAACGGAGAGAAACCCCACAACTAATCGCAGGAGTCGAAGTTTGGACGATGTGAGGTCAGGCTCAGAAGATGACGCTCTGAGTCGCTCCTCCAGGGCAAGCTGCAGGCGACCGAAGAAGAAATTCAAGATCTGTAACAACGGGTACGACGAGTCCTCCAAGAAGACCAAGGCACAGAACCCGACCGCTGAAGAAGACAACATTGACCAAGAGGACGTCGCTCAGGTTTCCGAAGATGAACGCATGGAAGTAGCAGCTGGCGGACTATCTCCACACCCAAGAGCCGAGTCTCCTGTCTGGGATATCGAGAGAGCTAGTTATTTGTTGGACGACTCACGGGATGCCGTCTCCGATACCCAGGTTTCCAAGGTTACTCCCTCGAACGCTCCCACGAAGAACGATACTGTCATCCTCGACATTGGGGCCCGATGGAATTCGCAAAACTCCTCTTACCAATCAACTTCTCAAAAGCAAGCTCCTCAGAACGTTCCGGACGACCCCATGCGCTACAACAATAATCTGAACGCAACGAAGTCTTGTGTTTCGCTGTGTCCGTCACAGTCTGCGTCCCAACGCGCCGGGCCACATTCGACTGAGGTGATTCCAGCTCCAGGCTTGACTCGGTCAAAGTACTTTGGGGCGATTTCCGCGCTTCGAGAGCCAGATAGTCTGGTGGTTCGTGCCGATACTGGTGACTGGAACTTGACTTCGGACAATAACCTCTGCACCGCCCCTGCGCCCCGAAACGTGGCGTCGGTTCTTCACCATGTACCTCCCTTGGCTATCGCTGCCGATGACTCTGTCGACTCGCTAGAAAATGAAGACCCTACTGCCCTCCCAGTGCCTCAGGATCAATCCCCCTCTCGGCACCGGCCTGTTTCCCCTGTAGATATTTGTGGCGCTCAGTTCAGTTCTCCGGCTCTTTCATATCTGACACTGGACTACGAGCCGGCAAACGACACTGGGGCCCTTGAGCCTGCGCTTCGAGGACGGCCCGATCCTGGTTCTGTCTATCGTCAACAACGAGATGGCTTCACTTATGCAAGTAGACCAATACTAGACGAGGACGAATGGGTTGAATATTACTCGGACGCTATGTATGACCCCGACTACGACCACCGCGCCGTTTCCCGAGTCGATATCCCTGCGGAAGACTCGTACTGTGTCTATGATACTGTCTCAGATTTTCCTAATGTACGTGAAGATGCGCCGGACTATTCGCTCGACATGGAACAGCTCAGTAGCATCGTGGTGGAGTTCGGACCGCCGCCTTATGAAGACATACCACAGCTAGATTCGGGCTCATCTTTGTTGGGGGACCAAGTGCGTGCTTTTGACGCGGATATGGACCTTAGACGTCATCCGGAGTTCCTGGAAGAAGATCACGAGATTGGAGAAGATTTTGCCTGGGACCCTGCGGGAGCCCTTGACTCTGAGCTGCTGGCTGGCGCTTTTCACGACAACGAAGAGATGGACGGTGCGCCACCCGCGTCCGGTGACTTCATTTGCAGGGAGGAGTCACCGTCGCCGTCTTCATCTACGGCCGAATCGTTGGCGAATCCCGACACCGCGGTCACGTGCTCGCGTTTCCCTTCAAGCTCTGCGGCGCACTTACTGTTGCGCAGCGGCGTCGGAGTGGAGAGCGTTGTCGGGTGGGCTCCAAGCGTGGGGCGCGCGATGACGCAGCAGGCGGAAACGATGTTCCCGACGGTATCGAAGGTGGAGGAAGACGTCGCCAAGGGCTTGCGCGACCATTGGTTGCCGCAGCGATTATGATGTGGTAAGTAGAAGGGTTCGATGCGATACTCGGTGTTATTCACGAGAAATTTTAGCACATTCACCTGCCATGACTGCTTGGTCCTCTGTAACTAATCTCTTCCTTCAAACTTCTTGCAATTTGTACTTGAAACATGGTTAAACCAAAGCGGAGAGCGGAAACGCGATGTGGAACTGCACGAGGTTATTAGACTCGTGTTGACAGCGTGACAGTAATCTGGATTCGCGACGTGACTGATGTGACAGGACGCGTTTGTTTTACTGCCTTATGTGGTATATTGGACGCGCGAGCTGAGCGGTCTCGGCGACTCTTAAAAGGAGGGTCCCGCCGTGTCAGGGGCCCTTTGACTTTTTTGCTCCCAACACGCCTGCGACGCGCAGTATAACAGCGGCCGACCTAACCTCGGCACAAAATGGACTACAAAGAGAACATCCTGGGCAACCGCTTGCTCAACGTACGTCGTCCACTCACTATTTTCCGTTCTGCCCGACACTGACGCCGGGGCGCGACCTACAGTACATCAAGCCAGAGCCACAAGAGCCCCGACTGGCACCGCCGCCTTTGAGCAGCCAAGCACACATGGGCTTGCGCCGGGACGTAAAGCCTGTAATTAAGCCCGAGCCCGTCAACGATGCCGCGCGTGTCGTACGCTGTCCATCCTCCCCTGCACCCTTGTCACACGCTAAATATACGCTTTAGTTGATCGATCGCGGTCTTCCGGTACCAGCATACATTCAGAGTACACCGGGCGCTGTGTCAGCCCCCACGCAAGCACAAGCATTGAATATCGGCCCGTCGTTCGCCGGGCGGCAGTTCCCACAACAGGGTGCATTCGCGCCAGAGCCGACCCCTGAGTTGCAACAGATATTCTACAGGAAGCACCAAATAGCGGAGGAGATTCAGTATGCGCCGGAAGATGCTCTCAAGGAGGGCCTCGGAATGGTAAACGCGCTCAAGACGAGCAGCAAGAAGCTCGAGCTTGGCAGCAAGCTGAGAAAGGATGTGTGGATGCGGGAGATTGACAAGTGCGTCAATTCAGACTTTCCAGAGAAGTGTGTTTTGATTGGCTTCGAAGCTTGATGAAACAGGGCGTGCCGACAACTATGATTGCCGTGTGCGGAGGTGAGTTATGACGCAAATCCTGGTGGATCAGGTACTAAAACGCGCATACAGCGACTGGTGCGGGCAAATCATCGATTTTGAATGCAATCCTCGATGGTAAATAATTTTTCATGATGTCCCAAGCGTCACGTCCTTGACAACTCCCCAGATAATATCGTGCCTACAAGCGGCATGCAAGGTACGTTACTGCGTATAGGTGCTTTATCTATCCGTTCTAAATTTTGTAATCAGCCTGCACAGCTGTCGTGACCGAGATTGGGTACCATAACAAGAAGACAATTGAAGGAGACGTCTCTTTCCTCTCCGAGGCCGAATGGCGCGCAGAGCTCGCCGTGTTGCTCGATGACCTTGTTGACGAGGACGGTAACCTCAAACGTAGCACTGACTTGCGTTCCGACGCGGGTGTTGCATGGCAGAAGGTGCGTGCAAATCTTACCCCGAAATATAAGTACCTACATATATCTTGCATCGGAATCAGGTGCATGCCGTGTACCCGTCGATCTCGCAAGAACAGCTGGTGAAGATGACTGTCGACCAGATAATTGTGCGCGACCGGAGTGAGTTTCGACCCCTGTTGCTTGCATCATCCGCTCTCATCAACGCATCCGTGTAGAAATCGCAAAACTGCTTGGGGAGACCAAGCACATTGTCGCTAACGATTCGAAGACATTTGGAGAGGGGATTGCCGAGTATATCGACAGTAAGGATCAAAAGTGCGACAGCAAGAAGAAAGACAAGAAAGCGGACAAAGCGTCAAAAGAGGCGAAAGAAAAGGAGAAGGGCAAGAGCCTCATCGAGAAGATGCGCGAGCAGAACCGCGCCAAGAACGCCCCGCTCGGCATCGGCTCCTCTGCCGGTGCAAGTAACGGCAAGGACAAGAAGAAAGACGATGATTCCGACGGTTCTGCGTTTTGGCCGCTCATTCGACAGGTGCAGGTCAAGTGCAATGCGCGCGCGCTCTCGACCGGTGCTATACTCGTTGACCTGCCCGGTGTGGCAGATGCCAATGCTGCGAGGAACAACATCGCTAAAGACTACATGAAGAAATGCGATTGTATCTGGATCCTTGCGCCCATCACGAGAGCAGTCGATGACAAGACCGCGAGGGATCTCATGGGAGATGCCTTCAAGATGCAGCTGATGAGTGCGTATGTTCGTGCCTTTTCATTGTTCAAGTAGGACTAATATTATTTTCAGTGGGTATGTTATGTCACACGTCAAAGGAAACAAAAAAAACTAACCTTCACTCTTCTCGACCCTGTTACACAGACGGAAAGTAAGTTATCAGTGTATATGCATATCCAAGCGGATTTTCACAGTTTTCCTTGTAGCTATGACGACAATGCCATTACTTTCATTGGTGTGTCTCATATCTATCTGACCATATATATGTAGCTGACCTTGCGAAACAGCGACGAAGTGTGATGATATCTCGTGCTCGGAAGTCATTCGCGCACTCAAACTCGAAGACGATCCCGAACTCGAGGCTATCGGGGCTGAGATTGACCGCTGTCAGACCGAGATGGAGGAGTGGAAGGAGAAGAAGGAGGAGGCTGAGGCCGCTGCAAAAGGTGCGTTTCATCTCCACATCTTATATGACCTCATCAGACTGTACTCACCGTATATACATCACAGAGACGGACCAGACCTTGAAGCAGCTCCGCTCGATGCTCGCAGAGTCTAAAGAGCATCTCAAGGCTCTACAGGACGGAGAGTCTTTCACGCCCAAACTCACCGGCAGTGGCAAGTCGAAGAAGTCTCGTAAGTCTTCCCACGACGAAGATGAGGACGCAGAGATGAGTGACGCATCCGACGATTCTTCCACGGGGAAGCGCGGCAGGAAGCGCAAATCTACTGGAGGGCGGCAGCGTGCGGCGAAGCGGCGCAAGAGCGACACGTTCGACGACGATGACGATTTTATTGTAGACGATGACGAGGATCTGGCATTCTCTGACACAGACAGGAGCGAGGACGGAGGAGACGGCCCGGCCGACTCAGCGTGGGACGACGCATCGAACACTTCCGACGATGAGAACAACAATGAGGACGATGATCAACAGGAGGAGGAAGAGGCGACGGAGGAGAGCGTTGAGGCCAAGATCACTGAGTATAACGATGCGATCAAGCAGGGACGTACGGAATTGAGTGAGTTCCGTCGGCAGCGTAAGGAGGCCATGGATGCGACTGCCGGCCTCAAGAAGACGGAGCGCAGGGCGCAGCGCGAGAAAAACGCGTTCTGTTCGAGGAAGAGGAGCGAATTCTCGCGGGATGTACTTAAGCAGGACTTCAGGACAGGACTGAAGGATCTGGATGGTGAGCCCCAGGATGCTGTAGATTGGGAATATAATGTTGACTCTGTACTTGTAGATGCGGCTGCTGAGCAGCGTGATCCGGACAGCTTTGACCCGACCGTCAACCTCCGCGGTGAGCTCAGGTAGAATGTCTCAGTCCACCTTTCACTAATTGGCAGCAGACTACGACGCTATCGATCTGCCGGTTTTCACCTGCTCTGCGCGGGACTATGTACGGATCAAGGGACAAGTGAAAGGCGACGGTGACCCGACCTGTTTCACGAAGCCCGGGGACACAGGAGTCCCTGCGCTGCAGGAGTGGTGCCACCACCTGACGGTCTCCTCGCGGGAGCGCGCTGCACGCACCTTTCTGTCGCACCTGAAGACCTTCGCGACACAAGTGAAAAGCTATGTTCAGGGCATCGGCGACGTTACGATTGCGGACCGCGAAGCTCTCCGCGAGAAGTGGGAAAGTAGCACCGGCGATGAGGATGACGACACGGGGTTGAGCTTGTATGGTGGCAACATGTGGGATGAGTTTCTCGACGTTGACGACGGCGACGATCCGTTTCACATCAACAACCTTGCGCGGCTGGCAAATTCTGGGCTGGGCGGGGCATACGCGATGAAGAACCCACCGAAGGTCGATCGGTTCGGAAACCTTGTCGGCATTACACCAAGGTTGAGCAAGGTAAGATACTGGACCCATTTCTTAGTTCAAAGGCTTACGTGTCGCTGCAGGACTTTGCTCAGGTCGTCGACAACTGTGTCAAGGAGTTGCAAGAGCGGTTCCGTGAAGGCTTGGAGGAGAAATGTCATCTGGGAGCGATCAATGCTGCGACTGCCGCCGTGGACACTTCGGATACCTTTGCGGCGTCGATGCATTGGGCGACCTACCGAGCTAGTACGTCTCTGCTTATCTTCTATGCATGCCGTATTCTCAAGGCTGCCTTGCTAGCCCTCCGCCGACACGGCTCGTGGCGCAGCGATCTCAACGTCGAGCTCAGCAACCCGTTCACACGCCAAATTGCGAGCACGTGGAGCAAGGTATTCGAGGCGGACTTATTTGCCAGCTTCGAGCACGCGACGAACGAAGCGATCGCCAAGGTGCTGAAGGAAGTCGAGGAGTCGGCTGCCCTCGGACTCAAAGAACGGGCTCGTGGTCAGGCTGAGCTCGCGTTTGATGAGGCAAAGGTTGCCCTCCGCAAGACTATCGACGTCGTGCGCGACGCGATTAACACCCAACAGAAGGAGACTAGCCGATGCCTTGCGCCCCATGTGCAAGATCAGCTGACAGAAGGGTACGGCGAGGCGATGCTGGAGCGTGGTCCCGGTAGTGTTGCCCGCCAGAAGGTGGGTAGTTTCGTGTTGAGGTGTGCAGGACTAGTAGCATCTGACTCGATTTTTCTGCAGAACCTTTTCCATGGTCATGTCGCGGAGATCAAAGATCAGATGTTTGACGGCGCAGCGGATATTATCCTCACACGTCTTGCCAAGTCTGCTGAAGCTGTGGGAAAGGTCCTGTGCGAAGCCCTTCAGGAGCTCGCGGAGAAGGTACGAATATTGTGAGACTTGAGTGCCCTCGCTGACTACCGGTATAGATTGAAGTTGGTGTTGCCGTCCTCTGGGAGGGCCCTCGCGACGATTCTGCCCAGGTTAAGGCACGCACCGAAGTCATCAGCTCTGTCGCCGACATCCTTCGCGAACTCGAGCTTTGGCAACGGGCCGCGCAGCTACGGGCCTCAAAGGTCGAGGATGAGACGTTTGCCTAGGCTGCCTGTGCGCCTAACTCGTATCTCCTCACGTTACGAGCGCAAGCTCGACACTGTCCCCGCTTGTCAATCATATCTTATATCTTCATATGATATCCTTGTTAATTCGTTTTCTTCCCGCTTTCTTCCTTTGATCTTCTTGCTTCTTGTCCCCATTATTGTGCTCAAATAAGTCCAGATATGCTACCAGAGGCTAAGTATTGCTCTAGATGTAGTAGTGTCTAGAAGTATTACATTATGATAACATCGATTACTTGTACATACTGTATTACTGAAATTGATGGTCCAGAAGTTCACTCTAACATCACGTTTGGCTGTGTTCTGCGAATCGAGACCGTGCACGGAGGCCGGCACCGATCCTGCCGAAAATGAAACTAGATACGGACAGATAAGTATGCGACTGAGGAAGCATGAAGTCGAGACTCACGGTAAGGGTGCAGCGAGTGTCATGATCCCCGCCAAAAGCGCGGTCGCACCATCCGTGCCCAGGGTGGTGTACATCTGCCCAGCGAACAGCGGGAACGCGGCCGCAAATAGCGACCGTGTGAACGCGTTCGCGGCCATTGCGCTGGCTGCCATCGGACGGTACGCGCTCACGAGGTACGTGAACGTCGACGAGAAGCAGAGGATAAACCCTACGCCGAAGAGCGAGGTCGCTATGGTGGGCGCGATCCAGTGCACGTGCGGGTAGGACGTGAACGCGAGCATGTAGAGGCTCACTGGAACCACGACGGCGCCGACTTGTCCAGTTATGAGGCGTGCTTCTGGCGGAGGTGAAACATCACGATATCGCTTGTGGGTGTGACTGGTCGAAGGTCAGCCAGAGGAAAGAAACAATAAAGGACGGCACGAACCGAATAAGGCAGACGTTTATTGTGGTGCCCGTGACCATGCCAATACCGAGACCAATAAAGGCGAGGCCAGTGGTCTGCGTGTCGAAGCCGTGGTTGACAATATAGATGTACGGGTACGCCTGGAAAGTGAGATAAAGAATACCAAACAATATGGATGTCCTAAATCACGCGCCACATTAGCGCGGCTTACATTGCAAACTCTGAATTGCACGTACCATAGGTCGAGTAGGAGAACCATTCGATCCATGAAAAGTAGCTCTGCAGGGTTTGTGTCAGCATACGCAGAGATTTTAGGAATGAAGTGATGTACCGAAAGGGCGATAGCAGCTAACGGCTATGAGATTGACCAAAGTACCAGACCTCCTGTCCAGTGGAGCATAATATTGTGAGTCGCCGGTGGCTTTTCTGAGCCTGAGCGTAAAAGGGGTTGAGAGCTTGTGTGCGTGAGTATCAGCGGCAGACATACTTTTTTGCCTTGCGCTTCCGGAGGGCCGGCTCGTATGTCTCTGGCACAAGCTGCAAGCTGCCGCGTCAATGATGATGTCTGACTGAAAATGTCTGGCAGCTCACCGCGAATATAGCGAGCACCTCGAGAAAAATCCATATAAGCATTATGCGGTATGTCCACCTCCAGGTGGTATTCTTCATACAAAGTGAGTAAACGTCCAAGAATAATAGAACCCCGTTGCCTTACTTGATTTATAAATCTGATATGCACTAAGTACGAAATTATTTGTAGTGCGGTGGGGAGACATACCCGCTAACCAGTGGACCCAACATCGGTCCTATGAAGGGCGACAACGTATATATTGCAGTCGGCCTAGTATTTTTATGCCAGTGAGCAACGGTCGTATACATATCCATAAGTGACAATTCTGCTTACACTGCAACCATATGCCCGGCCCAAATGTCGCTCATGCTGCCACCAGCCACACTCAGGAAAGCCGAGCTGCAAAAGCCCGTAAGAAAACGGAATATTAGGAACACGGCTGCATAAGGCCCTTAGCGCGTCGCTCTACCTCTGAAATGGAGACTAAACTCACCGATGTCCTGGGCGAATGCAACAGGCCAAGAGAACACCCAGAAGAGCATGTACGATATCCGGTATATCGGACTACGGCCGTAGACTTCTGAGAGTGGGCCAACAAGCAATGGTCCGAACGCTGTATGAAAAGGATCGTTAGAGCGCTTTGAACATAGGCGAGAAAGAGCCGACAACGCACCGATGCCCAAGACATACAAGCTCACGCCTAGGATGGTGACTTCTTTGCCAACATGAAACGACTGCTCTTCGCCTGGCTCCGCAAATGCGGCCTGCGGTAGCAAGTCAGTGGTTAGAGTGCTTGCTCTTTTGGTGTTGAGAGGAAGACGTACTATAGACGATGCGAAGGTACTGCATAACGCACCACAGCAGATCACGATCATGATCACGACTTTCCTTGCGAACGAAAGAGTCTTGGGATCCTCATCTGGTGTCAAATTTACAAGGTAGGAATCCTGGTCCGAAGCGGGGGCAATAGGTGGAGAAATCTTGTGTTGGTCAACATCCACGGGAGGCTGCTGCCTGGCGTCTTCCGCTTTGTCCGCCTTTTCAACGTCCTTCTGGGGCGAGAGCGTGTCCGTCGAGGAATGCGTCATTTTTCAAGTTCGATGAGCCGCAAGAATCTGAGAGGAATGGGATAGTTTGGGTCGTACCGGAGGGTCCTATATACGAACCTTCTGCCTGTGCAAGTTATCCATGAACTACGATCCCCCTGCCTTTTCATGGCGCAATACCGGCTACCTTGCTATCCGGACACGCTTGCGCATTGTAGCCACCTAGGAAATACGATGGCCCCTCAGCTGACTATTGGATCGGCCATCTAGTCTCTGAACAGATATAAGCACATTAGTCCCTCGGGCATCGGCCTCGGGCAGTGAGCAAGCTGCCTCTGTGAGCTCTGAAGGAGCCCCATCTGTATCTATCGTCCATGCCCGACGTGAGTATCTAAAGGAGCGTGTGTCAGATACCGCGGGCGTGAATGCGTGCAATTTCGCAAGCCATTCGATTAACGCTACGGCCGAGTTGCTGAACAGCGGACGGTAGTGTAAGCAAACAACATCAGTCAGGGTTCGTACAAACCCAGCTTATGTGCATAATCATCAGCACTATGCATGCCAAACTCAAGTGCACGCACGAAGCATTACGCCACGCAGTGTAGGTGGTGGCGTTTGCAGAGTCGCAAGCTAGCCCGGAGGATGCTTCGGGATTGCCTTTCTGGGATAAGCAGCGGATCATATGAATCAGATGCCATCAGGTGCCTAAAGACCAGTCGAAATACCCGACTAATACATGGCCATGAACGAAAGAGCGGTATGCGAGGTGATGAGAACATCGAACGAGAGCGGTAGCACATCATAGAGAGTAGCCTATACAGCCGAATGGAGAAGAAACGCAAAAGGATTGGAAAGATCAGAGGTCGGGAAAACAGGAGGGCGTGTTGTGTACAGTGTAGAGCATGTCCGACATTGTACACGGAGTAATTGAACAACATCATGCCACCCAATGAGCAGCTCAAAAAACTTCCCAAGATGTGTCTACAGACAGTCAGCGGCAGCGTATTTACGGATAAGGATCCACCCACAATGGATGCATTACAACAGAGCGGCGGGAGTGGACGGCGCGGATACAAACACGTCTGTCTGGGCATCCGTGGTGGCCGATAAGATGCTCTGTCTGTCGCCTTGGTGCGGCGTAAGCAATGATTGCTCTTCGGAAATGCGAGTGACCGGCAGAGGCGGCGGCATACCCTCGAGGGTTAAGGTGGAGATCTTCGGCGTGCTTATTGTCCTTTCGCGCTTCGGAGTGTGGGTACCGCTCCCCTCGACGTAGGACTCAGATATCGAAGACGAAGAAGGGGCAATGCCGTTCGCGAGAGGCGTCTTGACGTCTTCCTCGTCAGTAAACTGGCGGGTGTCCTCGATTTCGTGAATAACCTCGCTCTTGGCAGCGGGGAACGAGACCTCGTCAGTATGTCCGCTCGAAGACTTGTCTTGCGAAGTCTCCTCCTCGGTAAGGTTGACGCTCCTCGCTCCCGTCTTGAAACTGCCCGTCGTCCATACGCTCCTGTCCCTGAGGGCACTGGGCGTGCCTGGTGGACCCGTACCATTCCCAAAGTGTGCACTCCAGCCACTCGCCTCGCTCTCCCAGCTCCCTCGCCGTGAGCTCCTAGGCCTCAACGCTCGCACGCTCGCATCTACGTCTCCATCCCTATCCAACTGTTCCAATAACCGGTCATCTTCCGCATCCATTTCGGCCAACAGGAAATGACTCGAGCTGTCGCCTACACCAGCAGTGCCGCTGAAGTGTGAGATGGAGTCATCCGCGACCGACCGACGTCCCGCGAGCGCATTCGCACCGGTACGCGCCCCAGGCGAGGCAAAAGCGGACGAAGCCAGAGTCAGCAACGAGGCGTCGTCAAGGGGAGGAGATGACGGGCGGGGGTTATTTCGCGGATGATGGTGGGTGTGCTGTGGCGCATGCAGTGTAACTGACTGGAGAGTGGTGGTGGTGCTCGCGGGGCCGTGCGAAGACAATGACGGTGGAGAGGAGTTGGCAGGGGGGAGGGCAGAGAAGGTGATTGAACCACCAGTGCTGGCAGTAGTCGAGTGTTGACGAACGTGCGAGCCAAGTCTGCGTGAAGGGATGGTAGGTGTCGGTGGTGCCTGAGCGATATGTGCCATTCCGTCGGTCAGGTCAATGCTCAGAACAGTTGTGGGCTTTGTGCTGGCTGCCATACTAGCAAACGTGCGTGGATCTGAGAGATACGAGGCCGAGGAGTGCGAGGGGGATGGTGAGGGGGGCGAACTTGGGGGCAACGGGCGAACAGACGCATCCTCGTCCGCCTCACGAACACTGAGACTAGTGGGCGACCACAGCGACTCTCGAGCATATGAAGAGCGATAATCTTCTGATGAATCGACGGTATTAGCGTCATGCACGCTACTGAAGTCATCGGAGCCGTCGAGAGATATTGTATTGCGCTTTGTGCCGGCAGCAGCGGGTAGAGTATTTACTCGTGGTGTAATCTTCATGCTCTTAGCGTTCTGAGCTTGCGACTGCACACCGGGTAGCGGGGGAACGGCAGGAGTGGATGACCTGCGCCGTTGTTCTTTGAGGGTACTGGACCGCACACTTGGTCCCCGCGTTCGCATTGTATCGCCATCGGACGCACTCCTCACCCGTACGGTTCCCGCAAGCTTGCGCTGAAACCAGTTGATGATGGGTTTGCTCGATTTGCGCGAGAGCTTCTTCATCTGGGACTGGGTGGGCACGGGCTCTGGTTTCGGCGGGGGAGTGTTCGCCTTGATAGGGCCCTCTTTCTTGGGCTTGACGGTCGGGGTCGAAATCTTGCGACTACGTGACGTGGGCGCCGTAGTATTTTGCGTGGATGATTGATGGTTTGGCTGTGTATCGCCATCACGTTGTTGTTGTACGAGCAGTGCAGGCATGACGGTGGTGGTGGTGGTGGTAGGGAAGGAAGATTAAAGAAGGGCTCCAAGCCTTTGTCCGGCAGGCCTCTTACAGCACGGTTCAACCGTGGTCGTACCGACACCAATCTCAGATCGTCGATCACGTTTCATGGGCGTCTGAGACATTGCAGCGAGCAGCAGAGTGCACAACGTTGAGAGTAGCGAGGAGGTATAGTTGGACACAAAACACAAGACTCCGGGAGGTTCTGTAGGATATTTTACGGCCGTGCGAGAAGCCTTGGATCGTGGCTACTGAACAATCATGCCGCAGGAATGACATCGCTTGAGTCAGCGGCTCCCGCTTTTCTGTCTTCCGGAGTACAGACGTGTAAGAGTAAGAGCCCGTCTACCAGCTGCTCAGGGTCGTGAGGGCGAAGTTGTGGAAGACACCCAAGCTCTCGATGATTAGTCGGCACAGCCCTGGTGCTCTCAACAACTCCTTCCTAAATCGTATTGCAGTTCGGGAACAGCCGACGTCATACATAGCTTGGAGTCAGAGGCCGAGGACGAACTACTTGACTTCTTAACTGACAGTAAGTGTCAGCTCTCCCTACTGCAGTATGAATATGTCGCACAACCGCTCGTAGCTTGCCACCGGCCGCTTTCAGTACCACCTGGAGTGAGTCCGTCGCCGCCCCACAAACGCACCGCCTGAGGCCCAGCCGACGCAGTCACCAGGGGCGATACAAACGCAGGACCCCGCACCAGATACCAACGACGCGACAGCGCCCTCATGATATTAGCCTTGCGCTCCGTCTCTCATGTTTGCAGACGGACAGGCAGACCGCTCTCAATACCCCAAGTCCGACGCGTCTACTATGCCACTGGCCCGTCTATCGGTGATCCTCCCGCGCAACCCGGAGGTTCTGGTTCGATATCCGCATTACCACATCCAAAGGACCCAGGATCATCCAACCAATCCGTCTCATCATCTTTACCTCCGCTTCAGCCACCTCCGCCTTCATCGAATACCACGCAAGCTTCAACGTCGAACCCATATCCTCCATCGCCACCGCCACCACCAGCAGAAACCGATGCCCCGAATGGCGGTCCACCTGTGCCTGTCCCGTTCCCGCGAGAATATCCTCACGAATCTTCAGAGACCCAGCCCGACCTTCCTTCACTGCACAACTTTGGTCCCACTAATTTTGGGAACCCTCCGTTCGACACGTACCGGTTCTTCTCTGAGCTAGAGAAGACGTTCTCTACCCCGACAGCGCGAAGCCTCATGCGTGCAACAAGGGCACTCTTGGTGGATAGGGTTGGACGGGTAAAGCGAGAAGGCCTCACCGTGAAGGACCTTGAAAGTGTATGTTATCTGCTGCCGCTTCCGTCTGTTTCCTCCTGAGATATTCTGGACGACAGCAGGCATATTTGTTCAAAGCAGCGCTGTCCGAGCTACGGACGGAGCTCACAATGCTTACCAGAAACGAAACGGCCGCGATGCGCGCCGCGGGCGCCGCCCAGCGCAGAGAGGTAGACGCGTTGAACGCGAGAATGAAGGAGGATTTGGCGAATCTCAAGCATGAGTACGCGACACGCTCTTCTTGCTGTGAATCTAGCTAATATTACACACAGAATTCAAATGGAGCTGGATAGTAGGAAGAACGAGGCTAAGAATGACATGAAGCAAATAGACATAGAGATTGAGGTCAGCCCTTCGAATATACGCTTGAGGACTCCTAATTCAAACCCGTGCATCACAAACCGTAGAGTAATCTTAACGTGAATCTCGTGACGCTGGGAGACCTCCGGACCGCCATGGAGGAGGTGAAGTGGGATAACATGCGTAAATCAGTTGGTCAGTACAGCATAGTAATGCATAAATGCGCTTCTTTTGACCTCGTTTCGTAGTCGCACTGAGTGGATTCCTACTTGTCATCGTGCTTTCGATGGAGTTTCTCTATAACACCAACAAGAACGAGACTAAGAAACCGCCACCGGAGCTCAAACAAGTTGACGGAGAGAGCTTGCAGTACATCACGTAACATCGCTCACTTTCAAATCCCTGGACGGATTCTCTATTGATTATTATGACTTCGGGCTGGGACCATGGTGCCGTGATGATCTATATCGCTGAGTACTCTTCGTGTCATACACTCACTACTATCCAGCTCCTTGCACATATTATGGATTGTTACATGTCGCATAGTTCTATAGATACATAACACATTGCAAGATTTCATCTTCCAGGCGAATGGCGGGAGGGAAAACCTCAGTGGCCCAGCACAAAGGTCACCGCACATCGAGCTTCTGTACCTCCTCCGCCAACGCGTCCGCCGCATCATCTGCCTTTACACTCTCCTTCGCATCTCCCTCCTTGGCCTCCTTGGCCTCCTTGGCCTTCGTACCTGTGGGAGCCAGAACCTCGTCCTCATCGTCATCCTCCCAACTGTCCTTGATCTTAGCCGTGATCTCCTCCGTCTTCTTCTCGTCCCGCTTTTCCTTCCGCTTCGCATTCTTCTTCGCGCTCTTGCTCAACGGTTTATCAGACTGCGCTGCAGACGAGGCCGGCACCCAACCGAGGATTTGGCCCTTGGGCAGAGTATTCCGGTCCATCTGCTGCTGCCGCGATCCACGGAAGCGCGAGACGTCTTCCTGTGGGGTAAAGCCTGGTCTGATCTTGATCTCCTTGCGGACGCTGAGCGGTGACAGAGAAGGGACGGTGAGGATGTTTCGTGCAGTGGGATCGTGATATGAGTCAGAACAGATGTCGACTGAGAGGGGTGCAGGCAGTCACATACGAGCCATCTGGTCGACGAGATTCAGGGATGACACGCTCGAGTGTGCGCGGGTCGACGGCAATGCCAGACACAGTGGTCTCAGCGATGATATCGGGCTTCGACATGATTGGATTTTATGACGGGTAGACTGAAGGGAACAAGCAAGAAAGCAAAGGGGTGTGGTCGTCTACAGTGGTCGAGTGAAAGCTGTAAAGCGGCTCAGATGCGCTCACTGCTCGCCTCAATGAGCGGAGTTCGAAACATCTTGTCTCGTTCTTTCATCCTCTCTCCTAGCTTTACTTTCTTTCGCACTTAAAAGCCTCGAAACTTACTGCAGAAGGCGTTTCCGACGATGCGTTACGCAGTTCTTGTAACAGGCCCCGCTGGAGCGGGAAAATCGACATTCTGTAACGGCCTCATGACGCACCTTCAAACCTCCAGACGCACAGGGCATCTCGTAAACCTGGACCCCGCCGCGAACAGCGATGCATTCGAGTACGAGCCGGCCATCGACATTCGCGACCTCGTCAGCTTGGAGGACGTCATGAGCGAGCTGAACTATGGCCCGAATGGCGGCTTAGTGTACTGCTTTGAGTGAGTGAGTGCGATCCTAGTTGAAGCAAATGTGGGTGGCAGTCGCTAGTGGAGCTCATGCTGAGTCCTATGCAGATATCTACTTGAGAATATGGATTGGTTGGAGGAAGAGTTGGGTGGATATGATGACGACTATCTTATTTTCGACTGCCCTGGTACGTCGCATTCGTGCTCCGTCCTGTGTCCCCTTTTGGACTAATAACCACATAGGTCAAATTGAGCTCTACACGCACCATCCTTTCCTTCCTACACTTGTCCGACAATTGCAGCGAATGGGCCTGCGTACGTGTGCGACATACTTGATCGAGTCGCAGTTCATGGAAGACAAGTATAAGTTTTTCGGGTGAGTGCAATCTTCGTATGATCTGCGACCTGATTTTGATACCTCTCACTGTAGCGGCGTCCTTTCTGCGATGTCTGCGATGGTCAATCTTGAAGTGCCATGGGTCAATATTATGTCCAAGATGGACCTGGTCACAAGCAACGCAGACGACCCGGCGAGCGGGAGAAACGGTATCCGGACACGAAAAGATATCTCAAGGTGCGTCTTCTGTAAAGCCGTTAAGATGAGTATTACTATCAAATGCATCCTACAGATATCTTGAGCCAGATCCCATGCTACTTGTTTCCGCCCCTGGAAGCCGTGAGGAGAAGTCTGAGAGGCACTCAAAATTCCATGACCTCAACAGAGCAATCGTTCAGCTGGTGAGCCTGTAACTCGCATAATGAGCATGCGAGGTGGCCTACCTGTTTCTAGATCGAGGACCACCCCCTGGTGTCGTTCCTGCCTTTGAACCTGACAGAACCGGATTCGATTGAGACAGTACTCAGTCATATAGACTATACAATGCAATACGGCGAAGATGAGGAGCCGAAGGAGGTACGTGAAGATCACAGTCGGCACTAGAACGATTGTTCACATACCGCTCGTTCAGCCTCGAGACCTCGACGAAGGTGACTTCGCCGACATGGAATAGATCCTTGTCTGCATACCCAAAATGTATCGATAGAGCAGGAAGATCCTTCCGTGTAATTCTGCTAATGTATACTTCGCTGCTAGCTTTGGGGCGTCCCGTTTGTCCCTATCCTGTGTGATGAACGCCTTCCCACAGTTTGTTTCAAGTTGTCTATCCTAACAACAAGCGGTCAAAAGATTTCTTCGCTTAAGCGCGAGGCGTACACTCCTTCCGGAACCCATATGCCAATAGGAGTTTTCGGAACGCTTTTGCGATCCTTCTTCGCGTGCCTGGGGCAGTGTTATGCGCTAAGACGCGTGCGGAAGTTACGTTTACGCGACCACCTGTAGAGCCGCTTTTACAGGACTTGGCGTCCTAGAGGTGAGTTAGTGGGATCACCAGCTATATTGTGTATTGCATATGACAGAAGGCTGAATTTGATGATAGCAGCGTGGTCGGAACGCCAACGGGACAGCGAGAGGAACCGTCAGACAGCTTCATTTCGATGTCAATCATAGTATTGTTGATGCGTGGCGACACATCCTTGTTATAAGCCCGCACCGCACGCCTGGATGGCTCTTCACCCCGGTGGTCACTTCACTCGCTTGTGCATTCCTTCGCTTCACTTCACTTATCCTTGCTTTCCAGCTACAGCCACATTCATTTTCATTTGACAATCTTTGCACTATGCTGTCGTTTGCTTTCCTTCTTTCCGTTTGTGCACTACTCCCACTTGCTCAGGCCGCCCCGGTGCCGCTATTTGGTATCAACTTCGGCGCAGGCGCAGAGGCTAATGGCACGCCAACTCCAGTCTCGCAGAGTACTATCGACTCCACGCTCCGACGCCCGGCGTTCTTCGCGCGTGCGGCATATTGTTCGCCACAAAGCGTACAGACCCTGTCTTGCGGCGCGCCATGTGACGTGATCAACACGATCAAGGTTCTGCAAGCAGGGGGTGATGAGGCCGCAACCCCTCGATGTAAGTTCATGTTCGTGTCTTGGGGTGCCTTTCGTTGATCAGCCGCACCTACAGTCTTCATTGCGCAGGATCCAGACAACCAGTCTATTGTCGTCGCACACCAGGGAACAGATCCCGAGGAATTGCTTTCGGATCTGAATGACCTCGAAGTCGCTCAAGTTTCGATGAACACCACCCTGTTCCCATCAGCCGCCCGTACGTATAGCTGTACACGACTTCAGATCTGACGGATACTGAAGACTGCCTGTGCAGAGGGATCATTGGTACACGACGGTTTCCAGCAGACACAGGGCCGCACTGCCGATCTCGTCCTCTCAACCGTCAAGTCAGCACTGGCTTCAACGGGTTACACCAATGTGTTGGTGACTGGTGGGTGCCATATCACTACTTAGCAGATGCGCATCTGAGCCAAGCGATCTTTCTTGCGCGCAGGGCATTCGCTGGGCGCGGCGGTTGCGACGCTCGACGCAATAATGCTGCGTATGCAACTACCATCCAATGTCGGGGTTGACTCGGTCGTTTTCGGCCTGCCTCGTGTCGGAAACCAGCAGTTCGCAAACATGATCGACTCAATGGTGTGTAGCCACATTTCCCTTTGAAGCTGTGAAATAATTCTAACGGACCGACGGTAGTTGCCTAGCTTCTCTCACGTCACCAATCAGAAGGATCCGGTGCCAATTGTGCCGCCGCAGGATCTCTCTTTCCAGCACCCGGAAGGCGAACTGCATATCACCTCAGTCGACTCCTCAGGCAATGATACAACTATGGTTGCCTGTCCCGGCCAGGAAAACAAGGTGAACTATCTTCACCGCTCCCGATATGGATCCTTGGCTGATGAGGTTACCCTGTGACGCTGCAGAATTGCTCCGACACGAACTCGCTACTGGATGCCACTGTAGACAACCATCTCGGGCCGTACTTTGACGACATTTCCTTCGGAGGTGCCGCCTGTCCGGCGTAACTTTATCAAGAAGGTGCAGAATCCTAGGTTGCTAGGGCGTTCTTTCAGGACAACAAAGAACGGTCGTTACGGATCGTTACGGGTTGTCAAGGACGCTTGTTCCGTATGTATGTAATATATGAGGTATTTTGCAAGCGGGGGTGTGTCATTACGCAAATCGTTAGATTATGCGTAGGATAATCTTAACCAGAGCCTGAGTAGAGCACAGCCTTTTATTACGCTGCCTACTCCGGGCTGTTTCTAGGCAACGCCAATCATGAATGGCCTTGGTGGCGTTGATGCGCTCTGAGAGCCTATCAATACCGGGAATCACCGAAAGTCGAACCGTGCCCCTGCCAGCAATTTCTCTCTCCCAATTTTCGTTTTATCCCTTGCTCTTGCCTCTGACTTACCTCTTTCTCCCTCCTCTCTCGTCCTGTAAAATAGAAGGTGAGCTTTGCCATTGTCCTGAACAACAACGAGATCTCCAATGTATCTCCCCAGCTCCGCGTGTCGTTAGCAACCGCAATTCCACCGACGACTACCGAATCTCCAACAACTCCTCAAGACCCCAACGACCACGCGCGATTGCTCTCTTATACTAATCGTTTGATCAAGATACATAATCTCTACATTTGGTCCATCCAGTAATTTCTAACTCATGGCCGCGTATTACTCCTCGTTCTTCTCCTCCGGTTTGCTCAACTCGGACAGTCATTGCCCGCGTACGCCCGAACCTACCACGCCTCGCGCGTTCGCTACCAACTTTAACGAAGATACCACGCCTACTGCTTCTAACTTCGCGCTGCCTACTTCGCAATCTTCGAATGGCACCATCCCTCCGCTTCTCGCGCAGGCCGAAGCCACCGTCGCAAGCGCTGATCGACCGCGGATGCGCCGCAGGCGGTCATCAATAGGCTTGTCTTCATCGCCTGTTACGCCGCTGAAAGGCGCTCTGCCGTCTCGGGCTGCCCATATCCAACGCCAGTCAGTGCCAACGGGTGCGCTCGGCGTGGCTTCGCTAGCCCGGTCACGGTCAGGAAGCGTGACGGAAGCGATGACCTTCGCCCGCTCCACGATGAGCATGACCTCGACGAGCGAAGCTTCAAAGGCCGGCAGAATGCGCAGCGGGAGCGTTGGCAACGCGCTGAGGTGAGGCTCTTACAACCTCCCTGACCACTCGTCTGCAGAGTTTGATGGCATCATGACTACTATGACAGGAACAACTCCCGCCGTCGCAAGCCTACCGCGCCGATCCCTGCGCTTCCACCGCCGAACGCGCCTCTGCCAGCACTTCCTCAGCTGCATCTCCCTCTGTCATCTCTCGACCTGTCAAATATTCCAGGCACCGCTCGTCGCCCAGGTGCTAAGCGTGCGCAGACGACCGATTCGATCCCTCTCCATGTATATACACCTTCCATTCCTATTCCCGCCAACCCTGGGCGCGTCGCCCCCTCGGACATGGGCGGCGAAGTGTCCTCATCGCTTTCACGGTCGCTGGCATACAACGCCGAAGGTGCAGCGGACACGGAGGATTACCCCGCCCCGCTCGATACGCCAGGTGAAGTGCGAGGCGAGTACTTCGCGTAAACCTTTCGACCGCCCGCTGGGTCAGCTGCGAGCTTCAGCTGCACACTTTACTCCGCCGATCTTTCCTTCGCCAGGCGCATTCATTCTGCCGACTTCCTCTCTGGCCCTTGGTGTGCGATTACGTTTAGTGGATCGTCACCTTCTTAAAACCGATTGCTTTCGCTGCCACCGTCGACGGGCTCGCAGTGCCGGCATTATGCATTCCACCACCATGCTTCCTCTACCCTATGATCCCCCATGACACTTGTAGCCATTACCATATATGCGCTCATGCTGAGTCAGATGACCAGTTCCCCGTACCATACTCGCCTTAATAACCTCCAGCCTCTCTGCACCACCCAACTCTCGTCTGCTTTCTTGCTATGCTTCGACTCATTTTGACGGCTATTCCCACGCAACTCGAACTCTATGCAGGCACGTGTTGAACTCTACGCTACAATCGTGCCGGCTGTTAATACCATACATTACCGATACTCCGCCTTGTCCATACTATATGCCCTGCTGGTTCAGAGACATAATACATACTGTATATCTTGCTCCGGTCGTCTCGGATATACATGTGGCGAAGGATCCGGCTACGTTCTGCGTGGCGTCCTGCGCCTCCGTTCCATCTCCCGCGGTTATTCCTAGCAAGACTGTGGCACTGCGGCACGGCGACTAGGATTTATCGGTCCTGAAGCCTCTCAATCTTCGGCCTGGTTATGCCTAATGGCGCGGCGGTGCGACAAGCTCGGCCTTTTGAAATCGTTACTGCGAGCACACTGGGCGGCGCGAGGACGAGCGTAACTTTCCGTCAGAGCTGTTCGGGAAAGGGTCTTTAGGTTGCGTCAGTAGCTTCCATGCCTCCGTTCATGAACTGCCTTTCAAGCATGCCTTCTCATACTAGGCGCTGCTTTCGAAAAACTGAACACCTCCACTGCGGCGTCCGGTGAGACGTACACGTTGCGTGAAAGCGTAGTCAGAGGCCTGTGCATCTGATGACGCATAGAAGGTTGCAAGGTTCAAACCAGGAGTTATGGTCTTCTTTACGGTCAGTTGCGTAGAACCAACTTCCCAGTTTCCAAGAGGCCCCTTCTAAGATTAGCTGTTTCGTGGGATCACGGCAATTTCAAGGGACATTCATGCACTGCTGCCTGTGACGATACGTGCTTGCCGCGTGAAGCAGGACACCAAACCGTATGCTGTGTCGCCTCATGTTCAGTATGTTATTTCCGGGAGTGATGTATAACTGACACTGCTGGTCACACACTAGAGTTCGTTCACAACATTGGATTTGTTTTTTCGTGGCACTGCCAAAGTGATATTCTGCCCTCCCGGGAAGGGCGCAGCTCCGAAGCTAATACCATGGAGCGTACAATCCGCCGCTCAGGCTCGGACTATGGATAGTGCATAGGAGCCTCCCTCCTGCAACGTGTCAGTCCCACATACGGGTTCTTCAGGGTGCCTTTAACGTTAGAGAGACCGAAGAAGATATCTTGTGGCCCACATCAAGTGCGGTACAAGCTTCACTCAGAGGCTGTTTGCTGTTCCAGTGAGCTATGGCGATGACTGACGCGAAAACGCCGGCCGACTGCCGTGACTTGGCTGATTGCCAGGTGCGTGGGCATGAGAGTGTAGCGTGTAGTCTTCGGTGCCTTTAGCCTTGTCGGTATAGCAGCCACAACCCACAGCATTGCTGAATACCGACGATCTCCGTCTCGATAACAATGTGTCCAGCTGACAAGTACGCCGCCTAGTAGCCTAAAGTTGTGATTTCGGCTAACCTTGATTGCCACTGCCGTCGGGATGTGTACGATTGTGTGCCAGAGGCATGCTCGTCATCGGGTGATGCAAAGATTATGGAGGCAAAACTGATGTCAATGCCGGAAGCGAGCAACTCTTCGGTGGCGTAGGTTGTAGGTTGTAGGTGGTCGGGGCGTGCGGGCGTTTGGGTGGCAGGCGGTGTACGTGTCCTGTCGTGCACACTGAATGCTCGAACCCGCGATAGCGCTACCCCTTGGATTGTGTGGCGGGCTGCGGTGCCTACAGCATCAACCCCTCTTTCTAACATGTCCATCCTAGCTGTATGAGGACTATCAGACCCATAGATATGTTCGCTCAATTGGAACCTGCGGCGCTGCTCAGCAGGTGACGGCAGCCCTCCCGAGAGATTCGTAACGACGAGGAAGGACGCAATATGATGTCCTGTGATACATACCATACCCGAGAAGGCAGGTCTGTCGGTGTAGCTGTGGAACTGACTGCGGTGGACAGTGGGCGGCTGAGAGATTAGATTACTGGCGTGAGTGGCTCTACACAATACAGTCCGTGGAGGACCGTGTCGCACCCCGGCTCGTGTAGAGATACGGGAAGGTGCGGCGCCGCCACCGACTTCTTCGGAGCGAGTTGGTTATCAGGGTGGTCACGCAGGTCTTGATGCTGCCTGAGCCACTCCAGCACAGTACGACTGGTCTCGGCTCGAGATAGCTGAAACCGTGGTCTGCTGTCGACGAGGGCGATTATGCCAAGGTCACACGTGAAATCCAGAGGTCCCAGACGGGATCAACGAGCCAGAGAGACTGTGTATTGTCGTGGGAGAAGGTGGGGCTGATTTTTTCCTGCAGCCTCGTGGGGGAAGGGGAGGGTGTGCGACATTAAGGGGAAAGGCGCTACCGCTGCACGAGGCAGTATCGAGGGGGTCTCTCTTCATTCCAACGTGGGGTGCTATGACCGCAGGCTAACTGCGGGCTCCGGGACATGTGCAGGAACCTCGTGTGGAGGATAACGGGGGCCGAATCAGTGGCAGGCGATGCATACATGTCACAGAGCGGCCGAGTGGCAGTGCTATCCCTCGTCGGCAGCGGGACATGTGTGTGAAGAGAGGCGGGGGCGGTGTGAAGAGAATGCCCCGATCTGATCTGATGGCGGATCAACTGCAATCTTGGGATCTTCCGAGAGGAAGTAAGCCTCCGCGCGTCTGCAACTCCATAAATGCAGAGATGACGACCGCAAAGTTCTTCCCAGCTCCCCCGACTCACCACCTCCCCGTGCACTGAGTGTATATAATATGGCGACCTACACCACATACCCACAACAGACGATCTACCCATCCTACAGCACCTCCAACCACCACCCCGCTTCCGCCCATCCGAACCTCTACCAAACCTCCGCCTACTCTGTCCCGACACTTTCCAGTCCCCCTGTCCAAACGATGCCGACCTACTACGTCTCGAGCTCGACTCCGCACCAACAGAGTACGCGCTCGCGTTCCCGGTCCAGGCACAGTGCCCAGCCCATCGTGTACACCACTAGCAGCAGCAGTCATCGCCAGCATTCCTCGCCGCGCGACTATGCAGACTCCGGCAGGCGCCGCCGGGCAAGCAGTGTCGGTCACGGTGGGCACTACTACACGCCCTCGGACCGTTCGCCGCGTCATCGCAGCAGCAGCCGTTCACCGCGCCATCGCAGCAGCAGCCGTTCACCGCGGGTGGTAATTCACACCACTTCTTCGCCCGGTCACCATGACCCCCGCCGCTCCCATTCTACCTCGCGGCACCCCTCCAACGCACAATACCTGGATGCCCGCCATGACAGTCATGGTGGTCGCCGTCCGAGCGTATCCTACGTGAGCATTCCTCTTGCCGATAACGCGTACCATGCCTTCTGACAATTAAGCTTCAGAGCGACTCCGGGTACCACCACCCCCCTTCCCACTCACACACTCACCATCGCCGCAACTCCGACTCACTTGGTGAGCGGTTCCGCCGCTGGTTCGGCGGATTTGGCCAACACAGCTCGTCGCGCGGCACTGAATATGTCGACACGCGCACTGGTCGGACCGTCGACCGGTCTGGCAGACCTGTTTACAGGGTTTGACCCACGATTATACTTCATGACACTGTCTGGAACAGCTCGTGATGTAGACCTTACGACAAACGAGCCTGACGTACCTTCACGCTTCTGTTCATTGCATTCTCCTAATATGCCACCTTCTATATGTACCTTTGTACTACTACGTACCCTATGCTCCTCGTCTGGTAGCTCTCCCATTCAAACGTTCAGCTCCGGAACCCTATCCTCTCGATATCCTGTACCATCGAACGAGTTGACGAGTCTGCTAGTAATCAAACTGAAAGATTCTCCCGAATTCATGCCTCGTGATCGGAAAGGAAAGTTGACATCAGTTACGAAGCCTATTCGTCTGTCTCAATGATGATATCGATATAATTGCGCGAATGTACAGGTCGGTAGTGTTGGGACTGACCCCAGGTCTGACCGGTCTGACCCTAAGGGTCAGTCAAAGGGGTCAGTCAGGTCGGGCTTGATTTGTCACGCCGATTATGTGAGGTCATCGTCAATGTTATAGCCCTCGAAGATGGCAGCGAGGACACATTATTTCTCGCGAGCCTGCAATAGCTCCCTTCTTGTCACTGAATAAAATCCATCACGCTCCCTCGCGAGACCCGCCAGGGCTGTTTCGTAGCACGCTGGGCAGCGGCAGCGTCGCCATCGAAGTTGCACAGACACGAGAGCAGCAATGTGGAGAAAATCAAAGTATATTCTATTATCGGGAGTACGTAGTGTTGGGACTTTTGTTGCCAACATTGCCTGCTCTTTTGAGTCTGCGCTGTCCCCGACGGCACCGAGCAGCCTCGAGCAGCCTGGTCGTTAATGAACGCTCAGCGGCTGTTTTGGGCGCCTGACCCCACTGACCCGTCAACTGACGGTCGGTTGACCTGACCGGTCAGTCACTTCTGACCTGCAGGTCGGTTTCGTCGCGTGCGGGCGTCTGTAATCTATTCGTGGCCGTCCTTCCGAGGATTGCGCGTATTCCAGCTTTCTCATGCTCGCAGCGCGAGCCTTTTCCACATCCTCTGGTGAGACAGGCGCGATTAGGCCATACTTCAGTGCGGCTATGACGTTGACTCCTACGAGCTCGTCTTATTAAGAATTTGCTCAACTCGTTTTTTCTGTCACGAAGGAAAGCCTCAAGTGTTGGGATGACACGATGAAGAACACGATCATTGTCAACAGCGACTCAGTCCAGACCGCGCACGGTGCCCGGAGAGACAGTTCTCGGGAGGCTGACTGGAGGCTGACTGTGCGGATCCAAGTACAATTTCAAGCCGCCGAGCGACGCGCGTACGATTCGAGTCATTGCGAGCCCACTGTCACGTCCGGCAAGCCTGCATGACGTGACGTCATTGCCGGGCAGTCCGCGCGAAGACAAAGCTACTTTTTCCCGCCTTTTCCCGCCAGGCCGGCGAATCACTCTTAGCAGACATCATTGCCTGGTCCCCACTGCCAATGCCGGCCAGCACACGTCAACCCAGCTCAACCTCTGCCGCATCGAGCTCGTTACTCAGCAGACACCCTGCTTTCCGCTGCAGTTGTATCCCAACTCCAGAAAGCTCCTGTCCGCTGGGCTATGTATAAAACTCCTGGCTCGTCGACATGCCCAGCATCAGTCGTTCTTCGTCTCTTACACACCTCCTCAGCAGAAACCTCTAGAAACTACACACTAAAATGTCTGTCTGGGCTCCCCCTGCTCTGCCTCCCACCAAGCTCGGCATCCACAGACCCCTCGCTTCTCGTGCCGGTGTCCATGTCTCCCCTATCCAGCTCGGTGCCATGAGCATCGGCGACAAGTGGCAGGCGTTCGGCATGGGCAGTATGGACAAAGATTCGAGCTTCAAGCTGCTCGACGCGTTCTACGACGCTGGCGGCAACTTTGTCGACACCGCGAATAACTAGTGAGTTTGCGCGACTCTCTGCGCATATGCAGCAGTAACTCACCCCCGCATTCCCCGCAGCCAAGACGAGTCGTCCGAGGAGTTCATCGGCGAGTGGATGGAGCAGCGCGGCATCCGCGACCAGATCGTGCTGGCCACCAAGTACACGACCGACTTCCGCCGCGGCAAGGGCGGCCAGCACAGTGCCTTCGTCGGCAACAGCGTCAAGTCGATGCACACTTCCGTCACCGCGTCTCTGAAGAAGCTCCGAACGGACTACATTGACATTCTGTATTTGCACTGGTGGGACTACACTACGTCCGTGGAAGAGGTCATGGACGGCCTGCATACGCTGATCCAGCAGGGCAAGGTTCTGTACCTCGGTGTCTCCGACACGCCGGCGTGGGTCGTCTCGCAGGCAAACACGTACGCGCGGCTGACGGGCAAGACGCCGTTCACGATCTACCAGGGCAAGTGGAGCATCATGGACCGCGACTTTGAACGCGACATCCTCCCCATGTGCGTCGCGCAAGGTATGTGCCTGCCCGCAACAGCTCTGCCTTCTGACAGGCGCTGACGTCCGACTCTCAGGCATGGCCGTCGCACCCTGGAATGTTCTCGCGGGCGGGAAGATCCGGACGGACGCGGAGGAACGGCGCCGCCTTGAGTCCGGCGAGGGGGGTCGCCAGCTGTTCGGAGACTGGAAGCGCACGCCTGAGGAGCGCCAGGTCTGCCTCGAGCTCGAGCAGGTCGCGACGGAGGTCGGCGCGAAGAGCATCACGTCGGTCGCGATAGCGTGGATCATGCAGAAGGCGCCGCACGTGTTCCCGATCGTCGGCGGGCGCAAGGTCGAGCACCTACACGACAACATCGAGGCGCTGTCGGTCCACTTGAGCGACGAGCAGATCGCGCGCCTGGATAGCGCCGTGCCGTTCGACAAGGGGTTCCCGTACACCGGCTTTGTGAGTGACCCCCCGCTCTTGCGCGTGCGCCGTGCCGGTCGTGACTAACCTGGGTTGTGCGCAGGGCGACGGGACGAGTTATAATTTCCTACACCAGTCTGCTGGCCACTTCCAGAGATGGCCAAAAGCTGGTCCCATCAAACCCGAGCTTTCGAAGCAGTAGGCGTGAGGGCTGCATGCCTAGTCAGAGTGATACACTCCCAACGAGTCTGGAATATACTACCTCAGCTATAATGTGTAAATCGAGATCGTATCGCGTACCCAGGCCGATTGTCTTTTGCGACAAATTAGAAGGAAAAGTTAGACCTTATCTAAAACATATGACTCGGTGTTGACCTCAATTGAAGTCGAAGAGGCGTAAATACTTATTAGTACTTGCTTAGTCGCAGTCTTCGAGTTTACGCTTGCGGCTTACACGGCTTACGCGTCTTAATGTTTGTCTCTGTCATGGATGGTACCACTGCGCTATTGATGGAGATTATTAACATATAGCCACTCCCTTGCGATGAGTATTGCCTGGCCATGGCCCAACTTGAAGTTCGGTTCGTAGTAAGATAATGCATATCTCGTGTATTGGGGTGCTACGCGCCGTTCTGGCTGTCTTTTTATGAGCCGTAGACTGTACACCATGCCAAGTTTGATATCTCGGATACAGCAGTGGCATACATAGCGACTTGTATGCATTATACTGTACGTGTCTTTCGCAAGAATCAACGTGCCGCGGCGTCTTTATGTAGCGCTGGCGGCTTTAACCAAAGCGCCCGAGTGCCTACTTGAACCAACGCGGTCACGGTCAGCTGGCCACGCTTCCTTGGATGCGCACGTCCTGGTGATAACAACAAATAGCACAGAGGACGTTCGAGAGCGGTCAGCCATTCGTCCTCGTGAACAAGTTTCAGCGCGGCGAGGTGGATTCCTGATGAGATTACTCAATTCGCAGGGCCGCCGGGACGTGTGCATGATATAGACGGTCATGGGGATTCCCCTTGCATGGCTTGGAAGCGTGCGGGATCGTTTATTATATGAGCTATCCGCAGAGGTATCTCCGGGTGCGCTCCTGTCTAGAGGTATGCATATGCTCAAGATGAGGCTGGGTATCGCGACGTTGGGCGCAGTCACCGCTGTTGGCGGCCTTGCGAGTGCACAATGTCCCGACTACACGACATTCTCTCAGGTATGAAATGCGTCACACGAGGCTCACTCAGAGTTGACCCTGGAACGCGCCTTCAGAGCCCCCAGGGCGACCCGTCCGCAGGACCGTTGGGGTTGCCATTCATGCGCCCCGCGCCCGCCTGTCGAACATTCAACAGTTCAGCTGTGGAGGTGGGCGAGTTTTATGATGATGCGACCCAACAAATATTGATTTGAAACACGCAGCAAGTCATAAACGATATGAAGAGTCGTCTGAAAGATCCCGACATCGCTCGCTTATTTGAGAATACCTTCCCGAATACGCTTGGTACGTATGCGGGAGTTACGTGTCTACCTTGTGTAACTCAAAGCCTGGTCAGATACTACTGTGAAATATTTCAATGCGGTCAGTGGTGAGATCCTTATTTTGATTCAGGAATCTCATACGTTGGTGCTGGTAGACCGAGAATCTTGCGTTCATCATCACTGGAGTAAGTGGTTTTCCTATCGCGACCTTCTGCTGATGGGATGATAACCATTTAGATGTAGGACATCACGTACGTTGCTTTATATGTAGATTGTTTCTGTATTGAAGTCGTGGCCTCCGCAGAGCTCAGTGGCTTCGTGATACAGGGAACCAGGTTCGTAATAACTTTCAAATGCGATGGTACAACCGCCAATTCTCTCTGAAATATTAGTTTGCACCGTACCATTATCTGCTCGCTCAAGACAAGGAACTCGCTACTCTCGTCAAGGCCGTCATCAACAACGAGGCCCGGTACATCACGCAGTACCCGTACTGCAGTTCCTTCCAACCTCCTCCAGAGAGCGGCCTGGCTCCAACGCACAATGACTATGCTGACGGCGTCATCGTAAATCCACCCGTCAACAATCTGACGGTTTTTGAGTGCAAGGTCAATCTGGGTGATTTTCCGTTAGCGACGACGACGCTAAACGGTGTTTCCAGTACGAAATCGATTCCCTTTGTGGGTTTATCAAGCTGTCAAGGTCGTATTATCAAGCTACCAACGATTCATCCATCATGAATGATAATTGTGAGCGTCGTCTTCAACGTCTTCAACGTACCCAGTTGGACTGACAAGAATTTCTAGGGCAATCTGCCATCGGACAAATCTTCCGCGTGATCGAAGAACAATCCCAACCGACTTTTGACAAGGACTGGAACTTCATCTCGTACTTCAATTGGACAGGCGGAGCAGGTTCTTTGTCCCCCGCAGTGAACAATGGCGGTAATGGCGAACCAAAGGGATACACCGGCATGGTAGGCACTCACCATAGGCCTTCCGACGATCTGAGCACTTTTGGTGCGCTTCTTTGCCCGTAGCATGGGCCTTTATACTATCTAACTCTCAACAGCATTCTTGACTCCGGCCAACGCCATGCTGAGCGTAGAGCTAACCAATCTGGCTAATATCCTGGACTCTGCCAAGCAAGCACCCAATGTCAGCGCAGCTGCCCGAGAATGGAGTTCGAGAATCAGCAACGCCATCTGGAACACCACTGTGAGCAGGTTCCTCATCTGGAACGAAGGGAGACCATACTTGATAGTGTCTGACGTAGCTTGTGGATAATATCTTCGCATATGAGACTAATGGGCTCGGTTCGCGATATGTCATGGACGACGCGAACGTCCCGGTTAGTGACCTTCAGTGATGTTTTCTCTGTCTTTGAAACTAACGGAGAATGAGCGTAGTCCCTCTTATCTCTGCCCTACCTTGGTTTCTTAAACAGAACGCACCCGGCGTACGTCGCAACTCGGCAGTTGCTCTTGTCCCGGAACAACCCCTACTATGCTCAGGGGGCGACCTTCCTCGGAATCGGGTATGTCCAGAGATAGAAGGAGCACTGCTTGATTTGGATACTAATCCAATGCGCAGCGGGCCTCACGTCGACGTGTGGAACCCTTGGTAAGAAGTTCTGCGGCAGACCTTCCATTCCTTGTGGTTGACATAACTCGTTTCAGGCCCATGTCGCAAGTTTCTGCAATCTTCGGCACTGACGACGACGAAGAAATTCTGACATCGTTGTATCTTATTGCCAACGTAAGTGATGCTGCGGTTCATGACCTCCTGATACCTGCTGACCAGCTGCGCATAGAATACGAATGGCCTAGGGCTGATCCACGAATCCATCGACATCTACAACACGACCTCTTACACGCGGCAGTGGTTCGCTTGGGCGAACAGCTACTTCGCAGAGATGCTGCTGGACCTTGCGCAGCGCAAGCCGCAGCTTATTTTCCACGATGGACGGAGTTATGTGCCCGGTCAACTATGAATAATGCGCGCGTATAAAACTAGTGGACAGGCGGTTCTGCATTGTGCTAGTATAGCTGCATTGACCTGTACTTACGGAACGGGATGTAAACCTGCAGTGCATTGTCTGTCGTTACACGCGCCTGTTCTCTGCGCGGACCTCGCTTGACGAAACAAAGAATAATGTCTCGGGACCGCAGGCTTGCTGCGGTGCTGATGACGCCAAGCAAACCGGATATAGGCGTGGATGGGTGATCTGTAGACTTTGGACTTGACACAAGTTGGCGTTTGTGCCGTACCAGGCTGCGGCACCCTGCCCTGCCTCGTTCTTCTTTCTTTCCCGTACCCCCACCATCGTCGTAAGCGATGAACTCGAGAACAGCCTGGACTTCCAGCCCCGGGACTGTTGGCACACTCATCGTAGTCATACTGAAAGCGGTGTGTGTACTCTTCTCTCTGCTGGCCTGACTGCGTTCTTACTCAAGTCGCTTGCCATCGCATAGAGAAACCTTCCCAATAAACGACACATTGGAAAGCAGGATCCATACTGCCTAGCGACGTTCAACGGCGAGAAGAAGAGGACCAGGGCCATCAAGCGTGGTGGTCAGCACCCCGAGTGGGATGAGGAGTTTCGCTATGAGCTCTGGGATGACGATGCCTCAGAGCAGAACGCACCACTAGGCCCGAATGGCACGCCTCCGCCTCCGCCGCCCAAGAAGAAGAGTCTACCGAAGATCAAGGGTGGAAGATTCCTGAATATCGCTTGCTATGCTGAGGACATCCGCGAGCCAGACTTTATTGGAGAAGTCAAAGTCGATCTGGAGGAAGTCTTGACAAAGGGAGAGACAGATGGCAAGTGCGCATCCTGTGCACCTTTTTCTTCTGCTCACTGTTCGCCCAGAATGGTTTACTCTCATGAACAAGGACAAGTACTCAGGCGAAGTGTACATCGAGCTCACATTCTGGTCCAATGTATGTTATACCATGTCCATATTGCTGAAATATCACTCATGTTCCATACAGGAACCTGTGCCAGTCGCGAAGAAGCAGGCCAAGGCGAAGACTCACAGGCATTATGGCGGCCCTGGCGAGTTTACACCCGCAGATGATTCCAGAGCATCTATTGGCACTGCGTCGGCTGGTTTATCGGTCTCAAGTCTTTCCACGGCCAACTCTCTATATGACGTTGCACGACGCGAAGCCATTCCTCCCTCCCTAAGGCCATCAAGCTCATTGGCGCAGATTGACCTCTACAAAGCGCCTTACGAGACGAATCGTTCGCATCACAGCGTTTCGTCTGTGAGTTCCATGACAAATGATTTCGGCCAGCTTAGTGTGCAGCCGCAGTATACTGGCAGGAGGACGAGCATGCCAGTATGTCATTTGTCGCATGTCTCCGGCATTCACTCATCTGTTGCGCAGCCGATGCACAGCGGGTTCCAGTCGCGGCAGTCGACAATGTCCTCCTCGTCATCAGTCTATCTAGATCAACCTCAGTCTGACTTCAGTAATGATCCGTACGTGTACGCTGCGCAGGATGGACAGCAATACAACTATGATGGTTCAATATCACCAAATCCCACCGGATATCAATCCTTCCCGACTCAGCCCGCCGTACCCGCGATGTATAATCCTCCATATGAGACTACGCCTCGCCCAAGCACTGTCTTGCCAGGCCACGCGCGCCAGACAAGACGAAGTTTGCCTCCTACTTCGTCCGGATTTGTACCGACCCCTGCCTCGTCAGGGTTCGTACCTATTGTACAGCAAAACACTGGATATTACCCGCCCATCTCGGCAACTCCAGCACCAATGCATAACCATGCACCCCCTCGTCCACCCTCACATGGAGGACATCCTAGCTTATACAGTGCACATACAGCGCCAGTTGGTCCTGTACCCACGCCAGCACCATCAAATTTCTCAGCTGTTTCTCAACAATACCCTCCATCGCCCGGGTTTGCCCCGTCGAGCTCATACCAGCATATACCCCCACCGCAACAGCAATTCGGAGGGTATCAGTATACAGAACCAGCCCCACAGCAGCAGTATGCTCTTCCACATCCGCCTCCATCTGCGCCGCCTATTATGAACGGTCAACGTTCACCTCTTCCACACTCGTTGACACCTTCTTCAATGCCTCCACATGCTCAGACGGCTCCACTACCGCCAAATCATAATGTGGGCTATGATCAATCCGCATATTCCCATATTCCTCCGCCACCACCCCTACCAAACAACCAGTCTCCACACGGCTCCAGACCGCTTCCTATCCCCGGTGAAAGTCAGGTGGTCCGGAGACGACACTCTACCATTGGAATGCAGCAACAGCTCGTAGCAAGCCACGTTACTGGGGCCCCGCCTGGTGGCGGTTACAATCCATACGCTCACGTACCGCCTCCGCCTCCGATATCGTCGAGCTTTTCTACGTCGTCCATCCATAACCAGGTTCAACAGCCGCCGCCGCCACCGCCGCCACCTGTAAACGGATCGACGTTCCCATACTCCCCTAGTCATCAGCAGCTGCCGTCTATCCCAGGCCCACCACCTCTACCAACCTCGCGTGCTCCGTCCCGTGCACAAACTCAGCCTCTGCAGCAGCCTCCATACCAGCCTGCGTCTCGACGGCAGAGTTTCAGCCACACCGGCCAGGTATATGCACACCAAACAGGCCATAACCCGTCGCCCCCACAGCAGCCAAGGTACCAACAGGTGGCGCCACCGCCGCCTCCACCCACTACGTATGGTGCGGGCCCGACAAGCCATACCATGGCTCTCGCACAGTCAGGCTTCCATCCTTCATCCCATACGCCGCCGACACAAGCTCCATATCCGGGACCCTTGCCTATACCGCCCCAGGTGCCTTCTAGTCAGTCTTATCACGGGTATGCTGTCGCGAACGGAGGCTGGCAGTGATATGAAGAGGCTTGGCGTTAAAAGCTTGATCTGGTCATCTAGCTTCTTGATAGAATGAAAGACTCATCGTACCTTACGGACTTGCATGCCCAGCTTACGATAAAGGCCCTGTTGTTCGAAGAGTGTAATCTCTCTACCCGGCTGTCTAACGGACTCACATGTTGCATCGCTATCTAGCGCTAGATGACAGTAATTTATTGTTGTGATGTAGTCTCTTCGCTGGTCGCGGTTCGCGCCATCTCTCGCATGCGAGCTTCCTTCCACTGTGCGATGGCGGTCTCGGTCGGCACAAGTCCTTGCCTGCTGAGCTCGAGCCGTGCCTGCTTGCGGATCTCGCCCTCCCGCAGCCGTTCTTCCTGTTCCAGCCTCTGCAGCGCACTCTCAGCGTATGTGACGAGTCCAAAGATGCTAACTTTAAGAGGGGTCGACGCATGGAACAGGTCAGCGAGTCCGGAGAGGAGGCAAAATGTACAGGGCGTACTGACAGCATGAGACCAGGAAACACTTAAAGGGCAGTGTCTGTCGCCTTGAAGCCGTAGATCATATGAACGACAGCTTAAGATAGAGTAGGCGTACGATGCTCACCGGAAGGAGGGCCAGGTCCTGTGTCCGAGGACGGCGAGCCCCGCACCAAGAGCAGCGAACATGGCGGTACCCTCGAGGCCCGCACGCACCTGGACGTCGTATGCCCGTTGGACTCTCTCCGCTCGTTGTCGTTGTCTTTCCATGGCGGTTGCGTTGCACAACCGAGCGCTATAACTGCGCTATAGCTGGCCGTGGGCGAGAGCCAGCAGACGATCTATCAATTTCGGAGTTATCGGGCGCTTGCCGCTAAATCTGCTCGGCAGTCTCCGAAGTCTCGCTTTAGGCAGGTGGTGTAGAACGACGCAGAGGAAGTCCCACAAGGCCGCGCTAAACAGCTGCAATTATTTGAAAATATCAGTACATACTATTGTTCAGAATTCTAAGTGGTGCAATGCTAATAATCGTTAACTCGACTGATAAACTTGACTTGGAAATCATCGGAACAGGCTACGAGCTCTTGCCCGCGGAATGCGACTTGAGTGGCTCGATGGCCGGGGAAGTAATTCACCTGGGATACATTCCTCGTTGAGTTCACTCAAATCTCGGACGTGGGGCACGCTTACAATGTCCAGAGGTGTGTCTGATTTTCGGACGTCCCAAAGATAGACGTTTCCTTCACGGTCACCGCATGCGAAGACGAAGTTGTTGACGTCGCCTGGATGAGTTTAGTTCACGAATATCGCACATAGATCATACTAAAACTCACCTTTGGTGTGCCTGCCCTGCAGGTGCTCTGTCTTGAATCCAAAGCGTTGCACGGGCCTCTCAGGAACCAAACGGTAGTCGCGGATCTCGAACTGGAGTTCTCGATGTGCCACCTTTGCGGGGCTTCAGCTCCTATCTTCCGCTTACGAAAAAGCACACTCACCTCCAGCAGCACACAGTACGGAAAGCTCGCGTCGTGCAAATGGTAGACAGGGTTCGAGACCTTGAACGTATTCACCACACGCTCCGAAGCCAGCTCATATATGTTCACGCGGCAGTCTGCGCCTGCCGTCACCAGCTTGTGGTTGGCGTCGCGTACGGGTAAGAGCGCCTGCACGCACGACGAGTGCTTGATCTGCAGCTCTCGGCGCGTCGCCTTCGAAACGTCCGCAGGCATCTCCCAGAAGTGCACGCGGTGATCATACCCGCCAGTCGCAAACGCGCCGGGCTGCATCATCGCACAGACTGCGCTTGCGCCGGCATTGGTTGATGTCTTGTCCAGGGGCCTGTCAAGAAATATGGGTGGGACTGTCTGCGAAAGTATGAGACGATGCGTCGCAAAAGCAGTGCCTTTATTGTTGCGTACCTCATTGGCTTCACGAATTTGTAGCAGCGATAGCTGGCTGCTTTCTCGCGCATGCGCAAGAATGGCATAGGTCTTGTCATCAACTGTTCGCAGAAGGCAGGCGTCGTCCACAAGATCTCCCATACGCTCTGAAGGCTCCAAAAGAGCGTATCGCTTCCTGCTGAATCGTTGGCTGGATAACATGGACAAAAAACGACACCGACCTCTGCTTCCAGGTAACTAGCTCGACTGCCCCGCGCATTGATACCTCGACCAGACCATGCGCCAAGCCCGTGAGGAGTCTTCGCGGTTTGTCGTGATTGCTGTGTGTAGTACGCAACGATACCTCTGCTGTTTCCGCCCACCTGGTCGCTGGCTGACCGGAATTACCGCCAAGGACAATATTGCCCCGCTCAATTTGGTGATCCGCCGAACGGAGATGACCAGAGCAGATATCCACCTCGTCACGGTGAAGGTGGGCATCACGAAGAGGTTCTGACGAACTGGGAGGGTTAGGCTGCGCTCTGGATAGCGAAGAGTCGGCGAGCTCTTGAGCCGAGCGTGGTGACTGAGCCCCAAAGAGGGGCTTGGAAGTGCGGCTCAGGATCTTCATACCATATTGCCCGTCGATGGTTAAGGTGCCTGAACTAACGGAGAGGAAGTGAGGCGGGGATCCATGCACTGATGGCTCGCTGGTTGAACCACGTTTCGGGGCAGGAGCATGGTCTCGCGCTTGACTGGTTCCACTCTGGACGTCTCGAAGGAGCGTCTCCGGTACAGCTTGCTTTGCACGCCGTGGGCGCAGTTTATCATCGCCCCCAAACGGGAGACCTATGATGCCAGCCTGCTGGACCTGATTACTGGGAGAAGCGGGAGAATTAGAGGCGGAGGAAAGATGTGTCTGTGTTCTTGGTGCACCGACGTCGGACGCAATCTGTCGGGAGACTGCAGCTGTCCATTGTAGCGGCTGCTTTGTCGATGGTGCCGCACTATTTGGTGCTCTCGGGATTGGTTTGGCAGCCGATACAGGCGTTTGTTCCAACATAGATCGATGGTGTTCCGTATACTTTGGCTCTGAGCCATAAGATATGCTGGCATTGGCCTGCGGAGGCTTGCATTCCGGAGCAACACGTCCACCTAAATAGCTAATAAGTCATTGCTGAAAGATGAAAAGCGACATATAAAAAAAGCACATGCACGCACGCTGATCTGTCTGTGGAAATAGAGGAATCTGCTCCTGGTATGTGGAATCAACCTGAGTGGGGTACACAAATTACGTTCCGAGCCGAAAGATCGCATATATAACGCATACATGTAGCTCGGTTATATTATTATTGGCCTGAGGCGCAACGGAACCCTTCTGGTAATCAAGGGGCTCTACGCTTCTCCGAGCTTCGTTAAGTGGCACATCGCCTGGAACCGGAGCTACCGAAGCTGGAGGTTCACGACCAGGCAGAGAGTGATAGAATAACTTGACTTGACTGCGACCCTGGAACTGGTGGCTTACGACGTTTATGCCACGCTCGACAGCGATTTGATAGAGATTTTCTCGGGCCCACCGAGCTCGATTATGCCTAGAGTAAGGGGCGCCCTCGTGACAGTCGTTTGGAAGGTCTACGATGAGCTCCTGTTTCCTGTGCGCGGGCGGCTTATGTTTATGTCTGGTGTTATCCTCTGGGTTTTCGTGAGGTGCACGACTTGATACGCGTGCAACTTTGTGAGGCGGGCCATGCGAATCGTCCTGATAAGAATGCTCTCGTTTATACGTGGAAGAAGGCCGTTCATACTTTGAGGTGTCTAAAAAATGCTATGAGCGACGAGCGTATAGTTGAAAGCTAGAAGTCTTGCATCTGTTTGATGCGACATATGGGCTGTCGTGTTGGTATGATCCCGAAGACGTTGATGGCTGGGAAGAGTTAGAGGCATGCGCGGGTACATGTGGTCCCGGAGGTCTTGGGCGAAAGCCGACGGAGTTAGCACTTCGCCCTCTTTGAGAGAACTTTCTGGATGATCCTCTGGGTATTCCTCTCGGACGAGAGGTGCGGACGAGAGGGACGTTTGCGGTTCCCTTGCGGCTCGGACGAATTTCGTTTGGCTGTGTATCCTCTGAAGGAATCCTTTGCAAAGTATGTTGAAGCATCCCATCCTCAAGACGCTCAAACGGTGCTTACATGCCCTTGTCGTCGTCGTGGTCCGAAATACAGACTATGATATGATGCGCCACCACCTTGGCGCGAGAGAATAGACGCCATCAACAGGACTCCCGATTTGGGTCTAAATTTGCTGTTGACTTCCGCTGATACTCACCTCCAGACTCGTTTGTGACAACCTACATTGTCTAGACCACAAGTTACAGCATTGATTTATGTATTCTACGGAGCTCTTACGATTACTAATAGCTAGACATGAAACAAGAATTTGAAGACGACCAGCCCCGTCCGCCCTTCCCAGTGCTGCACGGCACTGCACGATCTACTCGAAGGGGTGTGGCAAGACTGACCTTGCCTACCGACGTAAGCGATGATGAACTTAATACAAGAATTAAAAGCATTATCCGCGAGCTTGCTGCTCAGGGGAAGAGGATAAGTATGCTTCCAAAACATCTGTAAGTCGCCGTGCAGCAGAGAAATCCTAATATTGACCACGCATGCAGCCATGATGGGGTAGCCATTGACTGGTGAGGGAGGGCATCACTGAAACAATGTGCCTATTTAATGTATGCACAGGCTTTACGATAGATCTGTTGAGCATGAGGACCTTCAGTCCATCCTCCGCCGAGTCGTGTAAGCAGCTCAAACTTCAAGATTTAGTCCTCCTGTGCCAGATTGTTGATAACTACTTCAAAGACCGGGGCTCAAAGACGAGCATGTCATGCCGGATGTTCAGAATCTGTGCCCTCCGATTGCTGGTCCTTCCAGAAATGTCAATGATAACTTCGTGGAGCCAGAGTCACTGCCAGTGCTTCTATCCGACCTTGGTTCCCGCACCTTACCTTCTCTTCGCCAAACCTCCGAGCCAGCTATCATAGGCTCTACGGCAGCTCCTTATCGCAGGTGCTTTTCTGAGACTGTCGTGTCGACTGGAAGAAGACGAAGAGCCGCTAGCGTAGAGCGGTTCACTCTCACCAATCTCGCTCCCGATACGCAAGCCGATGAGCTCTTACTGTCGCTCGAAGAGTCCGGTGTGCCTAAAAATGCGTAAGCAATACCCCTTGAAATTCATGACATGCCTTGTCTGCATGGGCGTACTCAATGGCAAGCAGCATCACAGGGATCCGTATAATGGCAGCACCGGTCGGTACAGTGGCGACAGTCTATGTGGCCGCAGGGTTCGACGCTGTCTCGCTCGAACGGATGGTCCGAGGAGTCGCTTCAGGCCAGCAACCATCTCAGGCCCCTGAGAGACCTGACGCATTCATAAACTTGGTATCTGACGATTCCGACGTCGAGCTTGACGACGGTTCGGCGACGCGCGCAACAGTGGATCCACATGTCGCTATACAGACGGCCGACAAGCTACCGGTAGAGAGAAAAGAACCAGCACCCGAAGATGGTTCCATTTCTCCTGCTCTGAGCTATCTCACACTGGATGAACACAGAAACGAACTCGGCAACCACAATAACGCGGAACTAGAGCTAGACGCCGCTCCAGAAGAGGCTAGGGAGCAGACGTTATCCCCGTACAGCCGCTTGCTAGCTCTTCAGTCAAGCGATCACGATTCAGATGATGACTTGCCTGTTGATAATGACCGCTCGGGGTACGCTGGGGTAATTGAGCGCGATGAAGATCCCACAGAACGCTTGCTCAACGATGATATTGGTGCAATTAGGACTTTCCTTCAGGATAGTTCAACGGAGCTACATCGACATATGCAGCTCCTGTCTGACGAAGCGTCGCCTTCTGCTCCACCGTCGCATCGCTCCCTCAGACTAGGGGGCTCTCATGGTGGTTCTAATCAGCGCATTGGACAGCGCTCAGAGACCTCGGATTTGAACGTGAAGCGCTGGAGCCAGAATCCGTCATCTGACTTCACCTTCGGAGGGAAGGGCAACCGAAGGGGCCTCCCCGTCCATGGAGCCCGTGTTCAAAAACTTACTTTGGATCGTCCGGTTCCAGTTGACAGCGACAGTGTATCTGTGGCCTTGCCCAAGTCAGAGTACGCTAAGAGTCGCCGGCTTGTCGTACCAGCGAACCCAAGCTTGCCGATAGCAGCAATATATATGCGTGGCGATTGCCAGTTCATTCATCGACGGACGCGGTATGTGCTCATGAAAATATACTGGAGCATTTCTAATATATTCACATCGTAGGGAGCACATCGCTCAATTTTCGCTGCCTAGTGAGAAATACCGCCGGGATGCGGTCTCGCGCCATGTCGTCGATGCGATTTCCCTAGATGACAGTACCGTCGTCATTGCCTATGACCGGGGACCCAGCCAGGCATCATGCCTCACTCTTGATGCTGAGGTAAGCTGTCCACAACACTTGGGCAACGTTCTCTGACACACCGAACACAGCATCCCTACCTTGTAGATCTGCCCCACAAGGGTCACACGACAGTCATCGAACACCGCCACACCGGCACGTCGTCCCCAAACCCTGGCATTTCCGCCATAGCGGGCATGCCAGCGGACAATCGCCACCGGCGATTTCTATCCGGCGGTAGAGACGGCACCGTGCGCGTGTGGAAGCTTTCAGGCAGCCAGGGCCGGAGCCTGCAGGCAGAGTCTGTCCAGCTGCCGCTCTCGCCTGGCCAACCCGTGCGGAGCCTCGCGTGCCGGTCGTCCGACGGCCGCACCTTTGTGTGTCACGCACGACACATCTCGTCTGCGCATGTAGAAGCCCCGAGGCCCGCAACGCCGGCGCTGCTGTCTGCCGCGCCGCTGCAGGTGCACGTCCACCCCCAGAACCCGCATGTCGTGCTGCTGGAGGTGCGTACGTAAAAACGTTGGCCGCGTCTGGTGCTGACGCGCGGATGCAATCCATTAATTCCTTCGCCCAGGTCGATCATCTGGACTACCAAGTTCAGATCTACGATGTGCGCCAGTCAAACTTCGACAGGAAGCCGGCGATGGAGTTTGGACACAGGGTCGCACCATCGATGGGGGCCAAACACCTGTATCGCAGAGGTTCGACGTCGCATGCCCTGTTTGCGCGCGGCTACACCGACGGCACCCTATGCCTCTGGGATTATCGAAACAAGGACGTACGTCTGTTTCCGCATGTTTCTCATATGTCTGCTCTATAACGGCCCTGACTCCGGTCTCCGCCAGAATGTGGTGAAAAGATCTCGGGCTAGGGGCGATCCTATCGTCCATGCGGTCCTGGCTGGGGACCAGGTGATCGCCTACGGCGCATACAGGGTCACTTTCTGGAGCCTCTCAGATTTCTAGAGATCCCGCAGACATGTTGGCCGGTCAAACTATGTGACCATTCAGGCATATTATTCCGGAGGGGTATGGAATTGCAAAATGGAGGGGCGCAGCAGGCAACGAGGCAAGAGAACATAGCAATGAACAGAGTGGTGCGACGGCGCCAAAAGCTCATTCCTTCTCCGAGCCGCCCAGCTCGATAGCGAAGGCGGCAGCCAGCTTGGAGAATTCGAGCATATGCTCGAAACTGAACTCTGGGGAGATGTCGTAGCGACTATCAAAGCTGATGAGCCCTACGCTTCTCATGGGAGCATAGAAAACTCACTCTTGCGTCGAGTGGATGTTCTTGTTTGAGTTCCCGAACGAGCTCTCTGATTGGGTGCTAGCGGTGAGAACAATGGCATAGTAAAGAGACGGTAGAGACGTACCGATGGTGAAGGAGCTGGGATATCCGGCCTTCCCCCATGGTGCACTGGTCGGGTGGTTCAGCTCGCAGCAATGACGGAGTAATGAGAAGTCGTAACGCACTGATCACTGCAGGCGTAGCCACACTTAGTCTCCACCCACGGGATGTCGAGATATTCATCGACCAGCTGCTTGTTGAATTCAGTCAAGCTAAAGCACAGAATGGATTAGATATCCATATGTGGCATGGAGCGCAGCGTCTTGCCTTTCGTCCGTGAAGTCGGTGATGATGCCGACTTCTTCGCGAGTTCCGGCCTTGACCCATGCCGTCATGTCAAACTAATGGTGACAGGGAAGTGTCAGACGATTCTCGAAACCAGCCCGAAATCGATGCACTAACCTGACTCATTGCATACACGTTCGCCGAGCGGGACTCATAGTCTTTTGCAACAGCTTGAGATCCGAGAAGGCCGCCCTCCTAATAGACGGAATAAGCATAACCATCAGATAGCCATTAGCGATAGCGTGGGCACCTCTGCGGAGTACCAATGGAACTCAATCGTTCGCACGGGGCGGAAACCGGACGCAATCAGCGCTCGATAGCTCTCGAGGATGGTCACACTACCGCTGCCGTCATCGTCAGCGCCTGGGACCATGAGGTTAACTTCAAGTCGCGGAAGTATTCATAAAACTTACCAGGCGCCGGCAGGAAGGGCCACATATTCGCACTGAGAGTGGTGAGCGACAGGGCGGAGACTAATCAGAAAGACAAACCTATCTTGGTGAGCTCCAATGATGACGACCCTGTCATCTGTGGTCGAAGTACCGTTAATGCGCGTAATCTGCCACATTAGTTAGACATGGCAGTATTTAGAAGGTACAAGAGTACCCACAATTGTATTCTGATTCCATGAGTGAGGGAATTCCTGGATGGAAATGTGCTTCTTGAGAGACTTCGAAGCATATTCCTCCGTGATCTGGTAGCAACGCGTTGCGGTGAACACGCTGCAGATACAGCTCGACCTCTTATGCTTACCTCTGAGATCTTATTCAGCAGCCATTTCTGACTGTCGCGCCCGGTCTATAAGCAGGTTAAGAGACGATAAAAGATTTTGGAACAACTTGACGTACGTCACTACGATAGTCTAGAAGCATTGTCAGCTCGACGTGATAGACGATAACTCAAAGTGATACATACAGCGAGTTCTGAAGCTTGTAAACTGCTTCAAATTCTCCTTAGGACCGTCGGTAGAAAGCTTCTCCAGGACTGGGAGTACCAGCGAAGAAGCATTCGGCTTCTTGTACGATGCTGCTTCCCCGTCAGGCAACCACCACGCTAGATGGAAAACTGCACTCACGCTTCACAAGGGTCCTCAAATGAGCGGTAGCGCCCAGCTCCTGAGTTTCTGTGCTGACGTAGTCGTCAGTGGAACAGTTCCGTATGCGGGTGGTTGACAAAAACCTACATGTCGAAGAAGTTGACACCCTGGGCTTTCATGTTGATCTGCAATGATGTGAGCAGATTTTCCAGGCTGTATACCAAACGGCTTGCCTTCTCCAACTCTGGGACCCATATCGGCTCCTTGCCTTCAACCTGTACTAGGCGCAGTGCGGCCAGGTCAAGGCTGTAGCCGGGATATTCATTCTGAATGTTGGTCAAGGGCTGCTGGGTGTTGAGCAGAAGAGATGGCGATGCCACGACGAGGCTTGCGAGGGCGAGTAGAGCAGCGAAGGACTTCATCGTTCGAGGTCGAGTTTGGTTGTATGCGCTGTGTCGCGGCTGGCCGCGTCCCTACCGACGGCGCATTACCACGTGACTGTCACGTGCGAGACCCGTTTTGAGGAATCGACCGAGTCTGTTCTTGTTCTGGTATTGCCACCGTTTCAGTCGCTTCTGCAGAAGCTTGTCACTTTTTACGAGGGGGTTGCCATGTCGAAAGCAGTCAAGGGAGGAGCTGCGTCGCTCGTGGTGCGTGCTTGTACTTTGCTGATGGAATTCGCTCTGTGACTCACTCTCAGCGCATCCATCTTCACAGCGCATCCTCATCCCTGCTGGAAAAGCATCTCCGTCACCCCCGATCGGTCCTGCACTCGGTGCTCGTGGTGTCAAGTCAATGGACTTCTGCAAAGAGTTCAACGCACGCACCGCGCACGTTGAACCGGGCATACCAACCCCGACGCTCATTTACGTGCAGCCCGACCGCTCATTCACATTCATCACAAAGACGCCACCGACCACCTACTTCCTCAAGAAAGCTGCTGGCATCGAAAAAGGAACAGGCAAACCCGGACATGAGATCGTTGGTACCGTGAGCTTGAAGCATATCTACGAAATTGCTCGCATCAAGCACACAGATGACCACCTGAAGCACCTTCGCCTGGAAGCGATCGCGAGCACGGTCGTCGCCACTGCAAAAACGCTAGGGCTTCAGGTGGTTCCGTAATCGGCCCGTTTCTCGATAATTAAAGCCGTGTGTCCTGCCTGTCGCTTCATTAATACAGCGCGTTCCAATTGATTATCGTCCTGCTAGCATCTCCGATGAGTGCCGCGCACAGTTTGACATCACGAGTGGCACGACTGTGCCTGATAATCAGCAATGTATCCGTAAACCCATGACATGGCAAGTATTAGTTTTCGAAGAGGGGCGTGGGTTTGCCGATATCCGCTGGACGTGAGTCGAGGCATACTCGTGCTGATTTGGAGACCTTGGCCCCGTGCAATGCGACATTCCGCGAACGCTGGGGCGTCCAAGCGGACTCGCAAGGGCGCAAGGTTCTGGGGTGAAGATTAGGTTGGGAAATGCGTAAGCAGCTGAGGAGGACCGAGTATGGCAGATATTATGCGAAAGGGGCAAATTCCGCACTTTGTGCGCCGTCGTTACCTGTTTCGTTGCTTAGCCAATGCCGCACTTTCCGTCGTAGAGAGACCGAGTTGCCACATCCGCAAACAACCTCTCCAGTCGGAATTGTCACTTCGGTGCCCTAGCAATGCACTGAGCCATCATGACCGAGATGGGAGAACCTACCTTATCTTCCTGCCTCTTTGTCCTGCGTAAGGCAGGTCTGACATGCTGCCTCCACGCTCTGCTCACCTGGAACCGTCTCCCCGGATGAATTCTCACTGAAGATCCAGCGGCTTGCCCCGCAGCTGCCATATCAAGATGCAGGCCTTTTCCTCGTGCGAGCGAAGTAAGCGTATTATATCCCATCTTTTCTGTTTCTCATGTGAATTCTGTTGCCAATAAGCCATTTTCGAGCTGCAACGCACAGCGAGGCCAAGGCAATTCCTTTGTTTCGAAGCGTGGCCACACCTCGTATTCTCGTGTGTCGTAAGCGGCGCCGCAACGGTCCCTCATTCTCGCCCACCGAGATCACCTTCCACCAGACCTGAAGCGGCGCTTGCTGGTCCTCGTGTTGCTCCCCGATCTTGGTCGCCTCAGCCGAATGGGCGATTCGGACCTGTGGCCTACTCAACAAGGCGGCAGTCGACATCATGAACGCAGCTCTTCTGCCGTCTACACGTTGAATTCCTTGTATTCATCTTTATCGGCCACCACGCACGCGTTCCCGATCGAATAATCTACCATCATCCGACCAGAGCAGATTTCACCCTGGCTGTACGATATAAAGTCTCTCACATCGTGCCCATGCCACGGCAGCCTCACCACGCACCGACCCATTTTGTCCTCTTCAATCCAGCACCCACAAACACACGCTTTAAAACGATATGGCTGCTCCAAACGAAGTGCTCTCCTGGACTTCTCAAGATCCCCGCAATAGCACATTGTTCAGCAGCTATGGTGTACTCTACCGTTTTTCGGTGCGCCAGTTTGAATGTGGTGGCGCATGTTTTCTCACTGAAATCTCTTGGTGACCTGTAGACAGAACTAAACGCTCACGGCGTCAATGTCACGACGCTTTGGAAAGCGATTCGTACCAACAAGGAGGATCGTGTAGCGAAACTGGAGTGGGCCCCCAACGGCGGTCTTGGGCGTGCGGTGATTGGCAAGGTAAAAATTTTACCCGGCAGGATTCTGCAGATTTTGTGACAGGTGTTGCAGAGCACGTTTCCTATGGCGGACCTCGTCCGCAAAGATCCTGGCGTCCCTGTAAGTGCAATCAGCTTTCTAACGACGTCGCGTTTGTAAAACTTTTCCCCGCAGGAGACCCGAATATTCAACGGCCCGGATGGCTACCTGTACGCCTGGAAGCCCACTAACAACACCGCAAACGACATCTGTGTAAGTTTCTTGTGGGGAACTTTGATCTGCAACGCTCAATGAATGTCTCATCGTCCTCCACAGCTGCAGGACCAGAATGGCAACGTCATTGCGTTCTACCGGCCAATAAGGCCAGTGCGGTATAACATTGGCGACGTCTACGGGGAGCTGCATTTCTGCCGAAGTGCAGGCGCAGGCGTGGTGGTAGGTTCTCCTCCGACTTGCCGCCCAGACACGACCTCACGCGCCCCGCAGATGCACCCACCCCTCATGGACACGGTGACCGTGACGGCGATGCTTTATCGCTTCGTAATCACGTTCGGCCTATGAAATAGACTCCTTGTGGTTCTCGGCAATCTCTTGACTTAAAATGTAACCTATCGCTGTTTTCGTGTCTGCACCTGCTTTCTCGCACCTGTGTACTGTACCTCTCACGTCGCCATCGCATATCTATTCGCAACTCTGGTTTCCGCCGCCCAGACAAACTGTGAACGCCGGAGGACAAAGGAACGCGAAGGAACTAGCCGGCCGCGAGGCAGCCGCTGAGTACGACCATATAGAAGCGGCCGATGACGGCGTTGGAGGTGCAAGCAACGTGTACGCGGTGACTAGAGCCTCGCTGCCGGCTTCTCGCTCTGCTCCGGCTTGACGACGTCGAGGATGGCGTCCGTAGTGCGGATGACCCATTCAGTGCCCTCGTCGGTGGCAAGCCAGTAGTCCTCCTCGCTAAGGCCTTCGATGTCGCGCGCCTTCAGCAGGCCAAAGACGTGGCTGATCAGCTGAGGACCGACCTGCTCCTCTGCGCGTAAGCAAGCCGTGCCGACGACCGAGCCCAGTGCGCGGCTCAGGTTCCCTTGTTCACCAGGCCCGCCGGGGAAAGGGGCGAGCACCGAGCCGTATGCTGTGATGATGAACTCTATATCAAGCGGCGGTCAGCAATCGAACACGCGGAGGCAATGATATGTAATGGTGAGGTAAGGATTACCAGGAAACATCAGTCCTGGAACGCACCGATGAAGTCCGGGTGGTACGAGCCCAGCTTATTGTAGAGCTTCACGTCATGCGGCGTATAGATGGACTGCCATAGAGCTCTGCCTCTGGCTGTGATCTCGTCGATATTCTGAGGAGTAGGCGACCTGCACGAGTGGCAAAACCAGTAAGCAAAATTTTGCACAGTGTTTTCGAGAAACCAAGTCTCGCGCCTCTTGGATTCCGTCCTCAGCTGGGCCTTTACGTCGCCCTCCATCACCTCCTGCAGGCCTGCAAGAGAGAGAATCGTCTGGGGGACTGCGTTGTGAGGCGATACGGACTGGCAGCATAGGACGCGGTCACGTACCCGGGGCACACCGACGAAGATGCAGCTCTTGAGTGCGGATTCGCGCATCAATGCAGCCTTATTCACTGCGTCGGGCAGACTGCGACGAGACGCGGCATCTTCGGGATCAGCTCTCGTCGCAAACTTGTAGAGGTACCCGACACTAGACGGCACGTTCGCGGTGAGCAGCGCGCAGGTCTGCAGAGCGAGAGAATCCGCAATCAGCAGGTTGCGTTAAGTTTGCGCTAGTGGGCTCACCGTCAGCGTTAGCCATCCCGTCTCCGCCTTCTTGGTCCTGGCATCGTCGAATGTCGATCGCAAAACAGCGCTCAGTTTGGATATCGGCGGTGCAGGAGGTAGGTTTGGGTTCCTCAGCGTGACGAGGCGTTTGACTACAGGAGGCAAGTGCTTGACGACCATGGCAGTCAGGGCTCTCTCTGCGCACAGCAGGGGGACCAGCGAGGTGTATGTCTGATAAATCGATAACAGGTTACCGTGGGCGAACGCGGCATGTGGCGGAATCGCGCAGGAAATCGGGATCTGTGAGATTCACGGAAGTATGACCTCAGACCCGGCCAGCTGGAAGACTAACCGGTTTTGCACGCGCATCACACATTCACACAGACGAGACACAGAAAAATCGACACAAGTCATGCAGTATCGAGCCTGTATATACTGCACACATTCACTAGCTAAGATATCAATCTTTGCTAAACAACTTCATATCTACTGAACGCGCAGCCTCCAGCTATGTGTTACCAAAGATGCGAAACAAAATGCATGATCTTCTGAACCAGCCGATCCACGGACTTGCAGAAGGTCGGATGAAAGGGCGGGTATACAGAAGCGTTGAAGGCGCTTCATGAACGATTTAGTAGTTGCCACTGATGATGAACTGGCCGAGGTCGGTCGGCTGGCCGTTGGACCCCATGAGCTGATCAGCAACGATGACATTTCCCATGTTCTGCATGAAGCCTAGGAAGAATAACATGTCAAATGTCACTCCTCGTGATAATCCGGGATACTCACCAAAGGGGAAGGCAGCCGCGATCCAAGGAGTATCCATGATCCAAGGCATAGCTTGCCCGTAGAAGGACCAGACATCGGAGGTAGTGGGCTGGGCGCCACCGTTGAAGTTCTACAGCGAAGTCAAGTTCGTATTTCTGGCAAATAATGCCACAACAACACACCTGGGGAGCGAACTCAGTGATGTAGATGGGTAGGTTGTACGTGTTGTACCACTGCGTGACATAGCTCTGGAAGAGTGAAAAGTCAACGTCGTACCAGTGTACGGCTATGCAGTCGAACTGTAGAAGGCAATCAATGCACACTCATGTTGATACCGAGGCAACGAACCGTGCAACCACCATTGCAAGCCTCGAGCATGTCGGCGATCCAAGTGAAGCCATTAGGATTAGAGCTGGTGGCAGGCGAGCAGGTCTGGTAGCCTTGGGCACGCTTGGGCTCAATATTTTGCATCCAGAGGGTGGCGCCATCCTGAGGGTTCATGTTGGATTGACCAGGTTCATTGGGTCTGTAGAGCGAAATGAGCAAACACGGCCGCGCGCAAGTGAGAGATACACACTCGTTCATACCCAAGATCCAACCGGCGTATCCAGGCGTCACAACGGACTCGAAGTCTGAAACCTGATCTGGTCCCCAGAGCTGTGCCATGAACTGCAGGTTTGGAAACTGGTGGTTGGGGTCTGGAGTGTAAGGGCTCCAAGAATAGATCCTAAAGCGCAATCAGTACGACGCGGCGTCTCAAAGCGCGACACATTTCAGCTTACCATCCCGTGACACTGGTGGAATAAAACTGGAGGTCAGATGAGGGACCGTTGGGCCAAGCCAATCCGACCTTCGTCTGGCCATTGGAGGGAGCCGAGGACGGAGTCGACGCTGGAGCAGCGGAAGAGCTGGAAGAGGGTGCGGCAGTCACTGCGGGAGAGCTGGAAGAGGGTGCAGCAGTCACTGCGGGAGAGCTGGACTGAGTCTCGCTGGTCGGCGCAGGGCTCGGGGCAGTAGAAGTAATGGGGGCCGCAGATGAAGTGGACACCGCGGCACTGCTCAGGCTGGTCGAAGGACGGGGCTTGCAGCGCTGCGTCGAGTTGTTCTGACGCTTCTTGTTGCTAATCCGAGAGCGGCGGGCAATCACGTCGTGATGAACTTGGCGGTTCGAATTCTGGTGAATGCCAGTCGCGAGCGCGTTGACAGGAGCAACGGCGAAGGTGGTGGCGAGCGCAGCAAGGCAGGCGAGTGCAAGAAGATTGATAAGCTTCGACGCCATAGCTAGATAAATAACTTCAATCTAAGCGATCTCGTCTGTGGTTTCGTGGATGTTTCACAAGGAACGGGTAGGGGAAATGAGCGTGCGCCCTAGGGCGAGAGGACCGAGGAACGGACGGAGGAAGAGAGGGAGGAAAGTTGGTGAGTAGAAGGAATCGTTGCACTTCAAATTTTAAACGTTCTAAATATTCATCTCCTTAAATTGAGCCTAGAAACCGTTCACACGATCACGTGCGTGCCTTGAAAATGTGTTCGACTTGCCAAAGCTACCGAAGCCTGGACACCGCCATGGTCCGTAGATCTCATCATTCACGGCATGTTGAGACATCGTCGGCAGCTCGTCGACCTGTGCTGTACTACGTGCCGAACGCCAGCGTCATGATAGATTGCACCGGGTATATACAACGATGGCCTGATCCCGGACCATATTGAAGGAAAGGTAATGCGTTCCGTTCACCGCGGGTGATACCAGAGCGAGGGTATAGTATGTCGTCTAATTATACGGGCCATATACCACGTACTTGCCCAGATCTGTGAGTATGCCACCCTTCATGAGTTGGTTAAGAGGGTTAACATTGCCCATGTCCTCAAGGAAACCTGTGTTAGGATCATCAAACTCCCGGTCCATCTTAGCAGTACGCAGCTATCTTACCGAAGGGGAAGAAGGCCTCGACGTAGTCCTGAGACATAAGCCAGGGGATGACGGTCGTGTAGAAGTTCCAGATTTGGTCCATATCTGCTTGAGCGCCGCCACCGAAGTTCTGCACGAACGGTTGTGTTAGACCGACGATCACTACTCCCTGAGCCCACAGAAATACCTGGCAAGCAAACTCTGTTATAACAATGGGCCTGCCGTACTTTTGGTACCAGTGTTCCACGTAGCTGATTAGGCCCTGAGGGTCAGTGTCGTAGTAGTGTAGAGCGTCGTGAGAGAACTAAAAAGATAGCGGGTCAAATATATAGAAAAAGGTAGATTGGTATAGGCCGTACAGTGCATCCGCCACCGCAGGCGGCCAGGAAGTTGTCCATCCACTGTTCACCGCGGTCGGAGGAGGTGACAGCTGGACCCCAGATGTCGTAGCCCATCCCGGTACGAGGGTTAACCTCCTGCTTCCAGTATGCAGCAGCAGAGCTCGGGTCCATGTTGAGCTGAGAAGGCTCATCGGGCCTGGCAGTTCAAGTTATAATAAGCTAACAACAAGACAAATGACAGCTCACTCATTAAGAGCAAGGGCAACGTAGGCGTAGCCGGGAACGACCAGCTGGTCCCAGACGGACTGCTGGCTGGGTCCCCAGAGCATGGCAGCAAACTGGAGACCGAGAATGTCAGACGTAGGCGTCCATGGAGACCAGGTGTAAAGGCTAGAGGACGATGGTCAGTCTAAAATCTCGTCAAAGAGGCCGTAGCCTTACTATCCGGTATTATCGCTGATGACATTAGCGAGAGAAGAAGGATCATTCTCGCTATTCCAGGCGACGCCGACTTTACCCTTGCCAGCTGAGTTGACGGGAGCAGGCACAGACGAAGGGGACGGGGCAGCAGACGTCATGGGAGCCGGCGCAACCGAAGTTGTGGGAACCAGTGCGACGGAGGTGGCCGGAGGCGAGGCGATGGGGGTTGTGGCAGGAGCACCGACACCGACAGAAACACCGACGGTCACGGCGGTTGTAGCAGCTGAAGTCTGAGCTGCTGCAGCAATCGAGGTGGAGGTCCTGAGCTTACAATGTCCGTTAGTACCGCGCCTCTTCTTCCTCGCAATGGCCTCGTGTCCACCAGTAACGATGCGGTTCAGGTGGGAATTACCACCTGAGGAGAGCGCGGTCACGGGCTGCGCGATGAAAGTTGTAGTAAGGACAGCAAGGGAGGTGATAGTAAGTAGATTGAGCAGCTTGAAAGCAGCCATATTCAATGAGCAATATAAGGAGCGTGTCACGGAAAATGAATGTGGTGAAGCCCTCAAGGAGCTCGAGTGCGATACTAGGGGAAAGGAGACAGGAAGCGTTGGTAGGTAAAGCGAAGCGAGAGATCTGGCGTTGGCGAGAGGGTGTACATATATCACTTAGGTAATCCGCCAAGACCAAGCCTGCATGGTGAGGTCTTCTGCGATTGGTGCAGAGCTTGGGCTTTTTTTTTTCATTGCCGACGAAGGGCGCAGATGTCGTGCAGGACAACGGAAAAAGGACTTTTCGGCGGGCGAGAGCAGACACAATTTAGTTGCGCCCGCGCGCGACGGCGCGACGCGAACATGTCACCGCCACACGCCGGGCAAGCATGAATCATTCTTTATGATAAGAGTACCCCCGGCATCTCCCGCTAAGAGGACATGGGCACAGATACGGATCGGACGACCTAAAATAACCCCAAATATACCGGATGGAGCGTTTATGCTCCAAAGATTTCCGAAAGTCTCCAAAATAAATCTGGTTTCGCACACCTTAAGCAGGCGCTTTCCTCGCAAATTTCGCGACGCGTCGTGCCCTCAAATATCCTGACAAATTTTGAGTCCCTTCCGCGCTAATAGTATCTGAGTTCGTTGCGCTTCGCACGTTCCGTCTCAAACCTCCCTTCAAATGGACGAACGATCACAATCACACCTCTGCCATGATGTCCTTCAGTTTGTTGTCCCCTTGGAGGTCCACTGCCCGGGATCGACTAGTTGTAATCGGGTTCTAATAGCTTCTTGCTCTCAGATGTGTCGATTTGTACCCGAATCAGGATGGGCACTGTGATAAGTTGGTATTAAGTCACTTATCTAGCAGGCACCAAAATATTCCCGTATTCCCGAGCTGGTGTCATTCGTCCTCCCGCTCGTGCGAGGCGATGTTCACAGCCTTTGTTTTTCCGTGAGACGGATGTTATGTACTGGAGCATGTGTGACAAGCAATCATACACTGCTGATTGTTGGAAGATGGTTTTGAAACAACGCGAGGCAGTCATGACGACGTAATACAGCGGAGTTTTCCAACTATCAAAATCGAGTCTTGCTGGCAGGCGTCCTCTTTTTCCTCAACCCCCAAGTTTGACACGAAGAAACCGGTTCATCGAGTTCATCCACCAAAATCCACCACCAGTTCGTTCCCCCAATGTCTGACGCCCCCGCCGCCCCTGTCACTGAAAACGGCGTGCCTCCGGCTGCGCAGGAGAAGGTCGAAGAGACCCCCGGCTTCAAGGTGCGCGCGGACATGTTCTTGACGTGGCACGAGACAACTCACACTACCGCGACTTTCGTTGCAGGTTTTCGCCGGCAACCTTGCGTACTCTACCACGGATGATGGGCTGAAGGCGTTCTTCGCGCCTGTTCAGGAGGACATGTATGTGACATGCTTAGTTCACCTGACAATGACACTGAATACGCGCGTGCAGCATCACTGCTCAAGTTATCCTGCGTGGCACCCGCTCCGCAGGCTATGGCTTTGTCTCCCTGAACACCACAGAGGCCGCGCAGAAGGCTGTCGAGCTCTTGCACCAGAAGGAGCTTGACGGCCGCTCAGTGATCGTCGAGATCGCGAAGCCTGCTGACCAGAAAGAAGCGAGGAAGGAGAGGAGCTTCAAGAGGAAGCCTGGCAGGCGTGGATCCAAGGCTGTCCCTGGCGAACTCACTGAAGCTGAGGCCAATGGCGAGCTAGTCAAGGTTGACAGTGCTGCTCTCGCTGCATCTGATGATGTGGCGAAGCCCAAGAGGAAGAAGAAGAACAACGTGAGTGAACACGTATCAATCCTGAGCTGCCCGCGTTCTAACACGTACGCAGCGCAAGTCCAAGCAGCGTAGGTCCCAGGAGGGTGGTGAGGCTGCGGCTCCTGCTGAGGGCGCCGAAGGTGAGGCTGCCAGCGGAGAAGCTAAGAGGCCTCGTCAGCGTAAGCCCCGCGCTCCTCGTCCCCAGCGCCCCGCTGGAGAGGAGCCCGCTGGGGAGCCGTCCAAGACCATGCTCTTTGTTGCCAACCTTGGCTTCACCATTGGCGACGAGGAGCTTGCTGCCATCTTCACCGACGCTGGCATCTCTGTTCAGTCCGCGCGCATCGTCCGCCGTCGTTGGGGAAAGCCTCGCAAGAGCAAGGGCTACGGCTTCGTTGATGTCGGCGACGAAGCCGGCCAGGCCCAGGCCATTGAGCTGCTCCAGGGCAAAGAAGTTGGTGGAAGACCCATTGCGGTGAAGGTCGCTGTCAACTCCCAGCAGCAGGAGGCGGAGGAGGCTGAAGCTGCCGGTGCTACTGAGGCCAAGGCTGAGGATCCCGAGACTACCGTTGTTGCATCTTGAAAGCACGTCTGCTCGTGCCATGCAATAACCGATCCCTTATTTTCCCACTACTCCGCTTTTGTTCGGCTTCGTTATGCTACCATCGCTAGCCTGCTGGCGGCTTTCCGCTCGGTATATGCGAACTGGTCCCGTTCTCTTATGTTCACCGTTTTTAATAACGTCCGCTTACTCTTTGCACCGCGGTCTGGTGCCGTATCTTCGTGTCAACTTGTAGTGATCAACATTCATGAGGGACTCTCTGTTTTAACTTTGCAAACTGGAAAGACAACTGTAATGACTGGCGGATTCATTCTCTTATATAAGCGCGCACCATGTCTGAAGACGAAGACGACTATCTCTCTGACAAGTTCCTTGTTGAGTCGACCACTTCCACCTTGTCTTCGTCTGCAAGGACATACACCGAACGTCGCAAAGAAGCATTAAGGTTTTCTGCCATCAAGAATGAACAGAACCGCAAGAAGAGTCAGCGTCAGCTCGAGCAAGAGGCCCTCGAGGAGGGACTGAACAGAAGTCTCTTCGAGCGAGCCAAAGATGAGGGTGAGGGCTCTAAGAAGGCCCTGGCTATGATGATGAGGATGGGCTTCAAGCCTGGGCAGTCTTTGGGACAAACGGAGGTGACCACGCTCGATACGAGTCGTTCTCCGTCTGAAGACCTCGCCACGCCTCAGAACCAGGGGAAGGACAAAGAGGACACCCCGGGTCCTTCGGGACACAGAGTCAACCCTTTACCTATCAATGAGTGGACCGGTGAGTAAACCGTCTGCTACGGGATACTTTGGGGCTAATATTTGCATAGGTAAAAAGGGAATTGGGCTGGGAAAGCGTGCGGCTTCGCCCAGCGCGTCCGAACGTCTCGCGAAGATGGCCAAGATGGCCGAACAGTCCGAGCACGTCGACTTCCGCGACCGTGCGCGTATGGAATATCAAGAACGCCGTGCCGAGAAGCAGCTGGGCCCCGCTCAGCGTACGTGCGCGAATTTGGACGAAAAGGCCGGACGAGAGGTACGCTTGCTCGCCATCCCAACACTCGCGAGACGCATGCTCATTGTTTGGCCGCTCCAGTTTAACGTTCTGTGGCTGAATCCCATGAATCCTGATACCTTCCCGGAGAGCCTCCTAGATGAACTAGACGATCCGGAGCTGATCACATCACTGCGAAAGCTGCAACCCGATCACAGTCTGGAGGGACGACTGCGGGCGCGCATGCAAGCGGATGCGCTGCAACCGGTTGCGAACCTCGAAGATGATGACGAGACGTCTTCGCCCGTACAGGACGAGAAGCCCAGGAAGACGCCGTATTCTGAGGAGGATATCAAAGAGGCCGTCCAGTTCTTGCGGCTCTCGGTACGCCCATCTTGTCCGATTGCCATGCGCAGTGGATAATTGAGGCTTTCTAGGCGCAGGATCGGCTGGAACTCGTGCTCGACTATTTGCGGCGCAGATACGCATACTGCTTCTGGTGCGGTACACAGTATAATGATGAGGAGGACATGGCGACGAACTGCCCTGGGCCGGACGAGCAGGCACATGATTGAAGAGGCGTACTACACTGTTTTATTTTTATCTCAGAATGACTGTACAGAAGGAGTGTTGCAGGTTCTGCAGTGAATGCGAGAAACGACAGTGTAGTTTCGACACGAATGCAGCTGGAAGAACGGTCGCCCGGGTAGAAGTGAATGTCAGGAATGCTAGTGTCCGTGCAAAAGATATCGATGTGCAATGAGTATGTAGTCGAGTGCAAGAGGGATCTCAAGAAAGCGAATGAGAGGTCCACGCAGAAGCCCAATGCAGAACAAGCGTCCACGCTTCCGAAAGAGAGGGGAAAGAAGCGTTTCGACACGGGCCAAGACTACTTAAATAAAGTATAAGATACAATGACGATAGGTTACAACGATGCTCAACAGCGTGAGGATTGACGGGGATCATGTCAGGAGATATGGTGGCGTTGGCTTGCTGCATCGGCGAGTTCCTTGAGGGCGCTGTGAGAGGAGGCCCGTTGAACTCCCGGGGCATGTCGCTGGCGATGCCGCCGAGCAGAAGCAGAGAGCGAAGGCGCGTCTGAGACGTCTTCGTCGGTGTCGGATGTTGTCGACGAAACAGATTCGGAGGGCTTGGCGGGAAAACAAAATTTCGGAAGTGTTGGGATAGATACGGGCACAGCCAGTGATGGGGCTGTTGCACGCCGTTGGCGTGCCGGGAACGTGGGGGAGATCGGGGAGGACTGCGGACTCCTCAAGCGAACAAAGGTCGAGATTGGCGTGTTGGCGATGAGATCCGCGTCGAGTGTCAGTTTCTTCTCGACCCGGCTGCTCAAGGTGCTCTTTGATGTGCGGTGTACCAGTCCCCGGAGAGGCGACGACGCACAGGGAGACGACGAAAGCGCCTGCCTCGAGACAATCAGCAACGCTAGGCACGACGCCCAAATGAATTCACTGACCCGCGGCGGTTGATTCTGAAGATTATCCGGGCTCGCGTTGGGCAAGCTGCTTCTCCGGATGTGCGACTATTTTTACGTACCGGAGTTAGTGCGTCGCGGTGACTGTGTAGATAATTGCTGTGCTCACAATAGCAGGCATGTAGGGTGAGTATCGCACGCGATGACGCTTTCTATCCAGCTCGACATCCCTCGGGACTGTTTGATTCGAAGACGATACGACAATATACGGAGGCCCGTCCATGTCATAGTCGCCGTCGCTGTTTGGCTCAACTGAGCTACCACTTGACTGTGAAAGAGTAGAACTAGTAGAGGAATGCGAAGAAGAACGGGAATGGGTGAGATGTGGAGAGCGACCCTCCTTGCTATCTGCAGGAGTGTTCTCGAGACCGAGGGAGGCCATGAGCTCGACGAAAGACGGCAGAGTGGTCATGGTAGCAGACAGAAGAGCCAAAGGCGCGAGATCCGAGGTCGTTGCACGAGCCCTATTATAATTGAAGGAGGGCAGTACCCTGGCGACGGTACCGGAAGAAAAGCGCGGTTGCCATGGGCTAGGCTGGAGGCCTGCGTATTGTGCGTGCGTCGACGTTGATTCCGGCACTCTTGTGTAAGACAATACTGGAGACAATCAGAATACAATATCATGCGAACGTCTAGCCCCAAACACGCCAACCTCTATCAATTCCTGGTCCATGACATAAGGCCCATCGGACGTCGACAAGGGGATGCAGTCCCCTCGTACAGCAACCGCTCAATCATTAGCCTGTAACAAGACGCTCGCCAGGGCGGATCCTGCTGAGCACCGCCATGTAGCCGGAATCATCGGGCTCGTAGCGAAGTAAACCTCCGACTTCGCACCGTCTTGAGAGCATCGTTAAGGTGCGAAACACACACGACCAGATGGTAGCTTATCGACCTCCGCCTGTCGCTGCGCAATCTCAGTTCCTCCCGATATCGTGCAAGGCCGAGCGCTGATCGAGATCGTTCGTCGCGAGGGGGACGTCTGCGAATGCAAATTATCTGCAGACGTGGAGCGGGACATTCTCCCGTACGGAGGGCTGGCAGAAGTCCCCTGGATAGCTACGCGAGGCCCTCGTGGCGTCATGCTCGACTTTCCACCATTGATGGCAGTGTATTTTTATATCTATTATCTATCGTCCGCTGCTTTTGCTAGAGCGGAAGACTGCGGAGTCAGGGGCAGGAGCCATGGCGATACATGCAGTCGATATCTCCTAATGCGAGATCGCCGTTGTCCGATTGAAATTAATGACGGTGAGATGTCCTACACCAGAAAGCGATCTGCTCTCGTAACGTAGCATGGCCTTCATTGCACGGTACCACCCCACTCAGTGGCGACATAATCGTTCCGGAGGCCCTCCTCGACACTGAAAGAGTGTCGTTGGACACGACCTCATGCTGGCCATCATGCATTACATGAATCGCCGCGCCCTGGAAGAGTGCCCTAGCCAGACACACGATATTAAGCCCGGAGCATGATCCACCTGCTGGACTCTTTCTTCGGCCTCTCGGCTGCCTGATGGCAGGAACGGCTCCGGTCTTTGCATCGTGAATTGGCGTACAGCCGGCTTATATCACAGTCGTGTCTGTCTCTTGAAAGTGGTGGTTCCCATAGTATAAGCACTAGCTTCCTGGCTAATTTCGGTACATGGCACTGACAATGTACGTTACTCAACGGCATCAGGGCAGGCACGAACTCAGGCTGCCGGGAATCTATCAGTCGTGAGCAGAATAATCAGGCACGCTCACACACAGTGAGGTATCCAGGATTCAGATCTTCCCCTTCCATGCCTGCCGGCGCCCTCTTCGCATGTACAAACCATGCGTTTTGATGGCTAGGTGCTATGCGTAGTTTCGAAGGTGTGATGTCGCCTCCCCCCTCTGAAAAGCGTAGCGGGCTGGGAGGTAGAAGATGCGAAAGACTGATTGACTGAGCTTGGATCTCGGAAGACAAGTTTGCCGTGACGAGCGCGGGGATTCGCAAAGTTCCATCTCCGTTGTGCACAGAACCCTTGTTCAACACACGGTCAGCGAGGAACACCGTACTTTATGTGAAAGAGCCTGTACTTATGGTCAATCGGACGTGCCCGGAAGATCAGTCTTATGAGACATCGTTTATAAGTACTTATAACGGCAGTGAAGTGTCACACTATGCCATGACGCATTTGCTATGAAACGCAGAATATCACGGTCATTGGTCATCTAACCGTAAACAGCTGCTGCAACAAAAGAATTGAGATTCAGAGCCGACACCAGAAAACGCACAACGCACACATTCCTCCTCGCTCGCTCGTGAGCTATGAGTTCACGGTCTGACCTTTGGGGAGTGACTGGTCGCTAGGGCCGGTGATCAACTTCTTGTAGGTCGCTGGCGCTGTCGATGATAGTCATCTAGCAGGTGTCTCCCGCTCTCGTGGACGCTCTGGCCCACTTTATCCTTCGCTAGGCGGGGCATCGATATCAGTGAAGAGCATTGTCACAACACCTATTTGGCACCGTGTTCGCTGTAAGTAGCTTTTCAGCGATAAACGTCAAGATAATAATATAGACACAGTGTTGCGTAGCATGCCAAAGCCACAGCGTGCGGTTTTTGGACGCATTTTAGCACTCTTAGGATGCAAGGATTTGAACTTCGTGCTCGAGATTTACGGTCCCAGGGGGCGCCTATACGGTCCCCAAAGGGGGAGGTTTACGGTCGCGGGCGCCCGTCCAAATGAGGCACCGGTGCGTCTGCCGGCTACGCCGCTTAAGCGCCTTCCCGTCATCAAGGGCGCATCACCGTTTGTTCCGACGCCTATGGGACCGTAATTTGGGACCGTAAATTTGCCAGGTGGCACATCAGGTGCGAGAAATTTGGCTGGCGTCCCTGCCAGAAAAGCGTGCAGCGCAGTTCCCTTCTGCCCTCGAGATTTACGGTCCCAACGTGAGAAATTACGGTCCCAAGCGCTTGCCCGCCCTCCCGCCTCGTCCGGTGCCTCTGCCTCGCTCGACGCCTCCTCGACACGCCTCTTGCCCCCCGGACCTGGCGGCACAGCGCACGGAACCAGCATAGAACCTGTACGTAACAAAAATTTAATTTTTTAGCCAATGCCTTGCGCACCGTGTGCCTTCCCCTCCTCAGTGCAGATATCTTCAGTGCAGGTCGCGTCACAATGTACCTCCTGGCGCGACATAAATCACAAAAATATTGTCACACATCAATAACGACTCTATTTGTGTGTCTACGAATTTTTGTGACCTCCCGACGCTCGAGGCTTCCTTGACATCGTCCCCAGGCCTTTCCCTGGCTCGCTTCCACCTTTGGAATGCCCGCAGATGCTTACGTCATCCGGCGCGGGACCGTAAATTTGGCGGGGTTCAGCTCTACTTCGTTGCCCGCTAGACGGCCGGGAATCTCCGAGTGTGGATCACTGACATCACCGCTCGGTGATGAAAATGCGCCGGTGCCGGGAGGCGACGTTGGTCATGACTCAGCAGTTTTCCCTCAGCTTCATCCCGCCTCTCACTTCCATCCGCTAGATCGTCTGCATATTCACCTACTCGTTTCAGTCCTGCCTCGCAATCCCCTGGAATTATTTCTTGCAATGCCGAGCCAAGCACGAGACCGCAGTATCTCTGGTGAGCTTGACGTGAGTAAGCTCCCTTACGTGGCTGTCATTCCATAAGCTTATGGTCCATGTTCGCTCCAACTCACGTTAGGACTCGGACATCGATTCGAGCCACGACAATGATGACAAGAACGACGGCGCGTCTGCAGGGAGGCCGGGTAGAAAGAAAAATCCAAAGTATGCACGCGCACCTCTTGCACGCGGTCGTGATCATGCTTACGACCGTCTGATCCAGCTCGCAAGCAGCCAGACGTGATCAAAATCGCATAGCGCAGCGTGAATTCCGTCTGCGCAAGCAGCAGCGGGTACGTCGTTGGTCTCTGGGCCTCTGATTGTACTCATGTCCATTGTAGATCCGTGACCTTGAAGCTAGCGTGGAGATCCTTTCAGGGGGGAAAGATGAGGCCCTCAACCAGCTCAGGAAGATCATGAAAGGTGCGCCTTCACACCCCGCCTGTGTCAGTCATGCTGACAAGAGTCAAGATCTTATGCAGGAAAATCAGGTGCTGCGGCAGCTCTTGCGCAGCCTTAGCAACTTCATTGGTGACGGTGCCGGTGGACTCCTGCCGAAGCTGGGCTGGGACATGAATGACTTCAACAATTTTGTGAATCGCTCCGAGACCGACACGGCTTGGGAGAGCTACCAACGACACAAACGTGAAGAGCAGCAGAATACGCCGGCGGGATCGTCCGGGTCCCAGAAGCGGCCAGCAGAAGACGATGTCAGCGCCCGCGCCAAACGCCCCCGCGTTCCAGGCGAGTCTCCGGCCGAAGGCGACCGTGAATACCCTTTGCTCGTCCCGGTGAACTCGGCTGTTCCGCCCATCCCTGCTAACGGATTGTATCCACCTCCGCGCAGTCAACATGAGACGACCATATTCGGTGACCTCATGCGCGGAACTAGTGGCTCTCCGATGTTTATACCGCCCACTTCGCCCCCGAACGCCCAATTCACGAGCGGGTCGGGTTCGTCTGGAGTTAGCGGCAACCCGTACCCGCCTGCGTCGTATTCGATGCAGTCCATGAACGTCAACGTGGATTCTGCTCTGCCAGGTATGTCGCTTGTGACAAACCCGGCCACGATGCCCGCGCCGAGGGCTCCTGCGGCTCCGGCCTCTGCCCCGAAGCCTTCGTCGCACGCGTCCGCTGCGAGCCCGACGGACGACGACCAAGACCCGAAGCGGCACGAGGCGTACAAACTCATTCAGTACCACCTCGACAACTACAAGCGGAATAGTGCGTACTGTCTGCCATCGTCGCTCAGGCCGACGCTCGTACAGCGGACCGTTCCGCACGGTGCGTATATATCGCTCGCCACTTCGTCAGAAGCTTACTCTATGTTCCAGAGAGCGTCATCGACAGCATTTTGCACCCTGAACTTCGCGACCGTATGATCCTACTGCGAGGTGAGCGCACCAATCTGCCAATATGACAACAGTCATTGATATGTCGGTCCGGATTCCCAGGACGCTTCGACTTGGTGGACTGCCTGCATGACTACAGGACCGCGATTACCATTCACGGTGATGACGTTCTCGCACATAGCAACTGGGAGATCAGCGAGTCCTGGTTGCAACGGTATAAGTAGGTGTCGGATTTCTGATACACTGTCGTGGTAATTGACAATCACGTTCCGACAGATTCCTGGTTGACCCAGCAACGCTCACTGTCGTCAACAGGTGGCGGCGTGAGCGTGGGGAACCAGAGCTGCTTGTTTCCGATTATGTTACAACGGAAGGGAACTCGGGTGTATAAGCCTGTGCAGTATATGTTCCAAGTTTAGAAAGCCACAGTGAACGTTCCAGTCTCTTCTATCCTGTCTCCTATCGAGTTTGCGTTAAGGTCTGCAGGTTTTGTTGCGCTAATAATTGCGTCTTGTATTCTTGAATAACAGTAATGCTATTACGGTCTCAGTGACTTCGACCATCTCCGATTTGACTGTTAGATGAGGCACGAAAAGGGGGTTGTGCTTGTCAGCCGTTGTCGAGGAATTGAAGCTGTCCATCTTGGATTACTTCCGGTGCGGGATGCAGATGCACGGTACATGCGTAGAGACGGTCGTACGGCACATCCGACGGCTTCAATGTTGTTTTTCATCGCATTTGAATGATGAAAAGCTCTGTGGTCTACCTTCCGGAACGCAGCGAACTACGAGCAAATTCTATTTCCGAGTTCGTCTATGTCTAGAAAGGCTATCGAACGACGGAACTGACGCCAAGATACGGCACGACGAAAGTCGGAAAGGGGGATTCGAACTCGTCTTCTCACCAAGCCGCCACGGTGCCTCTAAGAACCACAGTAACTTTACGCGAACTACCGTAGCCTGCGACATGATTGAAGCATGCTTAAATGCAAGTATTTATAGCGAGAGATATGAGCACACCATACGTTGTCTACCACGAAGCCTTCTTCACGCCAGGAATCTCTCCGGCCTTCGCCTTCAGACGGAATTGGTACTACAGGGAACACGATAAGTCTTGCCTTCCAATTCAGAGCACTATGACTCACCCTACACAGCCCAAACTCGCTAATAATACCGCGTCCACGCCCAGTCTCGGTACACCGGTTCTTCACGCTCGTCGAACGGGTGTAGCGGTCGAAGGTGTTGAGCTGCAGCTGGGCCTGGTAGCGGACCTGCGGAGGCAGCGACTGGTTGCGGGCGACGTAGAGGTAGGCACGGCGGGCAATCTCGTTGGCGGCAAAGCCGTTGCGTGCCTTCACATCGCGTATCACGCGGATATTGGGGAACGGCTTGACCATCGTGGACGTTGAATTGCAAGAGACTGGCGCCAGAACTGGAGCGCCACGAAGCTGCGGAGAGACGCGCGAGGCACCCACGGCAATATGAATATGTCGGTCACCTTGAGTCAGTGCAGCCTTGAACTGTTCCCGTCGAAGACATGGCAACACTGGGTGGTAAGTGCAGCTTTTTTTTTCTTGCGTAATAATCAAGGTTGGGTGAATAAGACCCTGTGCTTAACCAGTTTTCATCCGAGAAAACCCGGCCACAAACCTTCCTTTTACACTAAATTTTCCGCGTTTAGCCTCTTTTGGCCGGTTTTGCACCAGTTTATGTCCCAATTTGCCCCAGGGGCCAGTGTACAACCGAGGAAAATTTGGTTCTTGTTTTCCCAATTTTGGCCGGGCTTCCTCAAGAAAAAACCGCGCTTACCATGCAACACGTGATAAATAATCACTACGCAACGACAAAGGGAAAAAGCCATGCTAGACAGGTTCAGAAGTCACATTTGATGCAAGGCATGATAACACATGCACACTCGGACTGCATGTTCATGAGACGGCCTGACCCTGGTGAGCCTATTTACTCCCTTTGGCACGCGTCCCGACCCTCAGTCTCTACTCGGCAACATTGCTCAACGTGGTACGACATATATACTTAGTCGCACTTTCTGATGCACACCTTTTCTTCTCGTATTTTTGCCAACGGCTCCTCGGAAATATCAGATAATGCTGGCTGAAAGCACCTCTCACCAGGCAGGTTGAGGTCATGGTGAACACTAATTTACGGCCGGATGGCTGTCTGTGGCTCACATGACCTTGTTGTAGAGAGCGGAGGAGCGTCGCTCTGAAGGAACCTCCGGAGCCATTCCACGAAGAATCTAGAGCGTCTACAGTCGTGAAAGTACAGGTAAAAGGGAAGCGATCGTGGACCAATTGCGAGAGGGCAGATATTCGTAGGACGATAAATTGGCGGAGGCGGCGAGAGCTGCTCGACGAACGGACCAAGTCTTGTTGCTGTCGCCAGAAGGTATTGACCTGATAGCTTGAACGGCGACGTATGTGAACAGCTTCTTGAACATCGAGGCCATTAAACCGCCAACGAATGTGTAAGTATCTTGTGGACAACCCGTGAATATGAAGACCTGATATGCCAACGATTAAAATGGCTTGGAATTGCTTCTTTCACCTTGCGCTGTGACTTTTCGACGACGTCCTCGAGCAGGGACGTCTGTATGAGTTCGGTGATGGCACATGCCCGCGCAGGGACTGCTGGCCCTGCGGTTCGACGTCTGGCGATTGAGTATCATGTACTTGCGGTGGTGGCTAAGATCCAAGCATGCAGTCGTTTGTGTAATCTTGCAGCCGAACGTTACGGACATGGCTGAAGGTGCCAGTGCAGGCATTGCTGACTGTTGGGATAATGACACCGGACCATGTAACAGCGATCAGATTGATATCCTCTAGGTAGGGATATGCACCAATACGCGGCGCAGAACCCGGAATGATGGAAATTGAAGGGAGGTGATGTTATGCAGGAACCCACTGTAACACAGCCTAAGGGGGACACGAGTGTGACACTTCGTCTCGATAACGGTGCGGCATGCCGTCAAGAGGCGAACGAGCGTCATCAAGCCTGAGAGGGGATGATTGGGAAAGAAAGCAATGTCGAATTCCAAGGCGGTGGTGTGCTCCGCAAGCCAAGCTGACAATGGGGGATTGAAGTATGTAGTAGAGCATATGGCAGTCGCGCTCGCTCTCTAGCGCAAAAGCACCAAAGAGGCGAAGGCGAAACTGTCTGCACCAGACTTGTGAGACAAGAGGGAGCGATGAGACTCCAGCTTGGTCGTCAACGTTCAACTTCGTTCAACGCTCGTCAGGATGTTACAAATGCAGCGGTGCAGTTCAGGATTTCCCAGTAGGATATAAGTGCCGGAAGCGGCCCAGGTATACTGTTTGGAGATATTTGTGAGCAATACAAGTAAGCAACCCAAAGAGTGAGGGTAAATCACACCGCAAGATATATCGGTTAATCATGGTGTTCGAGCATCTTGCCACAGAGGTTGGGCTGCGATCTCCATATTAAAGTCACGTGCTGGCGACGATGACCCCGAGCACCCGGCTGAGGCATTCAAAGGAACTGACTGTCCTGTAAACCTGTACAGATATGACAATCATAGATGCCGGGGAGACTTTGCTTTGAGAGTCAGCTACCTTTGGAACGCTCCCATGGGAAATGAGTCTAGCTTGAGGTGGTACAAGAATATGTATTTTCTACACTGTTGCCATTTCATACCTATCCTTTCAATCGTGTCGTGTTTGTTCGCCCGAGCAGGTAGGAGATGCCTTTGTCGGATGCATGGTCGGTATCTCCTGATGGCACCGCCTGGATAATCACAGTAACAAGAGATAGCGGTGCACCCAGCTGCTCTGTAAGTACAGTCATTTGACAGAGCTTGACACCACGAGAAACCCTTGCAAACTGTCATACTCACCAGCAATTAATAGTACAACAGAGTTTATCACATCCGATTTCTCGTCAGTGTTAGCAAGCTGCCTTGCTAACAGTCGATGACTGGCGACCACGTCGGTCATTTGCGGCTTCGCGGGTACTAGGATCGAGTTCTGGCACGTAGAACAAAGCGGGCGCTATTAAACGCTACGCGATCTAGATCTCGGTGTCAGTTGTGTGCCACGGAGTGCACTGGCTTGCACGACTTTGCTAGAACGAACGGCGCAGTGCACGTAGAATAATGTTAGGAGTGCCCTTGCAAGAGTACCGCAACAATGACCGTTCCATTAATATCATTACGACTCGACAGCCTGTGACACCATCCGAGTTCGACTTTCATACGATTATAAGAACAGACATGACAGATGCACCAGAGAGAGTATCGCTTGCTGCAGCGTAGTAATGGACAGAACGGCAGCAGGGTATCGACGCGATCAGTCTCGGAACGCCATACGCCACTGGCATCTGGAGCTGCGCAGGCAGACAGGCGCAGCAGATAAAACCGGCGCATGCTCCCCTCCGCCAAAAGCCCCGCGACCACACCGTAGACACCTGCCAGAGGAGCTCGTGGCGACAAGTCGCCGAGCCGCGGGAATGAAAGGGCCGCGAAGATAGAAAGATGCGAAGCACCGCCACTTCACGTTGAGACACCGAGATGCCGCCTCAGGCCGCGAGATGGGTGCGAGAACGCGATCGGTGGGCTGGCGGCGATTCGAAGGGGGTAGAACAGGCGTTGCCGGTAAAGTTTCCACGGACTCAACGGAGTCCGGAGCTGTGCTGGAGTGCAGGTACGAGTGGCGTCCGTGAGGGTAGAGAGGCGCTGGCAGCGCCTGCTAAAAACAACATTTGCGCGGTAAGGATGAGGTGGCGCGGGCTGGTCGAGGAGCCTTGAGCTCCGGTGACAGCTCCATGGAGGCGCACAGCGTATGGTTCAAACGAGCGCTGCTGGGGAAGGAAACCAGTAGGAAAGAGTCCGGAGTGAGTTTTGTCAGCTCTTTGCCACCGAATGTTCTCCCATGAAGTGGTTAGTCTCTGGGTGCCACACCATCCTTCGCTCTTCTCGAAATGAGAGAAGAGTCTCGTCACAAGACCGTACACGGTCCGGGTCTGGAGTGACCTAGGAATCAACATTGTGAACTTCGACCCTCCCAATCTTGACCGAACTTACCAATTCGCCGATGCTTCCTCCGAATTGTGTAAGCGGCCTCTAGTTGGACGATATGAAGGTAGCTGCTCAGCTGACAACAGACACCTGGAAAGCTTGGTCAAAGCCATGATTCATGGAGTAAGGTTGTTGGATGTGGATGCCACTACATCGAAAGTAGCCCATGACCTACACCTAGTTGTACCTCGCGGACGGCGTCGTTCACGCTACGGCAGCGTCCTAAGCTAGCATGAAGTTGTACAGAGCCTGAGGACTTTGCATAGATGCCCTGTTACCGTTGGAAAGGGACCATGTTAACATTGCGTGAGAAGACGCGACACGCGTCGGCATTCGGACGTACCGAGTAGCCTCCCGATGTGCTCATCGATCGCAAAAAAAGAGCGAAAAAAAGCAGGGAAAAGCAGCGTAGAGATGCCCTGCCGCGTCAGCTCTATCTCCCGGGGCCGTCCATGTCACCGCTGAGTAAATCCGTGTGCGTCAGCTGGCTAACAGGATGGAAACAGAACAGGCCGCTTACTCGTCAATCGCAGCACCTCCGACACTGGTCGGAGGCCACAGGGCAACCATTTCAGCATTCCAGACGATCTGACCGCTTGCATGGGGTCAACTTTCCGCATGCACATAATTGAACGAAGCCTACCCGTGCCGAGATTGTGCCTCGCCTGCCAGGCCTTTGCGCCACCAATCTCGGCAGGAAGAGCGGGAGGATACTGCTGAAACTCGGTGCGCAATCCACGCTGTGGAGTGGGAGGCAATGGCGAGCGCGGAGCGCAGCTCAATGCACCCCTGTCATGGCGAGCATATGTGTGCGGCGAAGGCACCGTGGCAACTGATCGACCACTCATCGGCGCACGATAGAAGCAGCACGTCTTCGAAGCCGATCGTCCAGCATTGCTTCAACCGTGAGATGGTTCCTAGGCAGCGGCCGGCAATAACATCTAGCTTGAGGAGGTAAACGGTGTTTATTTACGCAATAAATTCGGGGCCCGATCGATTTAGGGGAAATTACTCACGTCAACATCCGACCTCGGTGGAGTGCGACCCGCCTGACTCCTCTGTGGACCAATAGCAGCGAGCTCTAACCTCCGATGAAGCGGAGGAATCGAAGAATGGCTCACGGCAAGGGCAGCCGCGAGGTGGTGTGCTACCTCTAGCGAACGTCCTACACCAAATAGAGGCATAGCGAACGATTAGGAGGTGAGATGTCGTTGCCCGTTTATGTGAGGTTCCGTAAAAGACGTGGCAATGGATGATTTACGGTATGGTAGGCGATAATGGCATCTAAGGATAAGACCAATTAAAAAAGAAGATAGGAAAAAATTGTCAGAAGGTCACGTCACGCACAGAGTCCGATATGGTTTTCTTCACAGATATCCACCGCAGCCCAGAGCCCATCATCCTCTGATGTTTCCCTTGGGAAACGATTGAGTCTGTGAACACATTCAACCGAGCTGGGAGCCATCATGGCTGCCTGGGTGGGGAGCTTGGTCACGGCGGCAGATTGTTGGTATTACACAACGTCCTAGTACCGACTCGGAGACAGAATTACAAGATGAGATCATGCCTTACGACGTGCATGGAGCTCCAGCTTCAGATGGATCATGTATGACGGGCCACTGGTACGCAGCAGGGTCGCCTGCAGAGGGAACCGTGACATTTGGGGAACCTCCAGTTTAAGTAATAATGTGATCGATTGCTGCCGTACAATAAAAACAGTTCACTGACAGCCGACGCGGCGAGAGACGTACATCGGATGCGCAGGGAGCTCGCCATACCAATCCACAAATTTCTGACACATCCGGCGAGTCGTCAGCGTTAGTGGGTCCTAGTAAACGGCTCCGTTCGACCCGCGAGCGCGCCGAGAGTGCTTAGATATCTGGCCCGGCGAGCAAGGACTTGGACGGCGAGCGCGAAGTTGATACCGCAATTGGCCAACAGAGAGCACAGCACCGACGGAAAGAGTGAGATCCTGCCACCCTGGCGCTCCGATCCCGAGGCCGCGGATCATGGCTGGGCCACGCGAGGCGGAACAGGTGCGCCGGCAAATGGACGTCGTCGCTGGCAGCGAGGGGCTAGGGTAGAGAGGCGAGGGTGAGTCGTGTGTTACGCTTACGAGCGGCGAGAGATTCAAAGCCAGGGTGGACGAACCGGAGACCAGACTCACGAGGCTAATCAATAGAAATTGCATACCTCCGATGAGGTCGGAGGTTTATGAACTCTAGGAGAGAGGAGATAGCCTGGGTGGCTTGGTCGCGACTGGCGAGCACTATCGACGAATGCGCTTACAGGTCGCGGCCGCACGTCCAGATATCGCATCCCGCATTCGCCGCTGGTCAGGCTGCCGGATCGGTGAATTTGGCGAGCGGGGGCCGCAGACTGCGGGGCGGAACCCGTGCAACGACGGAGCGCGGTGCCTGCCCTGGGCTTGCCGACGCACAATTTTCGCGAGATGGGTGGTTTGGTGGCCGACGCAGGGCGATCCTGGGAGGGCGGAACCGCGGTAAGCAGGCGGCGAGCGAGGTGATCCTTGTCAGGGTTGCCATTCGTGGCTAGCCAGGGAATCTCTGAGCGTGATCTCAACCGCTAAGCGCCGCGAGCATTGCCTTAAAACTCATGCGGCCTCCAGCGAGTCGCGCTGACGGACATCAGACTTTCTGCCCCGCCTCGGTCTTCCATCTTCTCCTAACCAGAGAACCCTCTCGCATCTCTCCGGCGAGCCGGGGATCCGTCAGTCCTGTCCAGGAGTAAAAATATTGAAGCTCATCTTCCCGAATACTTTATATACTTCATCCTCCACTTCCTACTCTCCACGGACACATCCCACACCTCCTCTAGTCAGACATGTCCTCCCACCATCGCACGCCTTCAGAAAGGAGCCCACTACTGACCTCCCGGGACCCACCCCAGTCCTATGATGCCGCAGAACACGAGTCGATACCGCAGTCCCCGGACGAGTTCAAACCTCTCAACAAAGCTTCGAAAGGTGACCTCGCCTGGGTGCTCGCGGGTCTCTGGAGTGCCGTCTTCCTCGGCGCACTCGATGGTGGGGCGAAACGTGCTCTACGCCATTGGCAAAAGATGACCCTGACCTTGCGTTCCCAGGAACAATCGTCGCGACGCTCCTCGCTCCCATAGGGAGCTACTTTCACGAGTCCAACCGATCGTCGTACATCGGTACCTCGTACTTGCTCTCAGTATGTTGTTTCACTCCGCTCTATGGTGCGTCTGTCTCCAAGCACCAGACTGAACCGATTTAGCTGAGGGTCCGCGTGCAGGACGTTTATCCGACATACTAGGGCGGAAAGGCGCCATGCTACTGGCCCTCTCCCTCTTCGGTATGTGGCCCGTGTAGCGCAAAAAATTAGAGCTGATCCTCACGCATTCCGCAGGATTTGGCACATTGCTGTGCGGCCTTGCGCCCTCAATGGATGCGCTGATCGCAGCGCGTGCGATAGCAGGCATGGGAGGCGGAGGGTAGGCAACCTTCTTGCTCATTCACCGCGAGAATTACGCTCACAGCGATATCTTCTCAGCGTGATGACAGGTATTCTATACAGATCTCTGGTGACGTCATGGAGCTGATATCCTGAATTCTCCTGTCAGTATCGAGTGTAGCCGTGACCGACCTGATACCACTGTGCGTTCGCATAGTCGCGTCTCCCGAGACATGCCGTACTTACCGTGGATTTCAGACGGCAGCGAGGCCTCTATCAGGGCATGACGAACGTGTAATCTGATTCCGATAGCATCGACGGAGCTTCAGCTAACTGGCCTTTGTCAGATTGTTCGGTCTCGGTGCCGGCCTGGGCGGCCCTCTCGGCGGGTGGCTGAACGACACCTTTGGCTGGTGTGTCTAATTGCGCGCTGATTGTCTTTTCCGGAAATTCTGATCTCGTCCTTCCAGGCGTTCGGCTTTCCTACTACAGGTGAAACAGTTCTTGGGCCTGTATTGATGCGCACGCTCATGCCGAGGCGCCTCATCTTTGTCAGATGCCTATTCTTCTGTTCTCCTTCATTCTTGTGACAGCAAAGGTCAACATCAAGTTGCCCGCAGAGATTGAAAATCAGCCTATGCGCCTAAAGGTCCAGCGCATAGATGGCTTTGGCTCGCTCACGCTTGTGCTCACCGTCGGCTCTCTCTTGTTGGGTCTCAGTTTGAAATCTACCGAGGAGCTGCCTTGGTCTCACCCTGTTGTCTGGGGTCTGCTCGTTTCCAGCGCGGTCTGGTGCGCGCTCTTCGTCATGGTTGAGTCCCGGTGGGCCTCGTACCCAGTGATGCCGATGCGTCTTGTAAGGCAGCGAACACCGCTTGCCGTCTCGCTTTCCAACTTCTTCGGAAGCATGGCTGCCTTTTCCATGGTACGTCTCCCGCGATAGGTCCGCCCTCATCGGCCGCTGATCCTCTATACGTGCGTAGCTGTATAACATTCCATTGGTACGCATCTCCACGTGTATCGCTCCAGGCTCCATCTAAGTCAGGTCGCAGTACTTCTCCGCAGTGCGGCTGAATTCGTCAACTGGTGCAGGTGGGTGTGGAACCTAGTTCCGTGAGACCGTAATCTGACTGTTGTGACAGGCCTGCATCTTCTTCCACACTCCGTATGTACTTGGGTTCCGCCCGAGCGCGCCATTCGGCTAACATGGTGATTGGCAGGTGGCTATCTCCACGGGCTCCGTGTTCGCAGGCTGGTAAGTCGCCTACCACTGTTGGATTGTCGAGAAACCAACCTTTTCCACAGGGTCATGCGGCGGACCGGAAGGCTGTACACGCTTACCCTTGTATCGTGTGCAATGACCGTGGTTGCCGCAATCACGGTCGCGTCTTGGAATGACGATACACCTACGTGGCATCTCTGGCTCGATATTGTCCCACAAGGTCTCGGTATGGCAAGCGTGATCACGACCACCTTGATCGTAAGTTCCATCTTCCTGTAACTTCTTCCGCAATCCGTGACCGACGGGCCCGCAGGCGATGATCGCAAGCGTGGTTAAAGAGGACCTTGCTGTCGCCACAGGAAGTGAGTCTTCCCTGGCGTTCTGCTGTATTTGACAAGGGCTCACCGCGTGGCCAGTCACGTACCTCTTCAGGACCACCGGACAGGTGCTCGGTGTCAGTCTCAGCGGCGCGCTCCTTCAAGCGGTCCTCACGAACAAGCTGCGCGAGAGCATTACTGGACCTGGCGCCCATAAGGTAAGAGCCCTTTCCTCCAAGATGGTGGCTCTACGGACTGACTGTTCCGGCTACTTGATAGATCATCGAGAGCATCCGGCACTCGACAAATGTCATCTCCGAACTGAGCCCGGAGCACCAGCAAGCTGCTGTGCACTCGTACGCGGAAGCGCTTCGCGTCGTCTTCATCTGCCAGGCGGCCTGCAATTTTTTCTGCCTACTCTGCTGCCTGCCGATCCAGGAGAACATACTACCGTGCGTTCACCCTTTTCTCTATCTGCCTCTACCGGCGCTGAACGGAGAAATAGTGGCAGTCACGAGGAGCAGGAGGCACACTACCGAAAACGCCAAAACTCAGAGTCGTCCTGCGCATCAGACGAGACTCTGGCTTAGATTTCCCTACACCTTTTTACATTTTGGGACCGGGGAGACGCAGGGACATCATCACATATTCTGGACACAGTGTAGAACTGTATCATTATCATGTAAGTATACCATGCATCACACATACCACGCTGTCTTCGGTGCAATACAAACGGGGAGCGACGAATGCCGGAGAGCACGTCGATGCAAGTCTACAAGGAGACTTGTTAACTGAGCTCGCGCATGTCAACTCCGACATTGGTAAATTGAAGAAATGGAAATACCAGGCTTATCTGGCTGCTCCGCAGGCTCCCGGGATGACTTCAGATACCGTTACGTCGAGCAAAGTTCGATGCCCTCCGCCTCGTGTAAGATCATGTGCACTGAGTTTATCTCACCTCCTCATAGCCTCATGCCGTGGCGCACCACGGGATATGTGAACAACTTGAAGCGCATGCCACCACACACTCGACGCTAGACGAAACGCTGGTGACAATGTATGGGAGCACAGATGCGAGCAATGTTCGGTATGTGCATCCCTGTCATGAGTACTGACACCCCTGGCTGCTCTTTCCCTGGCCAAAGCCTTTTCTATATTACTCCGTCGATCCTGGGAGTCGGCTCTTTCCTTGTTGATCTTGACTATCTAGAGACGCGTCTTCTTCTCGTCACTTGCAACCCGGCCTCGCGCATCGACACCGTCGACAATCTCAGAGGGCTCTGGTCTGGTCACGGCCCGCCTGTCGAGAACGCACGCGGCGGGCTCTACGAGTCGTCTCGCTTGATCCTGGAGGATCCGTCCCCGACATCACGGACATGGTAATCAGTAGACTCCAGCTCAGACTGGACTAGTCAACGGCGTCCCCAATCACTGGCACCCTTTCTCTAACGCGGTTCTCCCCGCCAGCAGCGCACTAGGATCGTTCTCAGCCTCCCCGGTGAGGACACTTCCGTCGCAGCCGCTATGGAAGCACTCGAGGACGATCGACGGACTTAACCCCACAGTCCCCCGGAAGTCAATCGTGGCCCAGGCCGACACCGTTCTTGTTGGCAAAGCGATCGCTGAAGAATACGTTCCCTACCAGGATATACCCGGCTCTCCCAATGGTAAGGCCAGTGAAGAGATTCAGAGGCCTTTGCCTGCATATCCTACTCACACAACTCCTGACTCGCAATGGTCGTATACGACTGAACTACTGTCTCCTTTGCCCAAACGACCCTGATCATGCTCAATCACACCAGCATCCGCCACACCCCCGTACATTTCTCTTAGTACCACTGAAATGACTTGGGAACCGATCTGAGGCAGCCATAATCCGTAGAACGCGGACGAGACGGACCCTTTCCTCATAGCCCTTGTCGATACAGCGGCAGATGTCCAGACGCAGCCCGACAAGATGAATGTACAACAGCTCGGTATGGACCATCTCGGGATTAGGTTCCTCGAGTGTCCGCTGAGTGCGGTGCCCCGAGGACCCGGCAGCTCCACCTCGGGAGCGCGATGTCGGGACTGAGATGGTATGCTAACTTCAACAGACCCGCTCGCGGACGCGAATGCACTACGCGAACAGGACCGTCGTCGTCGCGGACTTCCTGAACGATGACCCTTGGGTATGAGATACCGCGAGCCCGTACCATGCCTCTCTTGGACGACCCTGCGGAGGCGGAACACGCGTTCCGCACCTGGTGCGGCGTTTGTAGTGGGGTCCGTGTGCGACGCGACGACGGTATTGGACTGGTGCAGACGGATCTGCGCTCTGTGTCTCTATCTCGCGACGAGCTCCTGAACGACTCTGCAGCGTACTCGCCTCGTCTCGCGGGCATAGCAGGCTACCATACAAACCCCGCCATTCAAGATTACGCTTCGTGGGCAATGTCGTAGTTGTATGGAAGCCATCAGGGGTGCTGAAGGTGGAAGAGAAGCTTAAGGCGGTTCTGATCGGCATGGGATTAGTTGGCCTCGTGTGCATGCAAAGCTAGCTGCGACTCTTTTCTAATCTTGTTGCAATACAGACATGGTAGCTGTTGTACACCGTCCGTCATGAGCATATCTTTCGGCAAATAGCACGCCCGCCACTTACCGAAATTTCCTCGCTCTCAAGAGCGACGGGAGGCCCGTGGACTATTTCGCAAGTTGCCGCCATTCCCCGTAGGCTAGAGACTGATCCATGACCTCGAAATCTTGTCCCGCCCGTTCGATTAACGTGATCGCTATTATTCTCCGTCGCGTTATGAACGTGTTTCCCAAGGCTGTCTCCGATGTGCACGCTAGGTCCTGCATTCGGCATAACTCTATTTGCATTTGCCCCGACGCTTGTGATTACAATTCGACAAGTGCCGCATAGGGCGTTGTGAACGTAAAACGTGAGTGCCAGGGCTGTGGACCATGCACTGTCACCGCACGCACTACAGTATTGGATGCCCAGGGGAGACAACAGCGTACCAGTCCGACAGATTAAACCCTGATACCGAGGTCCCCTCCTCATCCCGGCACTTTTTCCCTCCATGTCAAGTCGCAAGGTTTGGTACGTCTTACGACCAAGCATTTCGAGGGTCGTGATGCTTAATTTTACGTTTGGATATGTTCTCGGACGAACTTTGGTGCATGGAAAGCCCGATAATGTCCCTCTGGCTGGGCGGGCCGTCGAAAGATCGTTCGTTCTCTCTCCTCGCTTCGCGGACGACGGTCGTGCCACAATTGTTCGTATGCCGGGTTATCACGGCCGCGTCTCCTCTATCCATCTCCGAGGCCGCTTCTCGACGACGGTCCGTCCCCTCGTTACGCGTCCCTGCCCCACCCCTTCCTCCTCCGCAAAGCGCTTCGTGCTGCTCCGAGCCGGGCAAGGCAGCACGTCAGAACCCGCGACGGTTAGCACCGAGACGGCGGCGGTGACTGTGAAGAGTGCTGAAAGGAATGTTCGCCGCTGGCGGTGTGAGAGCCGTAGTGCTTGTACGAATGCCATGGTGTGTGGGTGTGTTTCCTGCAGCGGCAGGTGCCTCAGTCCAGCGCATGCCGTCGAATCACAGTGTATGGGTTACTCACAAGGACTTAATGTATCATAGCAGCCTTTCAATGGCTTTCTGTAGTTTAACGCGATGAACCAGGACCCCTACGTCGCGTCGATGCCGCAACAGGCGAGAATTGAGTGAAGTACGAGAGTAATGAACCCATCATGCTCTTCGCCGTGTCTCGGGGAGGAGCGTGGGAAAGAAATAAAGCGCTCGCACACTTCTGTCTACATTTGGTATCTACCCAAGTTAAAAACATTTACCTCCCAGTCAGTCCTAAATAATATCAAGAATCCGCGTGTACTTACAAAGTCTGGTAATCTGCACCTCGATGCGAGGCGTAAAGAATTACAAAAGGTCCCAGTTACTATTTTGACCTCCTGGGAGGGCTCGAAATCGCTAGCATATGCCGGGCCCCGCCCTCTAGATAAACATTATTTATAACCTTCAGAAATGCAAGGTTTCATTTATGAGCCCATAGAACGTCTCCAAGCTCGATGCATACATGTTCTGGATGATGACCGCACAATTCCACACAACTTCATGCAGCAGTTTCTTCCCTTGCTGACCTTCCTAAGATAGGCCCATCTTAACACACACATGTCCGCTGAGGTATACCATGCATCGAGAGCGTTATAGCAAAAACCAAACCAGCAACATTGATAATCGCATAGACCACCTCCCATACATCGAGCCAAAGTGGAACCTCTATGTGCAACTTGCAGAAATCCATTTAATGGTTTGTGATGAGTAGCGTAATAGGTATAGTGATGAAAGATGACGACCGAAAAGCGATTGTGGAGATTGCAACGCCAGCGCAGTAACTAGGGAAAAAAGAATGCAGGATGTGATGGTACAGTGTCACTAAGAAAGGAGAGTTGAGTGGTATGAACGAGCACCAGCCCCCTGGAGCCGCCTGCCCAGGCCCGTGAGGGAGGGGTGAAGTACGACGCGCGGGGCTGGGAATAAACAAGCATTGATGAGCGAGCAACGGAGAAGCATATATAACACACGCAAATTGTCATCCCGAGGAAAGCGGAGGTGAGAGAATGAGAGAATGAGAGAGAATGAGAGAGAGAAAAGAGCAGCGGACACGAGCGAGATTGTAAAGGATGAGAGGACTAAGAGAGATCAAAAGATGCGAACGAGATCCCATGAGAAGAACTACCACAGTCCAGAACGAAAATGGCGCGTCTGGCGTCGCGCAGGCGAGTCACTCAGCACTCGTCCTCGCCGTCATAGTGTAGTGTGATGCTGTTGAACGCGCCGAAGAGGTCGACCTCGGGTGGAGGGGGCTCTATGCCGTCGTCGAGGCCCGGTGTGCCCGGTACGCCGCCTGCACCCGCGACGCCTTTGATATTCGGCGAGCCCGGGATGTGGGTGTGCTGCCGCTCAAGGTGCAGCGAGTCCGACTCGCGAATTTGCCGGAAATTAACGGCATCTACACCATTCGAGGCCGTCGGCACGATCTGGAACAAGGCGTGTAAGCATATGCACAGATGATGAGGAAATCGCTTGGGCATCGATGAGGTTATCCATAGAGTTCGGGAAGACAAACGACGGCATCAATGAGGTCAGAGTATGCCGTGAGCTCTCAGTGCGGCAGGTCCCAGCCACCATCTTTATTTGCCAGCCGACTGACGCGCCCGGAGAGCGTCATGGGCGGCCGTGAGCACCCCACGGTCTATAGAAGGAGCACACTGTCACTCGGGACAGCTGTGACTCGGCCGAACTCCGCATTCGCAGCCACAGTGCTGCTCGAAATTTAATCAAGCAGCACATGGACCCTAGCTGCGGCGCAGGGCTGCGGGCAGACCTAGGCCAGGGACACGTTGCGCTTCGTTGGAGCTAGTGCGCCACAACGGCCGTCAAGAAACCCACAGGCTCGCCATCAAAGAATCTGGAATGAAAGCACGTAACGAGGGAAAGTGATCTGCTTACCGGCGGCTGCGTGTTGCGGAGGAGACCCCAGTTAATCTTCGAGAACCACTTGTGCTGCTTCACCTCCGAGGCGCCGCTCTTGCTACCTAAGCGTGTTGTTTCTCGCTTGTCCAGAAGACGCGAGATGATGTCCTTGCAGGACCTAGAACGCGATCAGTCTCAGGGTTGAAATTCGAAATAATGCTATCGGAAATGAAAGACGTACGCCGATACTTTGGGAGTGTCCCGGAAAGAGACTGGGACGTGCATGATACTGTGGAAGGTGTCGTTGCGTTCTGCGCCCTTGAACGGAGTAGTCGCGTACTGGGAGAAAAAAAAACGGCCGGTCAGAACACGGAAATTACAGGCGATGCGTGGATTATGCTGAAGATACTCACGATCATCTCGTAGATGAGGATGCCGAGGGTCCACCAATCTACCGCTGACGTATGGCCGGCGGTCTGAATGACCTCAGGAGCGATGTACTCTAAGAAAAAACAAAGTTAGAGACGATAGGCGCCACAACGGTGCGACTCACCTTCTGTTCCGACGAAGGAGTTAGTACGGAAGTCGGCAGTACAAGACCGCGTATCGATTAATGGTATCTGAGGTTTCCTAGTAAGCGAATACAGCCATGTAGCCCATGAGACACATACGCCGTTCTCTTCCTGGTGGATGGTCGCTGGCCGACCGCCGGAGACGCCCGACCGCTTTGCCAGGTCGAAATCCGACAACATGATGTGTCCAGACTGGTGCAAAAGAATGTCTACACGAGGCTCATAAGCGACCGCCGCACATACCGCCGCACGGAGTCGACGACAACATATTTTTGGGACTTACTTTCCGGCTTGAGGTCCCGGTAGATAAAGCCCATTAGGTGCAGGTATTCGAGCGCGGCAGTAACCTCAGCGGCGTAAAACCGTGAGCCATCCTCAGACAGGCACTTGCCAGGCCGAGATTGCAGTGCGCGGAAGAACTCGCCACCCATGCAGTACTCCATGCAGAAGTACAGATACTGCTCTGACTGGAAGGAGTGGTACAGGGTCACGATGAACGGATGGTTGGCCGTGGCGAGGATCTCTTGTTCTGTGAGCGCACGCTTAATCTTCTTGCGCTCAATCATCTCCTTCTTGGAAAGCACTGTCGCGCCACTCAGATGCAAGCACAAGAAACCAGCGGCAGCTCGCGCGCGCACCTTTCATCGCAAAAAGTTTTCCGCTCTTCTTCTCTCGCACCAGGTACACCTTGCCGACGTCGCCTCTGCCGAGCATCTTGATCTTTTGGAAGCTGCCGGGCCCGACCTCCACCTGCCGCACCTTGATCGAATGGCTGGAGTACGTCCGCCGGAAGGTAATTTTCCCTGGGCCGTCGCCGTTCGCATTCGTGATGCGATCCTTGGTCTTGGGCACCGCGTTGCTGCTGTTCGCCCGCGCAGTCCGCGTAGGGCGTCCGCGCGAGGAGGTGGACGAGATCGTCTCGAGCGAGCTGCCCTCGTGCTCCGGTTGCGACGGCATCATGTCGCTAGGCGCGAGAAGGCCGTTCTTCGTGGTCGCGCCCGACCCTGAGCGCGAGCCGAGGCTGAAAAGGCCTTTGGCGTTGGGTGCAGAGGCCACGCGGCGGATGAAGCGTGTCGCGTTGGCACCAAAGGCCTTGGGCGATAGAGGACCCGAGCGAGAGGGCGTGGGGGGTGCAAATGACATTTGCGACGGACTCGCAGTCAGAGGCGCTTTTGTATTGCCATTCGACTTCGCCTTGGGCTGCGGCCGAGCTCTTCCGCTGCCTTTAATCGTCTCATCTCCTTCGCCTACGGTCTGTGAGACATACGACGGCGTGCTTGGCGTGCGCAGTGAGGAGTTCTTGGACGGCCTGCTGTTCGAGTCTGTTGATAACGACGAGTGATATGACGAGTGGTCTGACGGCACAGCAGGATTAGGAGATAAAGGAGCGAGAGTTGCGGACGTAGCCTCGGATGCCAGCGTGTTGGTATCGAGCGTGAGCGTGGAGCCGCTGACGAGCCTCTTGCTGGACTGATTGCCCAGTCGAAGGAGTGATCTCCAACCTGCCGAGTGTATTCCCGGTGAAGATGGTGTCTGCGGTGGCGATTGCTCCAGGGTATGCGAGCCCAAATGTCCATTAACGTGAGTCGAGGTGGCCGGCATGTCGAGGAGTTATTACACAGTTGGAGCTAAGGGAAAGGTGGTTGTTGAGAAGATCTGAAGAAAGAGTGTACTTTTTGCGAGGTCCTAACGGGGACCTGCAGCGACGGGAAAGCTCTCGACGATGTTAGTGGGTAGTTCGTGAACAGGGCGCAGCGTTTGCGAGTGTCCTCAGCGAGATGGATTACCTGGTCGCTGTGTCGGTGTCTCCTCGGCGTCCGGATCAATGATTTCTCCATTTGCTTCCGGAAACGGGACAGCTCCGAAACGAATCAACATCCGTGCCTTGAGCTCTAGCCCAAAACAGCTCACAACCGGCAAAAAAAATGCAAGAAGTGTTTTGCAATTGTGAGGAGCATTGCTCGCATAGTTTGTGAACGACGTCGTTGTTGATCGTTGTAGCCTGTTGTAGCCAGCATCGTACTTTGATCCTGCCTAACAGCCATCATACACCAAGATACGACATCTCAACATCCTGGCAGACGATGCTTTTTTCCGGAATAATTAAAGAAAACTTCAGGGCTACATCCTCTGGGGAGCGAGACGGCCAATGACAGGAAGCAAGTACTCGGCGTGCAAGAATACGCATGCAATAGCGCCCCGCATACGGCGACGCTGAGCTCGGCAACGACGGCCAAGGGTCGGCTCGCCTTCCCGCCTACGCTTGCTCAAAATTTCAGATTACAAATTGGGGTCGTAGGTTGAGCGGGAACTGCACGCGCTGCTCCCCGCGCCTAGTATTCCATCAACACAGCGCTCAAAGACTCCGTCCAATTGCAAACATCCCGAGTACGTACCACGAAGTCGTTGTTTGTGTGCAAACCTTAGTAACGTAAAATAAGCTGCTCTTGTGCAGACACGCTTCGGCCCGCGAGAACGTACCCAACGTCCTTCCGCCTGTGACGGCGCGCAGGACACGTCGACGCCACACCGCAAAGGCCAGTCTCATACGGAGGTGTAGTACGGCATATGTCGGAGCAAGCGCAACATATGCTTAACACCATGTTCGACAGCCCGAATAGAAGATCCTGCGCCTGTACCTCGCCCTCGTAAATCTTGGCGCAGCCCAGGCCGATCTCGATGCGCACGAAGCCCTCCCGCGAAGAGGGCAGATAGACGGAAGCGCGCATGGTGCCATCGCCATTGAAAAACCGCGCCACAACAACAGGCCGCAGAACGTTGGTGGGCGTTCCAACATTCTGGCTTTTTGTTTCGCCCCACCTTTCGCCCGCAACTCTCTCAAGAACGGACGCACGACAGCCGCGTCCGCCGCACAACGGGTGCGGGGTGCCGAAAAATCGTGTGTACTGGGCACGCCATACCGCTGCTCCTCTCCCTCTTGCCGTGCGTCGGACAGGCTTATCGATACCGCTGTTGCACACTGCATCAGCACACACACACACAAGTCCTCGCGAGCCACACAAACTGCCCCCGGGGCACACCCCCCAAACTGGCGCCGCCCGGGCGTCGGCCCTGCCGTCCTGCGCCCGCGCGAGTCGTGGGCTGCTGCCGGCCGCGGACAGTAGAGCGGCCCATCGATAGCGTCGCCACCCTTCGCGCGGACGAAGAGGCCAAGCAGGAACACGCAATGGCGCAAAAAGCGAAACAGCGAAGCCGGCGCCAGCACAGCGAGCAGCGGGCACCGCCAGGGTGTGCTGCGTTAAAGTGCACGTGATAGGCTCGCAGAGCGGGCGATCGACCGACGACGAGCCCTCCCCCCCTCCCCCTTCGCAGCCGCGCGACGTGTCGTTGCACCCCACGGCGATTCAGAGGCCGTCATCATCGGGCTGTCCAATCCCTTTGTCGGGAGCTTGTGTGTAAATCCGATGTCACGCTTCAGCAGATGTCAAGAGCGATGACAGGGTCCGCTTGGTGCTGTGCCCCGCGAGACAGGCGGCGGTGCCCTGCCTGGCGCGCATACAGTTCGAGACGTACACGTTGAGGTACAACGCCGTCCTACCTCAGTTCGTGGACGTCGAATAGGAGGTGCTGCGGCAGCGATACACCGTTAGAGAAACCCTAATGCCGCTTTTGTAGATAGTTGCAGACAGTTATAGAAGTCCCGCGGGAATCACTACTGCAACTCGTGTATATTCCGAGCACAGTCGGCACGAGAGATTGTGTGAGCTGTTAAACTTCACAGCCAGAAAGAGAGACCTTGCGCGTGGATGTACAGCGCTTGGGCAACCCGCCGGCTCAGGCATTCAAATTCGAAAATTCGCTTCGGATACCTTGCTGCTCCGAGTCCAGTCGGGCACGGATATGACGACCAGCAAGGTACTCCTTGAGCTGACGCAGGAACTTGCCTTATAATTAGCCTTCCGAGTTGACCCTAGCACACAGACGGACCTTACTACGGCGCAAAGGACGTATATAGTAATAGGTAACGTGACCGCGTGTCAATGCAAAAATTAAGTAATTGATTAGCTGTAAGGTGTGGTCAGCCCGAGTGCGCCGCTAGCGTCGCCGATGGACTCGAGATTGAGTCGTGCATTTGCGTCCGCAAGATACGCAGCTGCCCGCACCACCGGTGACAAACGGTACGGCGCTGACGCACCGTGACAGAACGTTGTAGTAATAAAGGGGCGCCCACAAGCACCGACACGCCCAGCAAGCCCGCAAAACTGTCGCACAGGGTGAAGCTGAATGTAAGGAACAAGTTCCAGATGGCGGGGACCGGGGCGAAGACAGGCTGTCGTAAGAGAGCAGACGTCTGTATATGGTGGGCGCAACGCTGACTATGACCGAATAATGCCCCGCTTTCCTGTTATCGATTTAGCCTGCGGGGCGTTTTGAGCTGACTGGGCAGAAATCTGTCTGTCCGTACCTGAAGTCTCGATAGATAAGCGGTTCGCGTCGGCGTACCGTTCCAAAATGTAGATATCGCGTGCATTTAGAGGAGGTGCGGTCGTTGAGTCAGGAACGCGCTGTCGGCCTGTGGCTCGTAGTCAGCCCGAGCAGAGTGGGTTGTCCGGGGTCTCAGAGCTTACTAGACGTGACCCATGGACCTTGCTTGCCGTATGCAGCTGTCAGCGCAGTTCAAGAAGCGTGCAATCAGCGTACGAGTTGAAGCCTGCAGATGTGCCATAAGCTTCATCATACGAGGTTCATAATCAATCTCTCGTTGTTCCGATGGCTGCGAAGGCGTCCCAGGAAACGTGTACCGACCGCAGTTTGAGCGAAGGGGCAGATGTGCACAGCCTGGGCGCAAGCTGAGATCCTTGGGTCCGTGACACAAACACATGTCGTACAAAGCGGGAGACATGTGTGCCGTGCGCCCCTGACTGTGGATTACTCATAGGCTGTGGGAGAACCTGTGGGTCTCGCCAGTGTCGCAAGGCAGAGACCGGAGCATGATTTCGTAAAAGATGGAGATTGTTGCCCCGTGCGTGTGGCTTCTGCGAAGCAGACGATAGGCAGGAGGAATGATAGGCACCCTAACAATATGTCGACTTGGTCCCACAGGCGTTAGGGGCATCTCGCGAGAAGGTGCTGTGGAATTGTTTTTGATCAGCATAATTGTTGGAGCATGCAGTTATAACACACCGGTAGGCTGTGACCCATCATAAAAGCTGACGTTGATTGTTCAGTCCTCTGTCTTCTAGTGGTATGCTCAACAATCTGAATAGCCCTGACAGCGGGGGAGGCTACGGTACAATATCTGCGAGGGAAGCATGGAACCGAAGGTTGGAGACCATCAAATGCAGGAAGGCCTTCCGCACACGGATAACTTTGACGTCTGTCCCTCTAGAAGACTTTGACGTCTAATTGGCTTGTAACCTGGCGAGCGTCGGCATCAACTCCGCGGAAGCGCACAGATGACATACCGCACGGCCGCTGCTCATCGTGTCATAGGCAAGCGAAGCGACAAGTTCTCACGTTCCTGGTGGTGTTCGAAGACCGGAGCGCACATCCGGAAATCGTCAGAGGGGAATGAATGTGTGCCCGCGTGATGCACCCAGATGAGAACCTCAGACGAGGGACGTCGTCATTACACCGCATAGTGCCCGCTCTTATGAGTGTGGTGCGCGCAAAGTGCACTTGGATGAAGGAGCAATTGGGAATACTGGGCTTGGAGGGGAACATGGCCAAGCGAGCGGGCGAGTATACATTTGGCCCAAACCAGAGCCACTTCCAAAGCTCCATGCAGAGACTTCATTCTGGATGCCATTGCCACGCATGCGTGCATTTAAGAATGGCCCGTTGTATATGCTGCGTGAGAGCGCACTGGGCATGCCAAACATTATGGTGCTTACCACGCCTTTGTGCTTGATAGAAGGCTCCACAAAGATGGCCACCAAATGTGCTGAGAGACTCACTGCAACTTCCACATACTCCTTAGGCTCGATCAGCTTGATACCAATGTCACTTGCTGCCTTACATGCTTTATCTATCATCATTGACAAT